TGGTCGGGGCGAGTCAGTTGAGCCTCAACATCAAGGGCTGCCCATGGCCTGCTCGCTTATCATGTTCGTTCGCAGCCTCGGGTATGAATTCCCCAATCGTATACCCGGGGTGGTAGTTCTATTGGACCCCCAGTCAGGCCCCCTACCGATGGGGAGGGCCGTTGAATCGGGGGCCCGATGGCACGGCCTCTTCTCCAGATCGGCCAACAAGCGGAAGGCCGCGAGAATTGCCCGTCTGTGCAAGTGTGCCTAGGAAGGAAGAGGCAATCGGGCCACAGTGGCCTCATCGTGGGTGTGCGTGTTAAGCTTACATACACACACACACACGATCAAGAGAGGCCGGCCGTGGTCGGGTCTTGCCTGGCCATGCCTAAGGTCTCGACTGCCTGCCCCGTCTCCTACCAGTACCATACTGCACACACACACCATATGTCCAAACCACGCAGCCGACGGCGCATTGCTATCGTGAACAGTGCGCCGCGTGACAGAAGTTGGGACGACGGGAAGTGGCGGCCTTGCGGCTGACACGCTGCGGGGGACGCGCGTACCAAGGGGTGGGTTCCCGCCCATCAAACGCGAGGCTGATACACCGTCCCGTCCTTGCTTTCCACCTTACTACCTAGGTAGCCTGACCCCGTCCAGCCAGTTATCTCATCGCCACGGTTTAGCCCACAGACCAAACCAACCAACCAAGCCTGCTGACCCCCGCGGCCTTGGCCGCCGCTGGTAGCCTCGCGCTCGCTCTCGTGTCTGGGTGCCTGGCCCGCCGGCTCACGTTCCAAGGCTTGCAGGCGTGCTGTGGCGTGCGCAGAAGCCTTGGCCACTACTGCAGATTATCTGACCAATGGTCTTGGTCGTGTTCGACGTCAGTACCCGATCGCGCTTGTTGGGGGGTCAAGTGACCAGCCGACTGACTGCTCTGCTGACATGTCCCGTCCGTGCCCATCCTCACGTATGTACTTTTGGTTTCCGCGCTTGTCGTGCACGCCGCTGCCGAGGCTATTGCTGCTTTTCTGTTTCCGTTGGTCGGTCGGTCGGTCGGGCCTTGATGGCTCGTCGGGTAATGACCGCATCAGGCTGGTGTCTCTACCCGCTGCCCCGCGAGGCTGGCCGTGCGCTCTGTACTCCATGTTGATGCCCGAGGCAGCAAGCAGCCTACTGTGTATGCATTAATCGACTGGTCAGCTGACCACTACTACTACTACATACGAAAGGGCCCACCAACCCAACCAACCACACATCATCCCACGCGCAAGGCTGGGCCTACCCTAAATTTTTAGGAGGGAGGCAGCGTAGATACCTAGGTACACTACTCGCAAGTCCAGTGCTGCCCGCCCAGCCTCGCGATTCCGGGTTGGTTTTGTTGTTGTCATGATGCTACAGGCGGGTTCCGCCTGCCAGCTATACCTGGGGTACAGTACATAGGTACCTACCTGGCTCTTCGCGATCTCGCTTATCGATCGATCTATCGGCCTTCAGCCTCGTCGCTCTTTTGGCGCACTCCCGGCTGGCTGCTGGCGCCTGGCGATGGATGGGTTGACGCTGCACTTGTTTGTGGACTTGATTTGGTGCCCCCCCCCCCACTGGGTATCTTGTACCACACACACACACACACACACACACACGCCTGCACACGGCGTGGATGGTTCTTTTTCGAGGCTCGTCATGGCTGGCTGGCTGGCTGGTGTTGGTGCGGCTTATTTTGTATATGTGTGTGTCTGATGTGATGTGATGTGATGTTTTCCTCGGGAGGCCTGCTACGGCCGGCTCCATCTCAGATACGCGTCGGGTCATATTGTGAGGGGTTTGTCTTGCTGCATTCGCTCCTCCGTCCATCTAGTCTTGCTTTTTGTTGTTTGTCCAATTCCGATGCTGGCTTCGGGGGGTCTGGGGGCGGGGGTGGGATCCATCCGCCACGGTGTGCTTGCTTGCCTCCAGGGCTCGTCTCGCCTTGTCCCCCCAGCCCGTCCCTCCCCCGGCCGAGCTTTGAATTGAATATTCCAGCCGGCGATCCAATCAATGCTCCTTGGTTGGTGCTTATAAACAATGAATGTATTTTATTTACTGGCTCGAGACCGACCCGTCCATTCAGTCAGTCCCACTTGAGGGTCCACGGGTCGTCTCGGATTTCTTCTTTCCTTCCTTCTTCCTGCTTCCCCTTCCCGGTGCTTTTTTTTGTTCCATCTCGCGTATTTGTGGTGTCTCGTATGCATATACGTATGTATGGGATCAGGTTTCCCTTGTACCAAAGATGGTTCATGCACGGTACTGTTCGAGGCACCTCAGCGTAACCGCCAGAGCGCCGCCCCCCCAAACCAGAACCGGCCATTCGGGTATAACTTTCTAGCAAAGGACCTCAATGACCCAACTCTGAAGACCGCCTAGCCCATCAAGAATCGACCCGGTCCTCGCAGACTATCTGAGGTACCTCGACGTGACCGCCAGGAGCGCCAGCCCCTACAAAACCGGCCACCCGGGTATGACTCCCCAGAAAGAGAAGAGGACGAGTATCAAAGGACAGCCCCTGCACGGGGAGATACGATCAGACCATGCATTGTCGACTTGACGAGTGAGGGCGAGTCCCAAGAAACCCAACAATCCCGAGTTCAGACCAGCGCACAACGACGAGCCCGAGCTACCAATGACAGCTTGTACGAAGAAGAGCCTTGCCATCTGCCATCAATGGCTGATATCACTACTGACTTCATGGCAGAATTCCGCGCCGATTGTGAGAAAGAAGACTGGTTTCCCTCTTGGCACCTCAAACCGGCGCTCGCCAGAGGCTATTGGGATAAATGTGTCGAACAGACCATGCAGGGGGGGTATGCTCCACTTCCTTTAATCATGTGTGACAGCGAACTCGCCGATATTGGCTCTACCACCTTGGCAGATGCTTTGTCCCGAGAAGAGCCACGACGGCACACCCGTCACATCCGCTTGAACGCAGCATACCTGAGGGGTGAAAATGATGTGCTCCAACATTCCTCCCACAAGTGTCACAAGGCCGCATGTCGTCTACTACGGCACGTGGTACCAGAACCAGCATCGGTCAACCTGACGGAACGCGAAAGGTGTCGCAAGTCTATTGAGCAGATCTTGAGGGAGGGGGCGGGTTTCCCTTTCTACTGTGCCGGCCATGGAGAACATGGTGCATACCTTCTGGGCTGTATGGCGCTTGACCGACTGGACGGTGGATGGCCGCGGAGACGTAACGGATCTGAACACCGTGCCTATCTGGAGGCTCGGGAACATGGCATCTGTCGATGGGACGATCCTTGAGACCTCACTGGTCACGTACCTGGCTGATGAGACCCGGGATGGCTACACTCTCCGTCATATATCCAAGCACTATCTGAAGGACCTTTGCCACACGGTTCTGGCTCCGGAAGACGAAGAGATTCGGACGCTCATGTTCGAACTGCGAGATGTTGAGAGCATCACGGCCAAGACACAGTCAGCAGAGGATGCTGCACTTATGAATGGGGCCATGATCCACCTACAGCGTTACTCGATTTCGGAGGTCAGGAGGAGGGAGGAGGGAGGAGGTAGGAGGTAGGAGGTAGGAGGTCAACTGGTAGGAGGTCGGTGGGGGGAGGGGGAGGGGGAGGGAGGAGCTATAATTTTTCCGCGCGGATCGTCTTAAAGGCCTTCTTGATCCTGTCCTGGAGTAGGTCCAATTGCTTGGGGTCGGCTGATTCGATGGAAGGTATAAGACTGGTGATCGTCGTCTTGGCCTTGACACCGTGGTTGATTGCGTTGTGGACCTGTTGAAACTTTGTGTGGTCGTCCTATGGTCTCTGCTTGATAGGTTTGTCGTCTTGGCCTTGACACCGTGGTCGATTGCGTCGTGGACCTGTTGAAACTTCGTGTGGTCGTCCCATGGTCTCTGCTTGACAGGTTTGGGCCCCATAGTGCAAGTGGGCGGGCGAGCAGGCCAGGCAGGCCCGGGCGCCAGGGCCAGGTATGTCAAGGTGACCGGTCGGGTGCACACTGCCTCCGATAGGGGCGTTACAATGTTGCTGGACGCTAGAAGTGTTGGTGATCAAGTCAAAATCGTGCTGGGAGTTAGACTGGGACAGATGATGGCGGACTCGGAGTGGGTGGAAGGCAGTGGAAGGATTGGAATTGAATTAGAGCGGAGTTGAATTGAACTAGGAGTGGAATTGAATTGGGGGTGGAGTTGAACTAGAAGCCAGGTGGGTTGGGGGGGGGGAGGAGGGAGGAGGAGGGAGGAGGTAGGAGGTAGGAGGTAGGAGGTAGGAGGGAGGAGGTAGGAGGGAGGTGGGAGGGAGGAGGAGGTAGGAGGGAGGTGGGAGGAGGGGGAGGGGGAGGGAGGAGCTATAATCTTTTCGTCCTAATCCGTGGCATTCTCGTTGTGTAGCATGATATCTGGACACGAGTGACTATCCCCCTCCTCCCCTGTCTTCCTACCTCCTACCTCCTCCTCCCTCCTCCCCCCAACCAACCTACCTATTTACATCTACACCTATTACATTACATATACTAGGCTTTTTAGTATAATATAGTAGACTTTAAAATACTCTTAGTGTTATAGGGTATAGTGGGCTTATTACTTAAAGAACGGAAATTTATATACCCTTTATTAAAAGGTGCGTACCTATCTACTAATTAAGAAGTATTCTATATAAGATAACTTCTTCTTAAAAGGGCTGGCTAGGGTGAAGGGGGCGAGCCCTAGAGTGTAAAATATAGTGAAGGGCTGTAAGTAAAGCTAATAGGTATAACTTAAGTTTTTAAAGGACTAACCTACCCTATTTATAGTTTTTTATTATAAAGAAGCCTTATTTATTAAAGTTATAAAGACTTTAAGGTTTTATACTCTAATTAGTTAAATAGTAGGGAGGGTATACACCTTCTAATTAAGGGTATGTAAATTTCCGTTCTCATTACTTACACCTATCATAATATACTAAGTATAGTGAATGGTAACCCTGCTCCCCACACTTAAGTAAGGCATGAAAGACAAGCAATGATGGAGATGAACACCGGGAACTCTATCATTATTCTCCAAATTCCATTCCGAGAATGACAGTCAAAAAAGTCCGAGTTTTAAAGACGCCCAACTAACTCTCCGGGGATATTCAAAATACATAGGGCGTGTGTCCGCGCACACACCCACCGATCCACCATTTCATAATCATAAATAAAATATAGTTAACCCAACCCGGACTTTAAAAGCGGGCGATCACCAAACCCTCCTCAGTCTATAGAAAGCCCCCCCTTTTCCATTTCCTCACAACACAGACTTAGGCACCAGCATTCGCAGCAGCAGCAGCCTTCTTGCCCTTCTTCCCACCGCCGTTAGCCTTAGCAGCAGGCGTCTGCGCCGCAGCGGCGGCATCACCAGTAAGCGCGCCGGGGCCCAGAGCCACCGCGCTCGCCGCCGCGGCCGCGGCGGCTTCGCCCTTGGCTCCGTTGCTGGCGGCCGGGTTCACGAAGTCGTCTGCGGAGGCTGCCGCGTTGTTGGCATTGGCATCAGCTGCATTAGCATTGGCTGCGTTGTTTCCGTTGTTCTTGTTCGCCTTTGCTGCCTTGCCAGTCGCTGCGCCGGCTGCGTTGGCATCAGCTGCATTGGCATTGGCGGCTCCTGTCGCCGCGGCGGCGGCGGCGGCCTGCGAGGATGAGGCGGCGGCTGCTTGGGCGGCTGCTGCCTTTGCCTTCTTGCCCTTCTTGCCCTTTGCTCCAGCTGCGGCCGCGTTGGCGTTTCCTCCAGCTGCGGCCGCGTTGGCATTGGCTGCGTTTCCGCCGGCTGCGGCTGCTTTGCCCTTACCAGCCCTGAAGAATGTCCGTCAGCACATGATGACCAGGTACGAGCGGTTGCGGTGTGTGGATATGGAGATAACTTACTTTCCCTTTCCAGCTGCGGCGGCTGCCTTGCCCCTATTAATTGATGACAGTCAGCATACTGATACGTTTGTTTTTTTGAGGAGTTGTGGTTGGGAGAATTAAACTTACTTGCCACCAGCCTTGCCTTTGCCTTTGCCCTGGCGCGCCTCGAGCGTGGACTCCTCGTCCCGCTTCAGGTTGCCGAGCAGGCCGCTGAGGAGATCATCGACACCACCGGCCTGGGCATCAGCATTCTTGGCGTTGCCGCCCCCGGCAGCACCGCCCGCCAGGCCCTCGAGGAGCTGGGTGAGTTGGTCGGCACCGCCGGCGTTTTGTGCGTCAGCGGCGCCGGCGTTCTGTGCGTTGGCGTCCTGCGCGTTGGCGGCGTTCTGAGCATCCTTGGCCGCCTTCTTGCCCTTCTTCCCGTTTCCGGCGTCCGCGTTGGCCGCATCAGCAGCGTTAGCCGTGCCGTTTGCTGCTGCAGCACCGGCGGCGGCTCCCTTTGCCTTCTTGCCCTTCTTTGCATTACCCGCGTCAGCATTGGCCGCATCGGCCGCATTAGCCGCACCAGCAGCGTTCGCATCTTGCGCAGCAGCATTGGCGTCTTGCGCCGCAGCACCCTTTGCCTTCTTGCCCTTCTTTCCGTTTCCAGCATCGGCAGCACCAGCGGCAGCATCAGCAGCATTTGCAGTGCCGTTGTTGGCTGCAGCCGCAGCGCCGGCGGCCCCCTTGGCCTTCTTGCCGGCCTTCTTGCCCTTCTTGCCCTTGGCCGCTCCATCAGCGGCGGCATCAGCGGCGTTGGCAGTTCCGTTGGCGGCTGGCGACGGTCAGCACCCGAGTCTGGGACGGCTTCGAGGTTGTTGTTGTTTGGGGGGGGGGGCCGTGAGTTTGGACTTACCAGCAGCAGCAGCGGCAGCGCCGCCCTTGTTCTTGTTCTTCTTTGGCTCCCGGGCGACGATGTCGTAGTAGGCGTCATACCCGACGGCACGGACCTCGTTCTGCGGCATGTCACCAGCGGGCAGGGAGGCCACGTAGCCGGCTCCTGCGAGGAGCAGCATGGCCAAGCTTCCGATGTTCTTCATCTTGGCGGTGTGTGTGGGAAAGGATAGTGTGGTGTGTGTGAAGAAGGAAGGTCTAGAGCACAGCTAGATGTGGATGGGTTAGTACAATTGGGCACCCGATATGTGGGAGACGATATTGTCTTGTGTCTATACGTACCTCAAGAGAAAGAAGGAAATGGGATCAACCCGTGATTACTTGGAAGGAGGGTGGGCGAAAAGAACCAGATCCACTGGAAAGAAAGAAGAAAAGTGAACTTGGGAGTTGGTGCAGAAGCTGCCTGACCAAGAAAAGAACTCTATTGGGAAGTGAGAAGGAGGGAACAGTCTTATATCCATCTCGTCTCCCCATCTCATCCACCAACAGTCCTCCATCCTTGTTTGGACGGCCCGGGGGGTTGGACGGAAACTTGGGAGCCGTCTAAGTCTGGGACATGGAGGAGGTTGCAACTTGCAATGACCTCTACTTACTAGCGTCTAACGAAACATCAACTTCATCTCATCTGAATGTTACTGTTCCCAGACCAAGGATGACAGCCGGGTTCAGACTGTGGGCTCATGTCCTCGGCCAAGGATGGGACGAGCAGGTAAAAGGCCCGCACCACAGGGGCAGCGCTGCTACCCGGGGCGGCCAGGCAGTCGAGGTGGAGACGAGACAGCAACAAAGCTCTCGAGCCGCCAGAACCACACTCTGGGCGGGCATGTGCAAGCGACTTGGCAGGGAGATCACAGTTCAGTGACGTGCTGTTGGGTCCTGGGGCGGTCGTGCAACAGCGCCTTGGTTGCCGCATCCAGCGGAAACTAAACAGACCAATCGTGGATCACGCTGAGATCACCGGGTCGTTTGGGCTTGGCAGAAGATCTGGAAATCATACAGGAGAAGTATGGCCATTGGCGCCGTGCGGATCGTGGGTAGCACTGCACGGTAGTTGAGATGCATGGTCGATGCGGGAGCAGGGTTGAGCCAAACCGTGGATCAAACGTGCAGCACTCCACCTTGACGCCTGGGTGGCAGTCAATGTATGGCCTTCCACAAGGAGGGTTGGCAAAGATAGATCATGGTCCAACCCGATGAGGAAAAGCCCGCACGACCTTGGGTCCAGGCTCGAAGCCGCGGGTTTTCAGCCATGTTCCAGAAAATTGGGGAAAAAGGAGAGGTCCATACTGATGGCGATCGTGGGGGATTAAGCCTCGGACCCTTGGTGCACATTGCCCATGGCCAACCAGCCAACCTAACCCCCCCTACCCACATCTACCGAGCTGGGTCCCCGGGGGCTACGGGATATAGGTGCTGTCAGGCCAGCCTGACGTGATTAGTTTATTCCGCGGAGACCTTTAGGAGACCGGGAGAGCTTGACAGAGATACTAAAACATGTAGGAAAACCAGACAAGGTGTGAAAGAGGACCAAAGGAAATCGGTGAAGACATCATCTACCCACTCACCTGCTGGACAGGTAGTACCCGCCCGGGACCGAAGTTGAGTAAACTCTATCTTGTGGGCACCCGCTCCAGCATGAAACTTGGCTGATCGTCCATGAGATCGGCGGGTTCCCTAGGTAAGCGAGGAGCGGCAGCGGGTCGGCGGGAAAGTGAATCCACTCGGGAACATGGTGTGGAGACGGAGAAGAGCCTCGATCCTGTTGCTGCGAGGCGGGCTGGCGGGCTGTCCGGCTGGGGGAGGATCATGAGTAGCGGCGCGCTCCAGCTGACAGTAGTGTGCTGTCAACCTGTCGCCGTAGCGTCGGTAGTTGCGGGATCCGCCCACAGTGCGTGGTATTGTGACGGACAGCTCGGAGGTCCCAGACATGAACTGGGCTCCATCGGCGGCGAGGGAGAAACCCAACCAAACATGCAACCCATGCAGCCATGGAGAGGGAAAGGGGCCAGGAAGCAGCGTTGAATCATGGCGGCTGGTTATGACGAGAGCGAGCAGCAGGAAAAGTGCTCATCGGGCACAGGTCCAGAATGGAACAGTTCGCCATCAAACCAAGAGGGCATTGGCCAGCCGGGCGTTTCGGGGGAGGAGTGGGGCTCTGGGGGAGGTCCCCAGCAACCCTGTCTTGGCACAGATAATGTTTGAAAGAAGCTTAACAGAGCCTCATGGGCCCCCGGTCACTGCCGTCCTGAAACAGGGCGCATGTGCTTGTAAGGTGGGCTGTGGCTGTGTGGGTCTCAACTCGTTCCAGAGCTAAGATTTTTGACGAGGGAGAAAGTTGGGAAGAGATGAGCGTGACTGATCTTGACTGGCTGGACGGGCGGTTGACAGTTGAGATGACAGCAGCTTGGGCAGATGGATGGATGGGTTGGAGATGTGATGAACCCGAGGCAGTGTCTGTTAGAGTTGTGGAACATGAGGCGATCCGTCGAGTCGTTGGTCGTTTCCATGGGTAGTGGTGCTGCTGCTGCCTTGGTCAGCGTCGACGACATGAATAGTGCAGAAGCGAGAAGACCAAAATGTCTGTCTTTACGGAGGTTGGCTCATCGTTTCTTTTTTGCCCGTCATTAGTAGTGGTCCGTCCTGCTGCATTAACGCTTGGCCTCGAAAACGTGGTGATGTGCACGTCAGACAAACCCGCACTCCACTGCCAAGGAGGATCAATCGCCAACGCCAAGTCCTGAGCCTGGTGATCTGTTTTTTGGATTTCCTGGTTTGTGGAGTAATCTGCAGCTTGGATCACAATCTTAAGTCTCTCTATTATGATTCCCTCTTGAATATGGAGATTCAACGACCCAAGGCGGGGCACGAGAGGAGGAGGCCGAGAATGGTCAAGATCAAGGACAACAGCCCCGATGAAAGCGGCCAACAATATGGTCCAGCCAATAAGATGATCTTCCAGAAGGATGCCTGGCTGTTTAGACATTGCAGCGAGACTGGACACGGTGGTGGAATGCAGGTCAAACAACGGCTTGACGGGAGGATTGGCGAGGCTGGGCTGGTTGGGTGAGCAGGTGAGTGGCTGCAACGCTCACAGACCAAGGACGAGAGGCCGCACCAGAACAGACAAGAGCAGCCCCCAGGGTTAGGGGAACAGAGTCACAAGCAAATCGACACCCAGCCAGCGGGTGCTCGGTGCCGCAAACGGCTTGCGTCGGAAGGTCGGAAGAGGCAGGTGGGGAACGCGAACGAAAGACCTCGGCCGACAGGCAGGGCAGTGGCCACTCAGACGAGCCGTGAAGAAAATGACCAGTTGATGGGCTGCTGGGACCCACAGCAGCTGCCCCCCCAGCAAAAAGCTGCAGCCGAAAATCGCTTGGCCGCCCAGAGAGATAGAGCGAGTTATTCAGAATTAAGCTTGGGCACATGCACATGCGGTGCGTGCGATGCGTCATTCCATCCAGCAACCAAGCCTCAAAGTGGTCAACACCACCACCACCGGCCCCCCTCGCCCACGACACACCAATTCCAAATAGTCCTGCGATTGCTCATAGGCTGCTGCTGCTGATGCGCATGCACCACCACAGGCGACGAGCATTGGATCTCCGCTGACGAGCAGTATTTCTTGTTCAATGCCACCAGTGCATTGACGACAACGACTTCTACCTCCAAGAACGCTGCATATCCCACACATCATCATGTCTGCACCTTCGAGGATACCAGGGCGCCTGGCCAGGGCGGCAACACCACTCGCGAGAGCCAGGTCACAATCACAATGCCCACGGGCGGTAACAGCCTGCTTCCCACGGAGGACAATACTGCGCCAGTCGTACGCCGCGACCAGCAGGACAACCCAGGCCAGGCTGTTTTCCGTCAGTGCCTCGAGGCGCATGGCCACCCCGGACGACTCCTTCAACCCGGCCACAATAGAACGGGAGAGCGACCAGGTCGACGTGTGTATAGTAGGCGGAGGTGCGCCCCCCAGTCTCTTCTCTTGGACCTCCTCGCAGTAGTTAGAGAGTACGCAAGCCATCGATGTTCTAACCAAAGCCCCCCTTCTCTGCCCACAACAGGCCCAGCAGGTCTCTCCGCCGCCATCCGCCTCAAGCAGCTCGCCAATGAGGCCGGCAACGACGAGTTCCGCGTCCTGCTCCTCGAGAAGGCCGGCGAGATCGGCGCCCACATCCTCTCGGGGGCCGTCATCCAGCCCACCGCCGTCGAGGAGCTCCTCCCGGACTGGCTGGCCGAGGACAACGAGTCGCGCTTCGACGGCGCCACCCCGGCCGGCGACGACCACATGCGCTTCCTCCTGACCAAGTCCATGTCCGTGCCCCTGCCCACCCCGCCGCCCATGCACAACAAGGGCAACTACATCGTCAGCCTGAACCAGTTCACAAAGTGGCTCGGCGAGCGCGCAGAGGAGGTCGGCGTCGAGGTCTACCCGGGCTTCAGCGCCAGCGAGGTCCTGTACAAGGCCGACGGGAGCGTCCTGGGCGTCGCCACCAACGACCTGGGCATCGGCCGCAGCGGCAGGCCCAAGGACACGTTCGAGCGCGGCATGGAGTTCCACGCCCGCGTCACCATGTTCGGCGAGGGCTGCCACGGCAGCCTGAGCAAGCAGGTCATCAAGAAGTTTGACCTGCGCAGCGAGTCGGACCCGCAGACGTACGGCCTGGGCGTCAAGGAGGTCTGGGAGGTGCAGCCCGACAAGTTCAAGAAGGGCGACATCACGCACTCGATGGGCTACCCCCTGCCCTACGACACGTACGGCGGCGGCTGGATGTACCACTTTGGCGACAACCTCGTCTCCGTCGGCCTGGTCACGGCGCTCGACTACCCGAACCCGTGGATGAGCCCCTACCAGGAGTTCCAGAAGATGAAGAAGCACCCCGTCTACGCCTCGGTGCTCGAGGGCGGCAAGTGCATCTCGTACGGCGCGCGCGCGCTCATCGAGGGCGGCTTCCAGTCCATCCCAAAGGTCGCCTTCCCCGGCGGCGCGCTGATCGGCGACTCGGCCGGCTTCGTCAACCTGCCCAAGATCAAGGGCACCCACAACGCCATGAAGTCGGGCATGCTGGCCGCCGAGGCCGCCTGGGCCGCGCTGAGCACCAACGCCGACGACGGCTCGGTGTTCCTGTACGACTACGAGGCCAGCCTGCGCGAGAGCTGGATATGGAAGGAGCTCAAGGAGGTGCGCAACCTGCGGCCCTCGTTCCACACCCCGCTCGGCCTGTACGGCGGCATCATGTGGTCCGGCCTCGACACCTTCCTGCTCAAGGGCCGCCTTCCCGTCACGTTCAGGCACAAGGTCGCCGACCACGCCGCCACCAGGACCGCCGACAAGTGCCCCAAGATCGAGTACGAGAAGCCCGACGGCAAGCTCACCTTCGACATCCTCACCAGCGTCAGCCGCACCGGCACCAACCACGAGGAGGACCAGCCCGTGCACCTGCAGGTCAAGGACTGGGAGAAGCACACGGCCGAGACGTGGCCCGCGTACAAGGGCCTCGAGAACAGGTTCTGCCCCGCCGGGGTGTACGAGTACGTCGAGGATGCGTCCAAGCCCGAGGGCGTGAGGTTCCAGATCAACGCGCAGAAGTGAGTCTCTCCACGTACACCCAGTTCCCCCGACCCCCCTTTGTTACCTCTATCCGCCCACCTCAGGCGTACTTTCTTTTTCTTTCATTTCAACACCACAACCGCAAAAAAATGAAAGGGCAAACAGAGCTAACAAACTGCTCTCTCACAACAGCTGCATACACTGCAAGACATGCGACATCAAGGCCCCCCACCAGGACATCAACTGGCAGGTCCCCCAGGGCGGCGAGGGTCCCAAGTACTACATGACATAGAGAAGAGAAGCAGGACGTGGGCCAGGCCAGGCCGGGGGTTCATCTGTATGAGAACTCAAAGCATCAGTTCGACAAGAGGCGTACCAGGGGCGCCAGCAGGAGAACCAGGCAGCCTCGATTGTAAGGAAATTATGTGGGTAGGGGGGACATTAGCGACATATATGTACTCCATATGTAGACAGAGCCGGCCACTCGGGGTCTTCGGAGAGGATAAAAAAAAGTGAAATAAAAAGGGCTCGACCTGATCAGCGAAGTTGTCCATGGAACCTGGCGATACCGTACCGGGGCCTACAGGCAGCCCACAAGAGTTACAAGGGGCCTACAAGACATACCTCATTTTCAAGACTTACACCCACCACAAGAGTTAGAGGATTAATGTATCAAAGTCACATAAGGACTTTCTAGGGAAAGAAGTAGGTTTACATACCTAGAGGAAGAAGTAGTCATAAAGAGGTAGTCACGAAGAGGCAGTCATGAAGAGGCAGTCACGAAGAGGCACATGTACAGTCACGAAGATCAAGCCAAATAAGAAGAGGAAGAGGAGGAAGACAGCTTACAAATAGAAATTAAACCTCAAAATAGCTACAGAGGAAGAACCCTTCTCAACCATCCTCCACACCTAGACAAGCAAAGCAACTTTCAAATCACCAAAATCTTACATGACTTTTACACCACCGTATGAAAGCGCCATGTATGCCCTCAGACGTATACGGAATAGAAGCGAAACAACCCAAACCACTTCAACAGTATGGCACCCGACGAGATTCGTCGTGATCAGTGGCATCTGGCTGACCCTCTGGTGGTTGCGCGGACGGTGGTGGGTGGTTGTCATCGTCCCCTCTTGAGAGGGAAGATGTCTCCAATGGGCGGCAGGGTTGGGCATGGGAAGATTGACTTGAGTGTTGATGGCATTTGACGATGCGTCGATTTCGACTTTGGCGGCCTCGATAGCTTGAGGAGCCGCCGGAATGATCCGGCTCTGGTGATCAACGATGGCATCAAAACATGGACGGCTGTGCCAGGGGCCAGTCCACCTCTGGCTCTTTGAGTTGGACATGACTGGTCCCAGATGGCGCTGCGCAGTGGGCCGCTGGGGTGCAGGGAGGGAGGGGGTCGAGCAGAGCGTATGGAAGAGAACGGACAGCACTGTCCACTGGTGCTTGTCGACGTCCCACAGACGTGGAGGGTCAGAAGAGTGGAGGGTCAGAAGAAGGTAGTCGGGATGCCACAAGACTCTGTTGAGATTGCTCTTGTTATCACTGGTGGCATCACTGCGCCAGCAGTGTTGAGGCAACCACGATGTGCTAGGTCATGCCTGGGTAGTTTAGAAGGTCGGGCGATGACGTTGTGATGTACTAAACGTGCCTAATCTGGAGTTAAGAATCTAAACCAAGAAAGGACGATTGGCAGGAGGACCCCAGGCTTACCAGCCGTTCACGGAAATGGCAATGGCTACCGGGAGATGCGTGAGTGCTAGGCACTCACAATGGCGCAAGTGTTTGATCGATCAAGAGGTCCCGACAGGCTGCTCGGCAGAGGGTGTACTCATTGCCTAAAGCGATAGTCGTTTAGTAAAACAAAATACTTTAGCATTCCATGGCCCCCAGCTTGACCAAGGGCCTGGTTGACAGGTGATTTTCGTTGATGGCATGGCGATCGCGGTTGACTGTTTCGTGCCCCAAACGGACGTCCAGTAGCGACAACTCGCCTGGCATCCCAAAACAAAAAGGCTGCGGAAGAACCTCTGGCATGACTGCGAGTGGCAGCATCCCACTGCCTTGAGCCTGGCAGCTACCTCGTCCCAAGGTCACTGGCACTGGCTGCACCGCCCACGTCGACCTTTTTGCCTCGACTTTCTTTCTGTCGACCCTGACAACAGCACAACCAACTCACCCCATTGTCTGTCTCGTCCTGGAGGCAGGCCTTCAGGACTCGACCATTTTCCATTCACCTCTACCAGACAGACTCCCACCTAAACGACATCACCTGATCAATAGCGAGCTCGGGCTATACCATACCGGGGCCTGCAGGCAGCCCGCAAGAGTTACCCTTCCGCAAGAGGAAGAAGAAGACGAAGATGAAGACGAAGACGAAGACAAAGCCCTCGAGAACAGAAACAACTCAGAGACAGGGAACAAAAACTCACAATCGCTCCAGAAGAAGGATTCTTCTCGGCCATCCTCCATCGGCCATCCTCCACGCCTAGGCAAGCAAAGCAACTTTCAGATCACCAAAATCTTCTCAAGTGACTCCTCTAACTCTTGCGGTACGCGTAACACTTGCAGAGGGCCGCAACGCTTGCGGATTCCCCCTATTTACCAGTGCGGTACCATTCAACCCGCCCACAACGCGGGGCCAGATCAACACACGGGAGCGAGTGCTGGCAGTTTTTGCCAACCACATGAGCTGTACAGCTACAGCACGTTACAGTATCAACCAGAGGAGAAGGCATCATCAGGCAACCAAGACTGGTAGAAGCTGTCGACTCTTTGAAGTGGCAACAGCCACTTCCTCTGGCAAACAGAGCCGAGGGAAACCTGTGTGCGAGACAGGTATGAACCGTGGGCTGATGGGAAACCCTTTTGGTGGGAAGTCCCCCTTGGAGGCTTTCATATGCCCTTCTGCAAGTTTTTCATCCAAGTTTTGGTGAGAGGGGACTCAGCAGGGCAGCTGCAAAGTTGGCACACACTTCGAAATTCGCAACCTCATCCAACACGAAACTCCCACCCCTCCTCGACCGAACAGTCCCCCCTACCCTCACCTGACTGAACACCTGAGGATATCACAAATCAGGGCGTCGAGATCATCGCACTCGCACGCCTAACCTGGCCCCACCGACCACATCCTCGAGGTCACCAAAACCACCAGCTTGGGCGGAGAAGAGGGGAGCGCGCATTCAGACAAGCCAGCAAGCGGGTCACAAATGACCCAAGCCGACCCCCAACTTCCTGAGGACCTGGTTCCCTCGACCTGACCCACGAAGCACAACTAATCTACACGAGCGCGCAAACCAGCAACGAGAGAGATACGCCATTTTGATCAGCAGGACCACCTGGCCGCTCCGGCCCGTGTGGTGGCGAGATGTCGAACAAGATGACGATGCAGGAGTTGCTTGCCCAATACATGGACCAAGAGAGTGAGGAGTCTGGAGACGAGACCCTCGTTGTGGAGAATGGCGAAGCCTGGAAGGCAGCACAAGAGGGCAAGCAGAAACTAAAAATGGAAGACGACGACCCAACCCCGGGAGAGGGGAGTACCCCGACATCACCAACACAGCAGCAGCCGAGACTGAAAGAATGGGAGCAACTGGTTGAGAGGGTCGAAGCGGATCGCGTTGGAACCGACGAGCCGACCAAGGGGTTCCCTTACCAAGCCCTACAGGTGTCTGAGGATCAGGCGAAGGATCTGGGGGACGCGTGCGCCCAGTTTCTGAAAGACTTCCCAAATGCATTAAAGGCTGTACAGACGCCGGGGGTCCCCAAGAGATGGGCGTATGCCTTCGCCCTGCACCGAGCGATCGTCATAAAGATGGGGCCGCGTGAAGCACCCAGTTTGCCTGCCATGTACAGAGCGTACATGGTGAACCGGAAACACCCCGATGCAGATGAGGACGGTGGTGAGGGGCCTTCCGCAGATGGGCCGGCAACCGGAGATAACTTTATGGACGGATTGAGTGAGATTCTGCTCAAGGGATGTCCTAATCCCATCTGGGTCGGGTTCTATCACAACGTGGTGGACCCTTCTCGGCAGCATTTCGCGCAATTTGCTGGCCAAAAGCAAACAAACAAACCCAGACGGAAGGGAGATACTGTGGATCTAACGGAGGGCCGAAACGGGCGCTTCCAGCCGACAATGCATGCCTATAGTGGCCAAAGACTTCCGGTTTCCCGGCGAAGAGAAAGGGCCTTACCGTCGAGCCTTTGGAGAGGAGACAGAGGTCATGGCAGAGGCCCTGTACAACCTTCACAAGAACCTTCACGCCCGCGGCAGAGACTTTCGGGCGATGGATGCCGTCTTGGTGACCAAGTCGGCCCACGTCCTGATCGCAAGCAAACCATCCGAGTGGGAGACTCTATTCGATCAGTATCTCGACACCACGACGACCCGGCCGCAGACCAAACCTGATGTTAGTGGCGAGACCCACGCCCGGGGATCTTTACCCAAGCCTAAGACCACCATTTTCTTAGCGATGGACCTCACCCATACTGAGGCAGATTGCATCGCCGAGGCATTCGGAAAGTTCGTGACGCGGTTCCCGAGAGGATGTGAGACTCTCTCAACGTCTGGACACCAGAGTTGGTGCATGTTCTTTGCGTTGCACCGAGCCCTAGTTAAGGAGTTTGACGACAAGGCCCCGACCCTCTACCAATTGTTCGCGGAGTACGCGCTCCTGGGATAGAACACCCACTTATACCAAGACATGAGTGCTCGGCATGACTTTCGAATCGAGACGGGAGCGGTCTTTATCAACAACCTGATGGTGAAGAAACTTCAACAGCCTATCCGAATTGGTATGGTGACTGTCGCGCCTGGTTGTAACCGACCAAGTTTTGCCCATCTTTATGATCAGGGTCAGCAGGCAAGAGGTGAACGCGAACCGACGGAGCTGTGGATCTTATTCCGGGGCGGTAACCATTACGAGACCGTCGTGGAGAAGGGTTGGAACCCCACCCAGGAGAAACTGAGCCTGTTTTACGCCAACACGGAACGGGAAGATCACAGGGCGGTCGATGCTATCCTCCACCTGGACCGCGAACTCCGAATGCGGGACCGAGACGTGGCGAGCCTGAGGGAGGAAGACGGCGAAGCCTACATAACCCTTCTCCGGGACGCGGACCGAGATGAGTGGAACCAAATCATCAAAGATCGTCTGGGACCTCGGAAGGAACACAACATATTGGAATCCCAGCGACGGTATGTCGTTTCGCTTCTATTCCGTATACGTCCGAGGACATACATGGCGCCTTCATACGGTGCCAGCGACGGTATGGTGACCCGAATGGGGAGGAGGACATGTGGGAAGATAGGCCGGACCCGGGAGACGATGACGACAGTTCTGATTCGGACGGGGACAGCGACGATCCCCCGCCTCCGGGTTGCGCGGTGGCGGCTGGACCCAAGACCACGAAGGGGGTGGAGATATGGCTTAGCGCCGGTTCGGAAGGTCGCCCCCTTTTGATCCCGAGGAACCTCGACGCGGAACGGTATGCCACGGTGGAAACTATACTCGGACCCAGGGCAGTACCCATCTCGGTTCTTGAGATGACCGAAGTCATGAGGGCCTACATGCCTGGCCCCGTCCGTCTGTATGTGCGCTCGTTGTCGTTGGCTCGGTTGCCGAGTGAGGCGCCCGCAGAAGTCTTGCGCCAGATGGAGAGGCAGCTTAGAACCTTGAACCCTTTGATGAAGGTGACCTGTCAACCCCTCTATCGACAGTTTGACAAGACAGATCACCCCCTCCTAGGAGTCGTCTTGGGTGCGGTAACCAACGGATATGGAGGAATATACGAAGCGTTAAAGGAATTCTTGACTCTCAAGGACCTGAGCGATTTGTTGGACCCGACAAAGCCATAGGACTGGAATGAGGAAGGGGACCTTGTGATGCGCGAGAATGGGAAGGTGATTTCCCCAGCCGGCACTTGGGACGCCGTGGACCTCATGAAACAGAAACACCGTGGGTCGGCTCGGAAGTTACCACGGGGAGAGGAGCAGTACCGACAGAGGCAAATCGAACTCAGCAGTCGGAGCACGACGGACCCGTGCCTTCTCGCCGCCCAGGGATAGAAGAAGGACCAGTTTGGCCGAATGACTATGTGGGTTAATGGGGAGCTTTTCTCCTGGGACCCCATGGGCGATGAGGCGGACAGGCTGCATGTCCCCTTAAACACCTTTACCCGGACCGATGAGCAGCAGAAGTTTGCGATGATGGTGGGATGTACAGAAGGAACAAGCGGAGGCCCGGGAAGAGGGACCGAGGAGCTCGGACCTGAGCACCCGGGGTTGGAACAGGAAACTCGCCGCCAAGCGGTTAACGATATCCGCCGCTTTGCCGCCAGGCTGGTTCGATGCACCTCGGAGCGGGTGGGCATTGCCATCGACCCCACCAAGTTGATCGAGACGTTGACCAACGAGATAATTGGAATGCCGGACATATATGAAACCTACAATTCGGAAACGGCACTCGGCGAGTCACTCGGGGGTTCTTCTACTGGTTTGTAAGAATATGAACCGGAAGAGGGGTCTATCGCTGGCTGCGAGCCCGGCTAAGGGCGTTTTTGGCAACTGCTCCAGGAGTCCAGGATGGGCAGCAGTTGAGCAAGGCCATCGACCGAGACATGAACCTTTACGGCCCAGACATGGTGATGCTGATTGTAGCCCCAAACGACACACGCGGTGCAACCCGTAAGTTTCACCAGGGAGCCCGGGAGACAGCAGACCCGAAAGACCTGAAGGGTTTCCTGCGCGATAACCCAGAGCCGGTTCAGGAAATCGTGGGGGAAAAGAAGACGGAATCATGGACCTCTGTCAAGCGAACCATCAGAGCACGATCGTCCCCAACCAAGGCGGAGAGAAAACCGAAAGCCGCAAAGCAGTCGCGGTCTGGAGACGCAACCCGCACCCCTGGAGCTGACAATACTGTCGAAGCCCTGACCAACCTCCTGGGTGGACGACTGAGGGAGGGTGAGACCCTCGTGGATGCGGTCAAGCGCCTGGTCGCCTCTGGGCAGACCGCCGCTCCTGATTCGGGAGCAGGAAAAGACAGTCCACAGGTCCGTGGAGGCAACCAGCCTCAAGATGATCGAGACGAAGAGCCCGGACGAGGGCAGAGCCCACAGTGACACACCCGACTCTAATCGAAGATACCTCGGGTTGAGGGTGGCGTCTGTTGAGATTTGGAAGCGGGACCTTTGGGTAGAGAGTCGGCTACCAACTGCGACCGCCATACACAGTTGGCTAAGTGAGACGTCACTTGGGCTTCACCGCACGTGTGTGGCAGGCCCACGCCTGCACGTAGATACCTAGGTAGTTAGATAGGGTGCATGAAGGTGGCCACATCTTCGAGCTTACCTCGAAGTTCGTAGGCAGCGCTTCTGACTGCCAGACCTCCAATCTGCACCACACACGAATACAATACTGTAATACCACAACTTTCATACCACAGGAAGGATGTTGGTGAAATTGCTGTGAACATAGATTGGAAAGTTCTTTATGTTATTAACAGCCACCTACCTAACTCCTAGGTCTGACTCTTCAGTTATAGAATTAAGCTTCAGACAGGATATATTTAGAAATAGTTATCGTAGGTGTGGGGGAGAACAACAAAAGTTTCACTACATCTCTGTGGACACATGACTGGAATTCCTTTTCCGGAACACTACCTGCATAATCACCTACTTAGTATGTACTGTTTCACAATGAATGTTGGGGGTAGAACTGCGAAATTAGCGAACACAAAATTGCTTACATGTAACAAAAGTCCTCATTCCATTGTTGACTCGACTTGTATGTTACTATAATTCCTGACATCTTTCTTGCGTGACAGGATACAATGCCATTGTCAATTCTGCCTGGGCAATAATCTTGAGATCAAAAAGTGAACGTCATGCAATTTTCAAAGTAAGCTGACTTTTCATGCGCTCATGCATTCCCGCTGCTGGCACCGCCTAGGCTCCATGCCCGACTCCCTCCTCAAATCCTCAAGTATATACGGTTCTCACCCAGCTCCCACACAACCTCACGCCCCCATCCCATTCTTTGATGAACTTATACTGGAAAGCCTGCTGCATGTTGAGTAGCTTTTCCATCCTCCCAACTGCTGTGTCGTCGCCTTTTTTTCGAATCTCTGTGCGGGTAGACGCCTTCCCTGCCATCGGCGGTGGGCGTGACGGTACCATCATTCTCGCTGGTGCTAGGCCACTTTACGTCAAAGATGTCAACTCCCATATCGTCGTTCTGGGAGTTTAATTTCTGGATCCGCTGGATGAGAGTGCCCCGATCCCTAATATCGTCCCCAGTCGCAATGGAAACCTCGTGGTTCTTGAGCTTGGAGAAGTGCGTCAAGAAGCGCCCCAACGATCCATCAATGGTGAGGGTCAGTGGTAGTGAGGAATCACTCTTCTCGGCATCGCCTGAAGGTGGGTGCACCTGGGTGCAATCGAGGATGACCGCAACGTTTATGATCTTGGGGTAATCTTCGGTGTCGTTCTCGTTGTACTTGTATTCGTAGCTCGCGTTTGTAAGCTTGGGGAATGTATTGTACTTGGTCGGTGGGAGACGACGTGAGTCGAAAGTCCAACCTCGAGCTCGATCCTCGGTGTATTCAGTGTCACGTTGCCAAGAGCCCAGTGTGAGGCTCCCAATTGCTGGGAATTCGAAACTTGGAGCCACCTGGTACTGGTCATGTCGCGCGATGTGCCGGTTGACCTTCTTGCCAGACACGGCAGATGGCAGGGCAACTTGGACAACTCCTCTGTTTCTTCGGTCTGGGTTCTGGCAAGCAGCATCCCCAGCCTCGGTGTGGCACTCTTTTTCAGCCGGGTGACAGTCGAACGAGAACGTAATCTGGGCGTCCCTGAGTACAGCAGCATTCCGCTGTTTTAACTCAATGCTGAAGAAGAGGAATCCCCGGAACTCTCCTTGGAACTTGGCCCAGTACAGTCCGTCATAGGTGACGAGGATCTCAACACTACCGCGGGCCGTGATGTGTTGCATGACATTGTCAGAGTGTCCCGGGCGACCTCGCAAGAGAAATGCGGTTTTCTCCCGCTTCCAAAGACTCCACCGCGCCATGCTTCGACGATATGGTGCCGGGATTTCGAGTAGAGATAATCGAGAGATGTGCCGATTTATGTCCGATTTGGAGAATGTTCACGTCTAGTTTCTTCCGATGACACATCTGGCACTTGGTGTTTGCTGCAGAAAGTCGCGCGCATCTTTTCCACAAAGTCTTTACATATGATTTCCTTCCGCATGCTTAGGTAGATTGCGGCTGAGCGTAGCGGGGCTTCAAATGTTGCACTACCTTGAGAGCTGGGCACGCATGGCTTCAGGAGACGTGCAGAAGACGTGCCCGGTCCAGCTGAAAACCCTAGGAGGCCTCCTGAAACGAGGCAACCATCCAGGATCAATCAAGCCACAAGCACTAGTAAGGTCGGATCAGCAACTCGTTGGTACACGTGTAGAAGGCCTATTCAATGCGGTGAGGTTGCACTCGTCTGCTCTAGATCGGAATTTTTACAGCCGAGAATCTCGAGGAGGAGCCAACGGAACCAGCTGATGTTTCCATGGACTTCAACCATAGGTGCCTCCGCCATCCCGGGCCAATCTTCGAATTCCTGTTGCCAAATAGCGAATTGCACCCTTCATACATCTGAAGCCCGCATATAACTTTGAACTTTTCTAGCAGAGCAGACCACTTCCAGGATTGTAATCACCGCAAAACCCCAGAACAGCTGTTGAACCCTCATTCCTGGCCGCACTATGCAAAAGATACAACATACAGATCGCCACCTCAGCTTGGCTAAGAAGGGAGATATCATGCCGATCACGATTGAGGAAAATCCGGAGGAGGCCATGGACGCTTTCGCGCGTCTCGTAACTCTCGGGCACTTCTCCAAGGCCACCGCTCTCTTCGACGATATACTCAAAAACTACATAGATGAGCTTCCCGTATTCGCCGAGTACGCAAACTTCCTTATACAACAAGGAATGTATAGCGTCTTGCTTGACCGTGTCAAGGAAAGATCAAACATGAAGACCGCTTCCAAATGTGAAGAAGACGAGATCCTGTACTTGGAGCTTCTTCAGGCACTCTCATTGCTTCATTTTGAAGGCAAGCTTCTTGACACGTTGGAAATACTTGAACGTCGCAGAGAGTCTTATGCAACCATGATAAAATCGCGGACCGAACCGACATATATCCAAGTAAGCTTTCTGATGTTTACACTTTTATTACTCGTTCTTCTAACCGTATCACAGATACGCTCGGTTGAAATATACCTAGCGATCATCGCCGCAATCATCTTGGTTGTACCCGAACGTTCTATCAAGTACGAACACAATGTCACTGTCGAATTGTCTCGAAACAAGACCTATGTCTTGGAAATTGGAGCTCTCGGAACATCCCGTTGGGGTGGGTTTACGGAGTGGTGTGACCTATTGGTGGACGAGCACCCCAATGAGGCCGTGAATATCTTTCGGACATTGCTACCTGTCATCCCAGCGGACGAAAGGATTAGGAGCTGGGCTCAGAGATTCGCGAGCAGTATTAGAACATCCGGACCTGAATACATTCTTGCAGCAGTCGGAGCCATGAACGCTATGATGCGGTTACAAGCGCGATGGCCCCGGGATGGTGGCGCCGGGACGAGAGACCCGAGAGATGACATTTTCATGCCCAGACGGGGGATGAGACACGACATTACTACGAACAACGTGGAGACGTCTCCGAAAATGGGCTTCGACTTGCTGGAAAAACTTTATGTGTCAGGGTACGATGCCAGGAGTCACCAAGCCATCGAACTGGAACTCAGTGCGTTCCAATCTGGCCGCAAGTTTCATCGCCTGAGAATGGGACTGGAAGGCCTAGCCGATATCGCGAGGGAAGAGGCAAATTATCGCCTCGAGAGCCGCTGTCTCCAGCTTATGGTTGAAGTGAATGGAGGAAAATTTGAGTCCCCGATCTCAGCAATACTTCCTATGTTATCGTCAGGGGCACTCTACAGCCATTTCGCCCAAGACGCCATTGAATTGATTAACTTGGTTGATCGTTTTCCTTCCACCGATGTTACCACGCTTCAAACATCGGTATCCATCGGATCCCTGGCCGCAGTCAGAATCGCACTTGATCGAGGGGATGAAGCAAGCTTGAAGAATCAACCACACCGGGAAGCACAGACGAGCGGACCTATTCACCAAGCAGCACGTAAAGGTTACGAGGCAATAGCACAGGTTCTTTGCGACCATGACAAGACAATCTTGTCGGACGTGGATGAGAACGGGTACTTGCCTCTACATGTTGCGGCTGAGAATGGGCATGAGAACCTCTTGCCGTTGCTACTGGGTTCAGAGAAGAATATCGACATACAAGTGAAAAGGATGTGGCGCTGGTCAGACTCTGAAAAGCAAACAGGAAGCACTGCGTTGCACTTGGCCTCGGCGAATGGACATGAGAAAGCCGTGGCCTTACTGCTGCATTGCAAAGCCTGGGTTGACGCACAAGATGATCGGGGCTGGACGGCCCTCCACAAAGCCTCAGCCAGATGGCAGTACGGCACTGCCAATCTTCTCCTGCGGCACGGAGCAGATGTCAATTTGAAGACTTCTCGCGGTGTCGAGATGACAGCCGTTGAATTAGCTGCTAAAAGCGGATTTACTGCTTTGGTTGATCTAATTCTACAGCACCAGTCACCCAGCGATTGTGCCTCGGATGGGAATTGTGGACGCGCACTCATTCTCGCAGTTGAGAATAGGGATCTGGAAACTGCCTCGCTTCTGCTCGAACACACCAAAGACATTCAAGACGCCGTAAGGACCGATCAGCTGGCAGACGCCGTGCGTGCCGCCGCAAGGAAACGCGACATACATCTCGTGGAGCTCCTCCTGAAGCACGGAGCAGATGAAACGGCGGCTATACATGAGTCTCTGACCCAAAACAATGCTGCTATCTTCGAGCTACTGCTAGAGTCTGGAGCGGATATTGCAGCCAGAAATGACCAGGGAAGGACAGCCCTTACCCAGGCGATCTATTACAGACAGGATTTGGCGCTCATCCAGATTCTTATGGCTCGTGGGGCTGATGTTGAAGCCAAAGATAATGCTGGAAAGACAGCCTTGCATCACGCGATAGATACAAGGAACAAGGAGCTCATTCAAATCCTTGTTGATCGTGGGGTCGACATTGAAGCCAAAGATAACGCGGGAGAGACAGTCTTGCATCACGCGATAGATAAAAGGAATAAGGAGCTCATCAAAATCCTTATTGATCGTGGGGTCGACATTGAAGCCAAAGATAATGCGGGAAAGACGGTCCTGCATCACGCGATAGATCAAAGGAACAGGGAGCTCATCCAAATGCTTCAGGATCGCGGGGTTGATGAAGGTTCAGATTTAGGATACAAACGTACGATGTACAATATTATGCGAACTAGCAGTGAGGATGGCACGTGGTGAGGATGGCACGTGGTGAGGATGGCACGTGGTGAGGATGGCACGTGGTGAGGATGGCACGTGGTGAGGATGGCACGTGGTGAGGATGGCACGTGGTGAGGATGGCACGTGGTGAGGATGGCACGTGGTGAGGCTTCTGCTGGATAGTCCGGGGCCACGCCCAGTCCTTGAAGAACGCGTGGGATGGGGCTCGGAAACCATCACTTTAATGTTCTAGCACTGCAGCCTGCATGGAAGACTGGGCATGAGCAGGTATTCAGCGGATGAAGAGTCTGGGATGGACCAGAGGGTGTAATGGTGCGAGTGTCAGATTCTACTTACCGATCCCGATTTTCCCTCTCGGTTTTCCCTATGCTGTGATATCCTGTTGTATGGATTCCCCTATTACTCCGGGATTTGAGCCATCACACAATCGCAATTTTGCAACACTTGCATCAACATCATCGTGTTCGAAAATTCCTCTCCTTTCTCTTCAGGCGAAATCTCATCGCTCTGGAACTAGTATAAGGCCCTTTGATATCGATACCACATCGAAACAAACGTCTTTGTTCTCATTAATTAGGGATCATATGGGCTGATACGACCAGTTGACATCTGCAGGAGTCAACATAGATACGAATGTACCCTACAGTCACCATGCTTAGCGTGCGCGACTCTGAAGCACTGTGCTATGGTTGAAATGATTAGAGAAGACTTGCATGACTACATGCTATTACAACTCTGTGACTTTTACACCAAAAGTCATGGCTCGAGATTCACATCAGCCGCTCAACCAGTGTTATGTCTGAGCAGGGGATTCTCCACACCCTCAACGGATCTGATGTACTGTGTGGCTCTGCTCCCAACCCCGCCGCCGTTAATTTCTTCCCAGGGTCTGAGCCCCGAGTGGAATATTTCTTGATACTCATTTGTTGTCATGCCAACACATTCCGCCCCTGATGGATTGATCAACCAAGAATCAGAATCCTGGCTGACCTTTGAGCGGAGACAGTCGAGTGCTTCAGCCCATGTCCCACTTTTCAGATCAGTATTCATGAGACGGAGCTTCGTTCCGGGCTCAAGCATGTCTGTGAGTGTTTTAAGATCTTCAATCCCCACATCAAAATTCGCGAGCACGGCAGACTTTAGCCCATGCCAATTTGAAGACGTTGACCCTGAAACCAGAGGTCCAATTGGAGGCTGAGCATCGTCAATTTTCTCGGTCCCGACGTAAAGGTCCAAGTGAAAGTTCGGTACTATTGAACGGCCCATTGCTGCACGAAGATAAGCGTAGAGTCCCCGCAAATCCTCATCATCGGCCCAAGGGTCGTCATGCTCCGGGATAGGGGAGAATATGAAGGTCTCGAGATCTTTGGTGGCCTTTTCGAAGCTAGAGAGCTGTTCATCAGACATACTTAGATCCAGCATATGAGCGGGGTAATCCATGCGGACTTCGAGTTTAGCCAACTTGGTCTCTACCATACGCATCGCTAGGGGTATCTCATAGAGAAGTGAGTGCGGCAGCTCCTCAGGATTGTCATACCCCGCCGAATGCCACCATGAATCAGGTTGGGCTATATAGGATAACGCGTGGTCCTGGTGATGCGGTTCGATGAATGACAAGAAGTTTGATTTGGCAAGCTGGTGGAGATCGCTTTCGGGAGTCGAGCGCCTCCCATCGGACATGTAGAGCCATATCTTGGACCTGCTTGCGGCGGCGGTCTCTGCAACAGCACGTGCGAAGGAGCCGTCCTGTATAAGCCTCTGTTGTTCCTGATACAGTTCTTGATAGCGTTTGTGTCCTCTCTGAAGTGCGCGTATGGCCGCGTCAGGTTGAGCAGATCCTTGGACGGAGTTTCCTTTTCTCAATCGATCGATGAGAGACCCCCATTTCGACCGGACGCGTCGAAGTTGCCGCCTACCGTTTATGGCGCTCAAGATTAACATACCCCTCGGCAGGAAGTCGGGTCGCTGCTTGAGGTATTGTTCTCTCGAGATTGGGGGCTCTTGTTTTTTCAAGAAGTGGGAATCGGCGGAGTTCAACCATGTTTCCAGGAAGCTTAGGCTCGTTTTAAGATACTGCAAGCGCAAGGTCGCGAAGGCACGAAAGTCTCCGGCCATCTGGGCGGAGTAATATCTCAAGTCTATATCCAAAACTCGTTCGCCTGTCCATATTTCTGGGTGGCTGGACACACTCTTTAGACGATCGAGAGACGCCCTATCGGGGGAGACTCTGAGGCCTGCGATCAGTAGATGAGAGCTGTTTTGGCAGAACCAACGGCATGTAAGCCTGATGCTCTTTATGGTCTCTACATCGGCCGCCTCGTCGTATTCGTAGCTTGAGGGTGATATAGTACTAAAATCCAACGGAGGTTGAAAGTTCTGGAAGATCGCCGACAGCACCTCGGCCGGCATATCCATTATGCCTATATCTTCCTTGCGGAGTGCACGAGCGCGTAGCTGGTGCAGATGCCGCGCGGCTGCCTGCTGTGTTTCGACAATCTCCACCAGTTCTTCGAGAATGGAGAGGGACTGCGTGATAACATCGCATTCCGTGGCGGCTTCATCGCTGAGGGGCTCCCCTTCCGAAACGGCCTGGGACTGGAGCGTGAGCTCCATATTCCCCCTCAAAGAACTCAAAGTCTCGAGCGCGGAATCGGTCCTGAGCATCTGCTGGTAGCAGTTGCTTGTCTGGAGATGCTCTAATTCCAGTGAGCGTCGAATGCTCGCCATGGCCGACCACAAGGCGGTCAGATGCACAGAGGCCATTGAGCTCATTGAGTAGTCGTGTATCAACCTCGTCCTCTAAGGGGCCGGGTATGCGAAGTAACAGCTTGGTGGATTAACAAAAAGAGCTGAGGATCTGGCAAGTGGTTGACTGAACTGTGTTGCATGTGTGGTGTAATATGCAAGGGGGCACGCCAGCACCGCGGGGAGAACGCGAACCTGTTGACCTGCCACTAACACGTTAAAGTTGTCTTAGCGAATTCAAAAAGAGAGGGGTTGCCTTGAGGCAGTGCTGGATTGGTCGAGCCCTCTGACGGGTAGCTGTGGATTTCGAGTAAAAAGGTACCACAGATATGGTGGAGTTTCTATGCATTTTGGAGTATCCCACTCAGTCGGATTGCTATCAATACAAACACATGAATTACTAGATTTGGTTATATCAAACCTTAAAGAACTATGGAAGGGTCAATTTCTTACCTAATCGGGTTAGAAAATGACATGATCTACGTCGTGATGTCACCTCAAGCGGTGTATACCCATGCACGGCCGAGACGCTTTTGAAGCCGATGGAAATTTGCTGGTGAGTATAAACCTCTACCGGAGTCAAAAGCCTTAACGCAGAATATGCTGGAATCATAAAGCTTTCGACTATCTGATATTGGGCGCAGGCACTGGAAGTCCGTAGCCACCTGCGTTCGTGCTGAAGGTCTCGTGCATTTGAATCTTGGTGTTTGCCGTTGGGCAGCTGCAAGCAACGCAAATGGGACCCCGAAACAGTCTCATATCCGAAAAAGGCTTTCCTCTGTTTCATGGGGAAAACTTACCCATCTCAATCCGCGCACCGCGATATCCCTGACCATCGGTTTCAGCTCTTGCGCCGACACGCAACCTTCAGAATTGGCCTCCTCGCCTTGTATTCCCCAAATCCGATTTCATGCCCGTAGCACGGTGGACTTTAAGCCCATCCAGCGGGTGTAATTCTCAAGCCCGAAGTGTGCCCTAAGCTACAGTGGTACTTACCCCTGTGATTGGCTGGCCTTAATTCGTTCATCGCAGTCCCCTACGTAGCTGCTATAACATAGGGATGGAATAGACCGGTGATGAAGCAGCCTACGGTTTGATTTCTACATCGAAGCCCGAAAAAGTCGACGGCCTACTGACGCACTCTATGGACTTTGCAGTCCCGCCAGCTGGTGTTTCGGCCGGAGAGAGCCCACCCACGGCATCAAGGCCTCACAGAGTAGCCTGTAGGTAGAGTTTGAGGATTCCGATCGAGAACAATTCATACTCTTGAATGCGTTCTCGGTTTGAACTCAAAGGCGTTCTCTCACCTCTGACAGAAAGTTTGGCGGTGGTGCAGACACCCAGACCATTGCTATTGACGCTGTCTGAGAATACTAGTATTACCTAGGTAATGGCTTTTCCAAGTCAAGTCGCTAGGAAAGCACACTTGAATCGACTCCCTTCGCTATCAGGCCCAGGTCACCTGTGATAGGGATCACGATACATCTGCTTGACTCCAGAGCGGTGCATCAGCAGTAGGACACCTGCTGTTACCTAGGTATACATAAACGCAACAGCTGAACAGAAGAAGCGGCCGCTCCGGAGGACACAAATAATTCTTCAGATGCAGACATCACCGCGTTTAGAGTGACACTTGGTTCAAATTGGATAGAAAAACTTAAAAAATGAGACAGGTGTAGGGGAGGTGAGGGACGAGTACCAGTAGTTGTCTATTTAGGTTAATCTAATTATCTTTGAACTGCGTACTCTGCGTCTGATTTTCATGAACACTTCTACTACGCTTATGAAAGCTAACTGCAGCGAAAGGCTTGTCAGTTAGTAGCCTCCACGCGGCAATTCCCTCAAGACCTCACATCCAACCCCTCCCTCCCCCGCGTCAACATTCTTGCGCAGAGGATTTCCCACACCATCAATGGATGTGATATATCGTGTCGATATGTTACATGGGTCAGGGGGCGTAGGGTCGTCCTCGAAGATCTGGAAGTAATCCTCACTCGTCATTGCTTCACACTCAGCCCCGTGGGGGGACAGAAAACTGGATCCCCAGCCAGCTTTCAAGCGGAGGCAGTCCAGCCCTTCAGCCCATGTTCCACTCATCAAGTAGAGGTCAAAAAAGTCGATGCGTACGCCTGGCTGGAGCATGTCGACTAACGTATTCAGTTGATGGAGATGCAATGAAATGTTGTGGAGGCGGATCAGCTTGATCCTTGGCCAAGACGGAGATGTGAGTAAAGGCCCAATGCTAAATAGCTCCGGGTTTATCGGCCCCATCGACGTGGTTGTCAGACTTCCAGCATTGAAGGGTTCTGGGTTACGGAATTTGTCAAATACTCCGCCGAGACCCAAGGAAAGGGTTGGAGTGCTTTGTTGGCCCATGGCTGCAGAAAGATAACCGTAGAAGCTCGCCATCTGCTCAGTCGTTCTCGTGCGATATGGGCCTCTAGTAGAGGCCCCGCCAAAATCAAAGCCAAAAAACTTGAGTTCTTTGGCGGCCTCCCTGAGGCTGACAAGCTGATCACTAGATAGTCCCAGGCTGAGCTTGTAAGGTGTACTTATGCTGACCCTGAATCCCACCAAGGAGGCTCCCGCTGCATGCATCTCCAGAGGAAGTTCGTAGAGCAGCCACTGCGGAACCTGATTTGAATATTTATCTTGCGCCGTGTACCAGGCCTGAGTACGAGGTAAAAGGGACTGCACTAGACGATCCGGATCAGTTGGCAAATCTGGATATGTAAGGCGCAGGCGCCACAACGGCCTGTAGTCGCGGCGCAAACTTGGACAATCTGAGATGCACAGCCATACGGGGTTTCGACTACGTGCCGCGGCCTCAGCAATTTTGCGCGAAAAGAGCCCGTCCCTCAGGATCTTTTCTTGCTGCTCAAAGAGTTCACAGTAGCGTTCGTGGCCCTTGACAAGAGCCAGAGCGGCCGCATCGAGCTGGGTGTCTTGGCTGACATGTTCACCGGACCTGAACGGCTCCCAAGAAGAGAGCATGCGGCGGTATGATTCGACATCGGCTCGCAGACCTTCTCGCCAATCAATGCCATCAGGATCGCTGTCATAAGGAGTGCCGTCATCGTCGTTCTCTTCACTAATCTCCTGCTCAATGCCGTGGATTAACCGTCGGACATCCCGTGACCACCTTCTAGCAAAGCGCCGCATGTCGCTGGCGATGCCTGCGCCGTAAAAACTTGCATCTATTCTGAAGACCCGAGGTCCTCGAGAAATTTTCGGGTGGCTTGCCACCTGTTCGAGAAACTCGAGAGATGACCGAGTTGGGCTCACATAGACGCAGGGAATCAGCAAATGGGAGCTGATGTCGCAGAGTCGACGGCAAGTAAGCCTTGAGTTCTGGATGGACCTAGTGTCCACCCCCAAGTCGAGGTGGTAGAACACTTGGTCTGAATCGACCCAGCCTTTGAAACAGTCGAAGATCTCGAGCAGCAGCTCATCTGGGAGGTCCAAGAGGCAGAGCTTTCGGAGCAGCGGACGAGCGTGCAAGTTGAACTCTTGTCGCGCTGCAGTCTGGAGCCCCTCAAATTTCCGTACCAACTCATCCACTTCGCCGACGGACAGTGGGACGTCCTCGTTCTTGGCAGCGACCTCATTGCCATCACCGACCTGAGGTCGCGATATGACGATTCTGTTGGCAGTTTTCAGCATCTGAATGGCTGAATCAAAACAGAGCATTCGCTGGAAAAGATTGTCCGAGTCAAATTGGCTCATTGCGAGCTCAAGTGCATGATCTAGTTCTGTCATTGAATCCATTGCAGTGCCGTAAAATGGGTTTGAGGGGATGAGAAAGGTTTGAAATTGCGTTCGGGGCAGGGCGGCACTAAGACAGCTTGAGATTTGGAGTCGGGACATCTGGAGCTCATTGCTTTTTCAGTCGCCAACTGTCGTAACAGGGCTGGTATGAGATCATGTATCTGAGGTTAGCATTGATAAGATAAGCGAGTTACTGGGCTGCCTAGGTCTAAGTAGGTACTCAAGTACCCTCGAATAACTCGTGGGAAAAGCGATGAACCGCAGCACGAGATTGTGGGTTTCACTCCAGTGTCCACTATATAGCAACATCAACAGTGCAGTAGAAAGCCTAGGCCGCAGGAGTTTCCATCTGACAAAATAATGCACTGTGGAACAACTCTTTTTAAGGCAGCCTCACATAGAACAAATTCTCATATGATTATTCCCATAAGAAAAATATACTGCTGGATAGATCGCGAGCCCATAATTTTATGTGCAATGATGTCCGGGAGGAGATGATGTTGCAATATATGTGTCACAAATCTGAGTAGGACTTCTCAAATAGAGCAAATTGACTGGTTTCCTAACTGAATAGTGAGTGGGGGAGGCCTTATTTGAAAACAATGGAGCGTTACAATAGGTCACCACTGCTCTCAATAACATGTATAAGAAACAATTTAAGCCAAGTAAGTCGACAATCCACGTGGTGAGGTCTTCCAAACCGTACCGGTATGGCTGAAATAATATATGTGAGGCTGCCATTTTATACTCTAGCTGGTATACCCCTCGAGATATAGGACAATACTTGAAAAATACAGGCGGCCACATTCTTAACTACAAAGAGTTCTAGCAAGTAGTATATAGAAGTCAAATGAACATTAAGAAGACTAAATACTCGTCACGAGCTTACGTGTATCATACACCCTACACGCTCAAGGGTATCGCCACTAGCAAGGGCATCCGTCACCACCACCGCAAGCATTACAGTCCGAGTGGAAGTTAAAAGTGCACCCAAAAATCCCAAAACCCTTGGCGGTACCCAGGCAGTTCAGGCACGCCAGCGCAGCCCTCTGGCAGTTCGTGTTGACGCCCGGGACGGAAGCCGGCAGGTCGGGCCGGCTCGCAGACGTCGGCACGTCGCAGCCCGACGCCTCGCTGGGCGCGATGGCGGCCGCCTTGATCGACGCGGCGTTGTCCTCGACGATGCGCCACAGCACCAGGTTGGCGATGACGGCGTGGCCGCCCGGCTGGGGGTGGAAGACGCGCTTGATGTCGTCCGAGACAAAGTCCGACACGCTCAGGCCGGAACGGCCCCGGAACGCGGGGTCCGCCGCGCTGCCGTCGGGGAGGGAGACCACGAGGGTGTTGTTCCTGGCCTGCGCCTCCGTGATGAACTGCTCGATGGAGCCCTGGAAGGTCTCGTTGACGGAGGGTTCGGTGCTGGGCGTGTCAGAGCCACCTGTGCTGATGCCTTCTCCTTGTCGGGGCTGGAGACCGCGCCGGAAGGAGCCGAGGAGGCCCTCTGCTGTCCGCTTGGACGTCTCAGTGAGGAGGCCCAGCAGGCTCTTCTTCTCCACTGGCAGGGGCGGTTCAGGCATGGCGCGCACCATCAGGGGATCCGCGGCGAAGAGCGCAGACTCGTCCGTGCCTCTGGGGAGCAGCTTGGATGTGGTGTCGGTGCTGGTCCACTGGAAGAAGAGCAGGCCGTTCCTGTCTCCCTGGGGCTCCTTCACACCAGCCTCGCAGAAGCGGCCTTGTAGCACTGAGAAGTACTGGTCGTACCCCACAAACTCAAAAGCGCTTCCTGCCCTCTTCACGGCGGCCTCAATAGCCGCGTTGGTGGCCAATGTAAGCTCGTTCATCAGGGTTCTCCGTTGCGTTGTCAACTTCTGCTTGTTCTCGGTGTTGAACCAGAATGACCAGGTGGTACTGTCACACTCTGTAGTGCTGTTGTCGAAGAAACTAGCATAGCCGGTGACATAAACCTTGCGGCCTGTGTTGATCTTGTCCGCCAGGCCCGCGTATAGCTTGTCCAGGTTGCCAGGCAACGTATCGCGAATGAGGTTGAGGGTAGCCTGCATATCGTCCTCGCAGTTCCGGAAGGGGTTCCACTGGAACACACACGAATTCAGGATGTCGCTGAGGCCAACGTCGTTGCCGCCCGCGCTGACGGTGATAAGGTCATATCCCGTGCCCAACTTGGAAACCTGGCTGGACAGGATCTCGGGGCTCGTGGCGCCGGAGCAGGCAAGGAACTCGAAGGCCGCGCCGGGGTCCTGTGGCATGAGGTCGTTTTGTTGCATGAAGGCTGGGTAGGACTGGTCGTAACGAGCACAGGCCGCGGAGGAGTCAGGGTCAGGGCTGCCGGACCCGATACCAGCGGAGCTTGGGGGAAAACCATGTCAGTTGTGAATTGTAGACGGGAGGGAGTGCGGCTGAACATACTATGAGTCGCCTATAGCTGCCCACTTCTTGATGAACGACAAGTCGTACGGGTCCGCGGGAGCTGCCTTAGCCGAGTCCCAGCCGTTGTCGCACACACAAAGGTCGCTGTTGATGCCGTCAGAAGAGATCCAAGTACAGGTTCGATAACATAGACAGCAGCCAGGTTCAGACATACAAACCGCACCAAGCTCCTCCCAGGCCACCGCATTGGGAGACACATGGGTCATCCTTAGCGCAACTCTGGACGCATGTGCCCTCGACAATTCCTCTGCACTGGAGGTCAGTATGGTATTCGGATCTGTGTATTCCTGGCCAGTGAGGGGTGATTTTCTCCAGACTCACTTGACTTCGTTTGGCACAGCCAAGCAGCGATGGGCAGCAGTGCCGTCGGCCGGGCAAGCATCCAGGACGGCCGATTTACACTGATCAGCGGCAACGAGGGTGGAATTTCCACCATCAGCTTGTGCTGCGGTGTACCCGGCGAGGGCACCGAGCAGGAGAATCTCGAGCTTCATGCTGAGTAACGAAAGTGGATACGAAAAGAAAGACGGTAAAGAGTGAGGAAGCACAGCCAGTAATGCTTGGGATCAGTGCCGGATGAAGGAATGGGATGAAGAGCTCGAGGACAGCCTACATATCCTGTTCTGGCAAAATGTGAGCTCCACGCGTAGCTATAATATTGATCGGACGTCACCACGTGGATGTCATCCAAGATCTAGACCCCTGACTCGACGTTCCTGCATCTGAGGACTTATTTGATATTCCCCAGACCAATCTCAGCCCCAAACAGCCCAGACCTCTCCTTATTGCCCCGCCACGCATCAAGGTTAATTGGAATCAAAACTCTCTTCTGCGGGTCCTGGCCAGATAGCAGCTCTTGGACATGAAACATTATCCCATCGAGGCCAGCCTTACGAGCCTTGTGTCACTGCGGGTTAAGCGGGCTTTATCCTTGGCAGGGCCCGGTGGCTTGGGACTAGGTTCAACGTCGAGCCGCACACCCACTAGGATGCTCCCACAGCCTCCCAGGCACTAACCGGTTCATGCGTGGCGCCCCCGTGGCGCTCGTGCGATTTTACTGACTCGCCTGCTAGCTTGTCGCAGTTATATCTGTTTTCATGCCGGGGTACCTCTGTCTGGGGCAAGCCATCGGCCTGGACGGTCCTTAATGGAATCGACATATGTGCTTGGCAAAACATGACAAGACTCGGCTCGCCTGCCTGCTGCTCAGCCGCAGCGTGTGAACGTCCCGATCGCAGTCCCGTTCTAGCGTGCCGCATGTTCCGCAGTTCTCATCAATATCAAGCTAAGAAAGCATATATGTGTTACGGCTCGATGCGAGTCGTGCTGGCGCCAGGGGAAATTTGCTCCCAAGGCGAATAAATTTAGCAAGCCAAGCAGGTGACGTAAATTTGTTTTCTTCGCGAGGCTACGTTGTGTAGATTAGGGGGTCACTTATTTGTCAAGTTGGTATGGGGGGACTCATGGCTCGGGCCTCACAGCAATCTGGAAGCAATATGTACAAGATGTATCACTCGCCCATCTCGGTGGAGCCCCGTCCCATATGTATTTACCCAGATATCCGGTTCACTTCACCGTGTGATCACCGGCTTTCCCGTGTCATTCTTTAAGCCTTGTGCTAAACACACTCTTTTTCATCTTCACTCGCTTGATTGAGGCCCATTACTATTCAAGATGATGCTATTTGGCAAACAGAACAGCTGGAGTCTTGACTTCCACACCGTCCTTCTTTTCTTCACGCTTCTTCTCAATGTTGCTGCGCAAGCACCTGTCCTGGGTGTTACCATCGACAAATCAGCCAGAGACGACGCGCAGCGCATCATATACTCCACCAAGCTCACCTTCAACGAGGACACTGGTACTCTTTTCAGCGATGCCCAGATCTACGGCCTCGCCCGCCTGGGCTTCGAGGAGATGAGGACCAAGTACGCGGCCGACGAGGTGCGCGACTTTGAGCAGCCCGTCATGATGGCGGCCATGGCCGTCGGCAAGTCCGTGTACATCTCCTCCAACATCAAGGGCGGGCCGTACTTCTACGCCTACACGGACACACACCTGAAGCCCGAGGTCACCCTCGCGCTGGAGAGGTGCACCACCAGCCTGGAGCAGAACCGCGGTGTCCCGGTCTCGGGCCAGCACCGGACCAAGGCCAGCTGTGCCGAAATTGCTGCGCTGCATGAGGTAAGTTCCGATCATATGGTCTATACTAGTACAGACCTCTCTACTGTCAATTGTATGATTGTTCTGACAAGATCTTTAGTTCTATCTGGACCCTGATGTCTCAGACGCCGACCGCGAGAAACGCCCTGCTACGCGTATGGCAGCTTTTGGACAGCCCGGCGGTGTGGGCAAGATGCAGCGTGAGTCCCATTCCATAATCATGTTCATGTCACAGAAGTCGTGGTTCTGACAGACGCTCTTCCATTGTATAGCCCAAGCAGCCTGCGGCGGCCCCGAGAACGTTGTAGATGGCTTCATGACGTGGGGTTGCAAGCAGTTCATGACCGAGGAGTCGATCAACGTCCCGAAGAAGCCGTCGAGGACATCCGCCGACATGAACCTGCCGAACCCGTTCCCCGAATTTACGTCCAAGCAAGTCAGCTTTGTCTGCCCCGGCCGCTCCGGTGGGAGGAGGCTGGGTGAAGATCCTCCAAGTGACACGCCTACCCCACCCACTGAGACGATCAATATCACCCTGGACCCGACGCCGACTTCGACAGTGATAATCAACAACAGGTTCTAGGATTTCCAAAGGGAGATTATCGGAGAGGAGCTGTTCTACAAGAGACCGTCGTGTAGGAGGTTGGGAAGTGAGTGCCGGCCTGGTGGCTCGCAACATTGAAGTGATGTAGCCACGTACTTGGAGAATTCAGCAAAGCTCGTATAAATCATGATGTTTCGGGTGGTTCACGGCATCTGCTGGGATGGAATCATTGTGCACTAGAGAAACCTTCATGAGTGAGAACGAGCATATATCTATAATTGTTATTAGCAAATGCTTGCAAAACTAAGCAGCCAGAACTGTCACCCGTTGGCGACAAGACCCCGGCAACTGGGACCTTTCAATTTGGCAGAGACTGAGAGATACCGAATGGCAAAGGTACTGCGCTGCCTACTTCACCCCCAGATCTCATTGTTTTAGCAACGGCCCTCTATTAGTAAACCCGACTTCACTCGCCAGCATGAGCATGACTGCACCAAATTTTCTTTCTAGAAAAGGGGCAAGTATCCAGACTTATGCGCTATTCTAGGATTGGAAACGAATCAAATGATGTTTGTTCGTCCCTTCATGACGGCTTGAAATGAACAACTACTTTGACCCCAACGTCTTGGCCCTTGGAAACCAGAGCGTCTCTAAGCTGCACGCCTCTGACTCCCCAGGCAGAAGTTGAGATATCCAAGACCAACTCTTCAAGGCTCCCCGGTCGGCTTTCCAGATACTCGACAATCTTCTCCTCGATCCACCCCCACCGCGGGGTTTCGTCCTCACGCCTCTTGTCCCAGCTGAACCCATTCCATTCGTAATGCCACCAGAAGTACATCTCATTCGTGATCGTCAGGAACCGAAGGCCAGCCGGCAGCACATCAGCGAGCCTGGGGGAGCCCTGGACGTACCACCCGAGCAGGACGGGCAGCGACACGGCCAGCCGCGTCAGCAGGCCAAACTCCCCCAGCGACCCCAGCGACCCGCGTATCCCCCACCGCCCCTCGTTGCCGCAGTCGATACCGGTCGATGACCAGAGGTTGAGCCTGACGGACAAGTCCTCCAAAGACCCCTTCAGGCCATCAAGCGCAGCCCGGACCTTTCCGAGGTCATACCAGCCGCTCACGTGCTCCGCGTCCAGGACGAGGTCGCACTGCAGCGTCGCGAGGCCGGGCGCGGCGCCCAGCACGGCGCCGAGGCCCCCCTCCGCCAGCTGGCACCGGACGAGGCGGAGCTCCCTCAGCGTCGGGCAGGTTGCGACCGCGGCGGCCAGGGGCTTGCCGCCGTCGTCGACGCGGTGGGCCTCGATGCGCCGGATGCGCGGCAGGCTGAACAGCGGCGCCAGGGACGAGGGGCACACGTAGTAGTCCATCTCGTCCTCTGGGTCGTCCTCGGGGCGGGGGACCAGGACCCTGGCCGTCTCGAGCGCGTGTCCGGGGCCGCCCGGGGCCGACGCCGGGCCGGCGAGGTGCTGCAGCAGGCGCGCTGTGAACTGGTCGCCCTCGGGTCCGGGCTGGGCGTCCTCGTCCTCGGCGGTGCGGTCGAATGTCTGGACGTCCAGCGTCTTGAGGCCCGAGAGGCGTGAGAGCACGGCGATGATCAGTGATGTCGGGTCCTGCTCGTCCTGTCTGGTGTCCGGGATCTGGGCCTCGGAGATCCAGGTGTGTAATGTTTTTGTCTCATCCGGCGTGAGGCTTTTCGTAAAGAGGCTGCTTTCTAGGTGCTTTATCTGCGGTGTGCCCCGCAGGGCAACGTGTTGGACCGCCTTGAGCCGCTTCGGGTCTCGCAAGAGCTCGCGCAAGTTGCTGACGATGGTCGAGGATGACGAGCTCTTGACCCCCATCTGACTGGCCTGGTCAAAGTCCCAGGTGATCGAGCCGGATGCAGCCATTTTGGCGTGTGGGCGTGTGATATGTTCGACTTGAAGTGGCCGAAGATGCGGTTTGGCGGAACCTCTCCACGGTTCAAGTAGGCGTCGACGTCTGGCCTTCCTTCTAATAATAAAACGGGCGTGCATGTGAAAGAGACGCAGCGGCTAATCCGCGGTGATCCCTGGCTACTGCGCCCCCCCGCCGTCCGTAGGGCTGCCCCTTGTTCAGGCAAGGGGCAGTGCGCAGTATAAATATTAAAGCTAGGCACTCTAGCTTCCCAAGGGTCATCAATGTCGTCAGGGCATAGCAGTTGAGCTGCTAGTTACTGCGGGCCGGCCTCGGCCACTGACTGGAAGAGGTGAAGCCATTGAATCTGCGTCATCGTTAGCACTGGACGCCCAGGCTGTGTCGGCCTGAAGGCTCCTCTTTCTAGCGCCAAACTCGCCAAGGTCACCCCCAGATGATTGATCAATGGATGAGAGTAGGCGCAGCATTCTCTTTCTTGAGTTCAACTAGCGAGTTATACTAAAAAAACTTCCTGTAGAATTGCTAATATAGTTGATATTATGTGCAACTCGTGAAGTTTTATATGAAAGACAAGGGCCCTGCGCACCTCAAGTTTCATGCACAGGGCGAGCGAGCTTGGGCCGGAACAAGTGACTTTGCCGGCATGCCGTTCTAGAGTGTCACACACCCGGCCTCTATGAACGCAGACACAGCACTCGGTATCGTAAACACCTAAATTGACCTCCACTGTTAAACATATGAATATTATTACCAACTCAAATCTCAGTCACAGTATATTTATACGAGATCCACTGCGTGAATGCTCACTACATACTAGTGACTAGCATCGTCCGAGAAAGCTAGATCCGCTGTCTCCGTATATCGAGGGCAAGGTGTCTGATCAAATCCGAACGATGTCACCACGCCACGCCCACCGGCCTTATATGTGCTCACTCTTCGGTCTTGGCGGAGGATCTCTCTCTTGAGCCAACACAGCAACTCAAACGCTACCAACAAGTCGACGCCGGCCCAGTCTGGATTCCCGCCGTAGACAATCCCACACCCCTTCTCCCTCACATCACGATACCAGGAACTCAATAATCTCGCTGAATCGGGGCAGACAATATCAGTGAGCACTTCTCTTCAAGCGGTCATCGAAGGGCTCGTCTCCACCAGCCAGTAATACTCGCTCCATCGGCACCGGCACATACTTATTCAAGTAGCTCGTCCTTCAGCGATGGATCTGTCGAGGCCGCTGTGGTCATCCCAGCCCTTCAAGGCAATCTACACGACATATTTCCTCCTCAAAACACCAGCCCAACTGCTGCTGCTCGCTATTGCGTATACCGCGAAGCCGTTCCGGCCCCAGCCGGCATGGGGCGTCAAGGACAACGTGCAGGCCGCCATGGCGAGGCTGCTCTTCAGCTTCTGGGCCGCGACACGGTCCCAGCGCCCCGTCTACGACGCGCCGGAGAAGGCACGGGAGAGACACGCCCGCGTCGGGCCGCCACCAGCCGACCTGTTCACCGGCGTGCTGGCACCTTCCGAACGCGCCAGGCCGGCCGCCGTCGACGCGGTCTGGTTCCCCGGCGCGCCCCCGGCCGACATGGCGGGGCAGGAGGTCGTGCTGCACTTCCCGGGCGGCGCCTTCGTGCTCGCCTTCGGCCACGAGAGGTCGGGGCGGCCGATCGCCGGCGTGCTGAACAGGCACTTCCGGGCTGACAGGACCGTCTGGGCGCAGTATCGCCTGTCTGGGACCCCTGGGGCGTGCTTCCCCGCCGCGGTCCAGGATGCCGTGGCTTTCTACCACTACCTCCTCTCGCTCGGGGCTGACCCTGGGAACATCATCGTCTCGGGTGACTCGGCTGGCGGCAACGTCGCCCTCGCCCTCGCCCGGTATGTCCAGGACAACCGCGCCAGGCTCCCGCTGCCAAGGGGGTTCGCCGTCTTCTCCCCGTGGGTGAGCGTGACGGCGACGGCAGGGAGTGACTATGACCAGCAGGACAACTCCCGATCCGACGTGCTCCACAGCTCTGTCCTGCAGTGGGGTGCCAATGTGTACCGGCCGCAGGGCCGTCTGTCGCCAGAGGAAGAAGCTCTCATCTCGCCCCTGCACCGTCCGTTTGAGCTGTCAGCCCCTCTCTATGTCCAAGCAGGCGGCGCCGAGGGGATGTGCGACCAGATCAGCAGCTTCGCGGAGGAGATGGCGCTGGTCAGGGGGAACCGAGTGCTCTTCCGCTCGACACCCGGGGCACCACACAACCTTCCGTTTTGCCATGAGCAATTCGGCCTTTCCAAGGAGCTCGAAGAGTCTCTCGATGAGGCATTTGAGTTTTTCGAGTGGAAAAATTAGAGCTGGAAAAGAAATTCGCGGCACTGCACCTGTGCCGGCTCTTTGGTTATAGGCTTGATGTGAAGGGGCCCATGGTTTGTATGTCTGTGTTGCTTCTTGATCCATGCTTGAGTCGACCTCACGGGGACGAGAGAGTTAGACGCAAGATCATTCATACTTGTCAGTGGTGCTCATCAATATTAATGCGATATAAACAACAAGATGAGAAGTCTGACAGAAGGACTACACGTGCTAGAACATTTGGGCCAAGCTACTCCGGTTAGGAACCTAGTAGGGCTAAGCTAAAAACTAGTAAATTCTTAAATAGAGATTTAATTAAGTTTATAAGGAAGTTTATATTATAATTAAAAGGTTTAATTCTAGATACTTAAGGTTATTATAAAGGTAAAAGACTTATAATATAATTATAAATTAAAAGCTTTTTAATAAACTTTATTGATAAAATATTAATATTATAATATAACTATTTATAATAATATTAAAGTAATTTAATTTATTTATTATTATTATAAAGTTAATTTATATAAATATATAAGTTAATATTTATTCTTTTATTATTAATTTATATTTTCTTTTTTAAGATATAATTAGTTATAATAATAATTAGTTATAGTCTCCTTATTAAACTAGGCCTAGTCCTTATGATTAGTATTAGATTATATCTCATTAGAGGTGTGTGAATTGAAGAAAAGACGGGCTCCTCTGTGGTCTTGGCAAAGTGTTGTCCTTCTGGCCCGTCGGGGGATGGGCTCAGCAAGCATGTCTCAGGGGCTTTTGACCAACAGTCTGACGGGAATTGGAGCGTTCCACTGCATAACAAACCTCCCAACACATCAGGCCACTTCCATGGTCATTATGTACGCCCAGTGAAGTGATCGACAGCCAAGCAGAACTGGTGGGTAATAATGAGGTTCCCCCATACTCATTATGGACACACTGGGATAGGAGTGACTGGTAGACCACCGGCAGCCTCTGATGCTCTTCGCTATTTTAATTTAGACTTCATCTGTGGCTTCCCTCCTGTTCTTCACATTTTATTAGCCAGACCAAGTTTGGCCAGAATTGCACAATATCAAGCAAGACCTGGGAACCCCACCTCTCCCATGGCCCTCCTGTGACATTCCAATACCCACGAAATTGTTGTTCAACCCCGCCATGTCCTTTTTGACCCCTACTTCAGACGGAATTCCACGTGCGGTCTTGGAGACGCATGATCAGCAGAAGAAGTTCATTGTGGATGATGCTGTCATGAAGCGTGAGCAAAAATAATTCTTCCGTTGTCTTTCCATATTACGTACCTACTCGTATCTACGGATGTAGCTGCCTAGGTAGGTCTCCTGTAACACATCTTTCTGACAGGCTTCAACACAACATACAGACTTTCCCCCAGCGTCGAAGCTGAAAAATGCCAGGTCGCACGGTGCCAGCTTCTGGACACGCAGCGCACGAATCGATATTGAATTGGCTGATGGAAGTACGCAGACATTCTTCCTCAAAGTAGCAAAGGGAGACCTGGGCAAGAGCATGCTGCGGGGCGAGTTTGAAGGTGCCACAACCATCTACAAGTACACCCCGGAAGGGATCCCCCGTCCGGTAGCCTGGGGCACGTACAAAGCGGACTCAAACGTGCACTTTTACATGAGCGAATTTGTGGATATGGTCGAGGACCTTCCCGATATTCACAGGTTCTCTTCGATGCTGGCGAAGCTCCACCACGACAGTATGGCAGACCCAGATGCACCCAAGGAGTTTGGCTACCATGTCATGACACATGAGGGCAGCATGTACCAAGACATTTCATGGTCTGCCACCTGGGAGGAGCTCTATAGGAAGCGATTCCAGTCGTTTGTTGACCAAGAAGCTAAATCACAGGGCCCGAGTGATGAGATTGATGGAATCGTGCCTTTGTTCATTGCAAAGGTTATCCCTCGTCTTCTTCGTCCTTTGCGAACTCACGGACGTATCAACAGGCCAGTCGCCCTCCACGGTGACATCTGGTATGGAAATATAGCAACAAATGCAGCAACAGGGGAACCTATCTACTTCGATCCCGCCGTATTCTGGGGCCACAACGAATGTCAGGTTTGTTCACTTTCCCTGGTTCGTTATGATCGTCATCTAATATCCAATGGTACACAGACGATGTGGGCAGTATGGCCACTCCACGGTACCAGCTCGGCCCACACTGGATGAGGGAATACCACAAATTCTTCCCAATCTCTGATCCAGTGGAAGACTATGAAGATCGGAACGCTCTTTATGCTGTGTAAGTCCGAGTTCAAGCTTTTGCGAGTTTTAGAATGACTCACGCTCTGCATAGAAGTGGGCACTTTTGTGCATCCACCCTCTATCCGGACAACAATAGTTTTCGCGAAATGTAAGAGTAGATCACACCTCTTTCCCAAATCGAACAATTCTAAATGTCGTTTGGCAGGGCTATTGCAGACATGAAGCATCTTCTAGAAAGGTACCCAAATGGTTACCAGGGTGAATAACTCTGCATGGGGATTCACTCCAGGCTCATATTGCGCGTGGCTAGCTCGATTTCCTCCCCCATTTTAGTTCTTTCAGGTAGAAAACACCGGCAAGAATACAGAAAGCACTTAGGATGCTGAAGGTTCATCCGAAGTCAACCAGTAGTAGGTATGATTTTCTTCTCTCCGTGACCCGTGGACGGCAAACACAGGGAGTGACTGTGATTAGCAGCACCACTCCTAGCAGAGCCAAGCTAAGAACTAGTAATCTTTTAACTTTATAATGAATTAGTTCCATAGGGAAGTTCCCCTTGTGAGTAGCAAGTTTGATGCTGGTCTTTAAGGCTCAGAGATATTGTGACGACGAGTTAGAAGCTGCTATACAGATTCTACTTGTGAAGATTATCCAGCGGCGCCTCATTTTGAATCTCCCTCCACAAAGCATCGATTCTATCACATGTCTCCTCACTCAGCCTGCCCTTTGCCACCCACTCAGCCGTCTTGCGAAGCTGATCAATACTGCTGGCGCCGACCGTGACAGAGTCGCCCAGGCCGGCATCCAACGCCGAATGCCACGCAACCCAGCGGTAGCCCAGCTCGGCCGGGCAGCTGCAGCCGGCGTCGTCGGCGATGCGGCCCCACCCGGCCAGCGCGCGCACCAGCCCGGGCCGCGAGCTGTACAGCTCGCGGTAGAGCCCCAGGCCGCCCCTCGTGCCCTCCGGGTCCTCCGGGTCGACGGCGAAGCGGCCCCCCGTGGCCGCGCCCGCCAGCTCGGCCGCGCCGCGCCGCGCCAGGAACCCGCCGGCCAGCGGGCTGTACGCGCAGAAGGAGATGCCGAGCCCGCGCAGCACGGGAAGCACCTCGGCCTCCTGCCGCCGCGCGAACGCCGAGTAGTTGCCCTGGTACACGCTCGGGGCCAGCCAGCCGTTGGCGGTGGCCAGCCCGTGGACCGCGGCGACCTCGTCGGCGCTGAAGTTGGACAGCCCCAGCCGCGAGAAGAGGCCCTGGCGGTGGAGGCCGTCGAGCGCCTGCAGGGCGGGGCCCAGGGGCAGGCCGCGGTCCGGCCCGTGGATGAAGTACGTGTCGAGCCTGTCGACGCCCAGGCTCGCCAGGGTCGAGTGGAGGCTGGCCGTGATGTTGTCCGGCACCAGCGAGCCGGGGGCCCAGCCGCCCGGGTGCTTGCCGTCGATGACGAAGCCTCGCGCGGAGACGTTGGATCTGCCGAGGAGGTCCTCGCAGTCGCCGTACAGCTGCGCGCTGTCCAGGCGCGTGATGCCCACCTCGAGCAGCACGCTGAACAGCTCTTGCACCGCCGCTGGTGTGTTGAAGCGGCCGTCGCTACTTACTGAGGCGCAGCCAAATGTGAGGGGAACGGGCGCCATTTTGGGGAGTGTCTTTGCTTGTTTGTCTTCTTGTTGAATTATGTAAAGATGAAGATGCTGTAAACTTCCTCTTGAATAGGAATTCGAAACGTTCGGTGACTTGGGTTCTGTCAGCCTTTTGGTCTCCCAACTGCTTGGGGTGTGGACTCTATTTAATCTTAGCGAAGATGAGGGCCGTGACTCACAGGTTTCGAAAAGTTGCTCGTCGAAGGAGGGAGCAGGCCAGCAACTCCGGCAAATATCTTCAGTTCAGGATCCGACTACGGCTGTGAGTGATGTGACAAGCTGATTCTGAACAGCAGAAAGCCCGTAAGACAGTTACGTTTGATGTTTAAATAATTATAACTTGTGTATTTTTTGAGAGAGGTGATGTTACGTACGATACATTCGAGTTGGTACATCGATTCAAATAATACGCCTGTATATCTACTAGCTTGATGGGGATGTACTTCAATTCCTATTGCGGTTGGTCACAGCACCAAAACATGAGATGCACGGTGTAATTTGCATACTCTGTACCTGTTTTTTCAAGGATCTGAGCAGCTCTTCCGTCATCTGGGTCATCTCAGCCTCCGATCAGTCTCCGGGTTGTGGTGGGTGTGAAGGATTCCAGACGACGGCCCACATGCGTGCCCCCACGCGAAAAGGAAAATGAATTGAAATGCCTGCAGCCTTTCTCCCCGGTCATGGCACATTGCAGTCGTATGGCATTGGGATTGTATTTTTCAATACAGGTTGTTAATGCGGTCCGGGGTAGTCCCGCTCTTTGCTGTTGACTCTTTCAACCTTCAAACGCTCTTGTGTATCATCTCTTGAAGCAATATGGGTACTCGCACATGTGGGATAGCCATGTAGCCTCTTGGATATTGTTCGGGGTACACTCCAAAGATTCAACCCCCCCCCCCCCCGGTCTCGACGCGTGGTCACGTCAACAGTGGTGCTCAGAACCTTGGAAGCCCACTTATAAAGGCATAAACGTCAATATGGGTACTCACGAACAACAACGCTGGCCGGGAATAAGACAGTCAAGCTATTTCAGCTCCCCACCCGGCACAACCCGGATTCCACAGCGCTTGACTGGACTGGGCCTCCCGGACCTTCCACCGGAGCAGCATCCATTCTGAAAGGAGCTGATGCTCCACCGCACACCAACCCCGCGATGACGAGACGCTAGAGAACATACCTAGAAGTGAAAGCCAGCCGTGGCTGTGGGGTTGACCAGAAGGACTCTTACACGGCGCAAGTTGGTTGGACTTTTTACCACAGGGCCGAGCGGCGTGAGCGGACGGTTCATGTCGTAGGAGTGCTGCTGCCTGGGTCGCAGAGGTGAGTAGAATTCATGGAATCCCATCTTTGATTTTCACAAGGAGGAAGAGAGTCTTCGTGTTTTTGCCAAAGCATACGTTTATGGAGTCTGCGTGCCCGCTTCAGACTGGGCAGGCGTGGGTACGCTCCTCACCCTCCTCTAAATCAAGATGCATTTTCAAATCCTGGAGACAACCGTCTTGTGCCACTCTGGTGTTACCGCAGCAGCCGACCTGCCTTATGCGCTGCGAGATGGGAATTAAGGCGTGGCCCCTCCCTGGTACTGCCCCGACGGCTGGTCAAGTCCATTACGAACTTGGACCGCATTTGTTAACGAGCGTCACGATTGAGTTTCCAGCAAGCGAGCTGACGATGGAATATCTACGGCCAGCCCGATCTCAGCGTAGTTGTCGTGGTTGCCGCAGCCGACGATGTGGCTACCGTCATCAAGTATGCCAACATGGCTGAGCCCCCTTTAATTGCCGTGAATCATGTCCACGGAAGCCATTTCACCTACTCGGTCGTTGCAAAATCTAGCTTGCTTATATGAGCGAGAGCTCCGACGATGCCATCCCTTTCAGGAACAACAACACCAAAAGCTTCTGAATTCGAAGACTTACCTGGGTACCCGTCGACCGTAAGACGGGCTCCAGGACTGGCAACGATAGGAAGGACAACGAGACTCAACCCCCCCACCCCCACACCGGCCCGACATGTTCTTCTGTGATTAAATCTACGTGTACCGGCCAACAGCTTCGGTCAAACGCCCCCGTATTCCAGGTTACTTTGTAGCCTTCCTTGTTGCCTCCGTTCAATCTCCGTGGCGGATTTAACGATTGTAAACCCCGGGCGACAGCTCCCTTGGCCTGTCGACCCGAAGGAGCTCCGCGCCTGACATGGCTCAGCGAAAATCAGTTACCTACCTAGGTAGCTAGGTAGGTAATAACATTTGAACAGGTGCCGTTTCTGCGACCTGGTTGCCATCCCCTTCGATTATTGCCCCCCCCCCCCTTGGCCCGGCCCCTTTGCTCACGCCACTCCGGCCTCGACCAGCACAAGAATCCAGACCAGCTGCTCGGGGTCGACGATGGCTACTCAGATTCGAGATACTGCGTTCGGGCAGCTCGTGCGACGCCTGTCTAACAACAGATGGCTTCGCTACCCAGACGAGGTTGACCCGACCCTGTGGGAAAAGCACTTGCGCGACAGGGAGTTCACCAGAGACGAGAAGCCCAACGGCACAGATGCCTCGTCACCCAGACCAGAGAGAAGTATCGCCGGCGATGTCACCCGCTCGGTGGAAGACGGACAGGATGTCTTCCTGGTAGACTGGTACGGGCCCGACGACCCAGAGAACCCCACGAACTGGCCCGAGGCCTGGAAGTTCCTGGTCGCGGCCCAGGTTTGCGTCCTCAACTTTGTCGTCTACATCGCGAGCTCGCTCTACGTCCCCGGCGAGACAGGCTTTGAGTTAGAGTTTGGCGCCGGCCCGACCGCCGCCATCCTGGGCCTCTCCCTCTTCAGCGTCGGCTACGGCCTCGGCCCCATGCTGTGGTCGCCCATGTCCGAGATGCCCCAGCTCGGGCGCAGCGGCATCTACGTCTGGACCCTGCTCGGCTTCGTCCTCCTGCAGCTGCCGACCGGCTTGGCCGTCGACGCCGCCATGTTTCTCGCCTTCCGCGCCGTCAGCGGCTTCGTCGGGAGCCCCGCGCTGGCCACCGGCGGTGCCACCATCACCGACGTCTACGGCCCGGCGCGTGCGGCCTTTGGCATTTGCATCTGGGCTTCGTTTGGTGTCTGCGGCCCCGTCTTTGGCCCGCTTATCGGTGGGTTTGTGGCCCCCGCGAAGGGCTGGCGGTGGACGATCTGGATCTACACGTGGATGTGTGCAATGTGTCTGATCCTCCTGTTCTTTCTCCTGCCCGAGACGAGCTCCGCCACCATCTTGTACCGGAGGGCCAAGAGGCTGAGAAGGGGCACTGGTGACCACCGCCTGCGAAGCCAGTCCGAGATCGACAATGCCCACCATACGACAAGGACCACCTGCTGGTCCTCTCCCGGGCCTTCACGTTGACCTTCACCGAGCCTATCGTCTTGGTCGTCGACCTGTACTCGGCTCTTCTCTACGGTGTGCTCTTCACCTGGTTTGAGTCCTTTCCCCTTGTATTTGGCGACATTTACCGCTTCGAGCCTGAGATGCAGGGCTTGGTATACCTGGGGCTCCTGGTGACCCTAATGATCGTCGTACCACTCTATCTGCTGTGGGTGCAGCGGGTTCTGGTGCCCGCCAGCTCCAAGCCGGGCTTCATCCCCGAGCACGTACTCCCTCCGACGTGGGCCGGTGCTGTTGCGCTCCCTGTCTGCCTGTTCTGGTATGGCTGGACCGCTCGTGAGAGCATCCACTGGATCGTGCCGATCATCGGATCTTCCCTCTTCACGATCCCCTTGGTCACCTTTTTCAACGGCATCCTCAACTACCTCGGGATGTCTTACTCGGCATATGCGGCGTCGGTCTTCGCCGGAAATGCGCTCTTCCGTGCCCTGTTTGGTGCGATTTTTCCGCTGTTCGTAAGTCTAATTAACAAATGTTCCCGAGTTGTGCCCGCAATGCCCCTCCTCGGGTGTCAGGCCGATTCCTGCCCGTGCTGAATTATTGTCGACAGGCGCGATCGCTCTTCACCAATCTCGGTGTCGGCCCCGGGAATTCTCTACTCGGGGGTATTGCGGTTCTGTTTCTACCGATCAACTTCATCTTGTACTTTGTAAGTATACCTTTGTGTCAAACACCAACGTCAATTAATCAGAAGTTCAGTACGGGCCTCGGATTCGAGCAATGAGTCGGCATGCTCGTCACGACGAGTGATCATCCAAAGATTTTTAATATCGAATGGAGATACCAACGCGCGCGAATCAGTCCTATCTGCGAAAAGGCTATGTCACAATTGAACTGGCTGAGCGGCAAACGATGTGTTGCGGGGGATGTCCGTTTATATTCCGAATCATAGGGATTTACCATGGCCAAGTATACCCAAAGCATAGACTTATAAGCCGCAACGTTCTAGTTAACGCCGTCGTCAAGACGGTGCCCCTTAGCCTTATCTATACATCGTAAGGCTAAGGCTATAAGCACCTATTATATTATAACTACCATTATCAACATTATATTCTTTCTAAGCGCTAAGTCTTAAGTGCTTACCATTATATAAAGGTGCTATATATATCCTTAAATATATACGGAATAGAAGCGAAACCACATATACTTGTGAGCAATTCTCAATTAAGTCAGCTTTCAGGATCATTAGCTCTGGAGGGGGCGACCAGCCGCTCAGTGATCGACTTTCATACGGGTCACCTCCCAGGTTATCGTTAATATCAACATGATGCCTTGCCTATTCACGTACATTGAATTATTCAACCCGAGGTAGAACCGGATCTCTTCATTGATATTGACTGTTATTGGCACTGTATTTCTTTAAACGCTGGGTCTTGAGCGTTTACTACCGTATGAAGGCGCCACATACATTTTATATGCATGGGGATTAAAAACGAAACCACCCACACTTCATTGATATTGGGAGTTTCCACATGTACACTTTCCTATCTATCGAATCTTAGGTGCCTAGGGCCCCAGCAGTTTTTATATCTGAGTTGCGGCCCTGACTTCGAAAGTGATGAGATAGATGGTCATCACCTGCGGACTTTACAATACACTTTCCGCAGTCGAAATGGGGTTTGGAAGTCGGCTCAAACGTAAGTATCAGCACGGCTCACTTGCGTATTTTACTGCCACCACTTGGCCATTATCTTGCCCATTGCCAATGCACTCCGCACAAGCCAGGGGAATTGTCGATCACCAGCCGTGCCTGCAGGCGACTTCGTACCACGTCGATCAAGGTGATACCGGTGATACCGGCGTTAACAACATCTCCAAACCCAGTTTGGTTAGATAATATCAAGTAAATATGGAAGTTGACCGAGAATCCCTTATTTCCAGACCGCGCTTTGCTTTTCTGACACTTGACAGTGTCTGAGAGTTGCATGCATAGTGCCTTGAAAAGACCACCTGAACTGTGGAACAGTATTGCAAGGAAAGCATAATATGTACATTCCTATATTGCATTTTGTCACTTTTCACATAATTTTGCCAGTCTCGGCGCCTGCACTGCGTTCAAGCACAGTTCTGATTAATGGTGTGTTGCGGAGCTGAGAGCGTGGGGCCTGGCTGGGTACGAAGCCCCGATTTACGCACCCCTCGGGGTTGGCACACAGGAATCCGATCCCGATGTGGGCTTCGGGTCCGTATCGAGCCATCCTTACGCTTCTATTCCGTAGATATCTAAAGATAACTATATATATATAATGCCTTCATATAATGTTAGAGGATTAATTTAGTTTAAAAGATACTAATAAATAATTTTATAACTTTAAAAGACTACTTATATAAACTATTTAATAGTCTTTCTTTAAATATAAAATAAAATTTTATAAATAGTAATATAATAATATTAATATATAATAAATTTATCTCTCTTAAATATAAGGTTAAAAAACTTATAATTATAATTTTTTAATGAATTTTTATTTAATTATTTTATTATATTATAATTTAATTTAATTTCTAACCTTATTTGAACCTCTTTTAAACTTATTTAATATTTTTCTTTTAAGTAAATTTAATTTAAATTAAAACCTTTAAGTTTAAATTTAAGATTTTTATATTTTTAATTTACTTTAAGTTGCTTATAATCCTTTAATTTCTTTAAAAATATATTAATTATTTTAAATAATAATAACTTTTTTAAAGTAAAAGTTTAGTTTTATATAATTATAAATTAAATTATTAATAGTTATTTTTTTCTATTTATAATAGATTTATTAAAATTATAAACCTAGATATTATATATAATAATAGAGTGTAGTTACCTTATTTAATTATAGTTTAGTTTATATAGTAGGCTAAGTAACTACCTTTAAATAGTCTTACTTATAATATAGCGAAGTAAATAGTCTCTTAAATCTATTAAATAAGTGTTTACTTAAGTAGAGTTAAAACCTATATATATTCCTTAAGGGAATAGTAGCTTTATCTTTACCTATTTTAACTAACTTAAAAGGCTTAAGTTATATAATAACCTTATATATAATATTTAATAGTGTTAAAATTAAGTAGCTTATAGTTTATAATAGCTTTAATCTTTAATAGATTAATAATATTAACTTAAATTAATTAAGTATAACTTAATATATTAATATAAAAGGTATCTTTTAATAATAAATAGTATTATAAATAATTATAAAGTTATTATAAAAAGTTCTATATAATAAACTTAATTACACTAATCTTTAAAAATATATTATATTTCACTCTTTTAAAACTCTAACTATTTACTTTTAGCTTAATAATAGAATTAAAAATATAAATAATTTATATAATAAATTTATATTAAATTAAGTTTACATTAAAGTTTAATTAATTAAATAAAGTTAAAATATTAAATTAAGTAAAGTAATATTAATAATTTTAATAATATTTATTTTAATAAAACGTTTTATTATATAATTTAATATAATATAATATTTTATATAATTAACTATATTTACTTATATTTTAATAAAAAAATAATATGTAAATAATATTTAAATAAATATAAATAGCTTTAAGTTTATATATAATAATTTAATTTATATAAAAGAAATTTAATTTAAAAGTAAAATTTATCTTTTAAAGTATAAGTATGAAAATAAATAAATAAAGTTTTATAAAGTTAAATAATCTATTATTATCTAGTATATAAGCCTAGTTAACTAGCGGTAAATACCGTGGTTAGCTTCACACCCCGACTCTTGACTGTTGAATAGTATTTGATGAAGATAGGGGCCAGCCCCTAGTATTAATATGTAGGGGAGAGAAACTGCCTAGCTAAGTAGTTTGCTAACAAATCTTCTCCTCTATCTACACCGCCTGTAGGCCCAACCCTCCTTTCCGGCACCACACCCTCCTCCTCTTCATGCGGCCCCTCTAGGGCGCCCTTAGCACAACAGCCACAGCTCTAGCCGTAATCGTTCAGGTAGACTTAGAGCCCTTAGGCTTCTTGGGCTTTGAGTCCGGTGTGGCAGCCGCCTTTTTCGAGGACGTCGTGGCAGCCGCCTTTTTCGAGGACGTCGTGGCAGCCGCCTTGCTTGAGGACGTCGTGGCAGCCGCCTTTTTCGAGGACGTCGTGGCAGCCGCCTTGCTTGAGGACGTTGTGGCAGCCGCCTGGCTCGAAGACGTCATAGACGCTGAGGACGCTGTGCTAGTCGCCGTGCCAGTCTCCGTGCCAGTAGACGAAGACAAGGCACATGCGCTGCCGGCCTTTGATCCATCACGCTTTTGGTTGACCAGGCACGCCGCTTCTTCGTTCCCTGCGGGCACCGGCTCGCTTTGCAACCAGCCCTTCCAGCCCGGCCAGGACTTCCAGTCCACGACCACATTCTTGTTCTCCATTTCGTTCCTCTTGTCAAAATCAGCGCATTCGACAATTGTGATGCCCAGCGGGTTGCTCTCCCCGACCATCGTTTCAGGAATCTTGAGCTGGAGACCGTTATCCCAATCCGAGAGTCGTAGGGCTGTCTTCAAGTCTGCTCCGACATCTTCGAAATATGCATGGATGTTCTTCCCTTTCTTCGCGTCGTTTTCGAAGTTGGTCCATAACCACTGGATTGGTTTGCCGGCTCTGTTCTTCTCCGGGTATTTCACCTTTGATGCAGCGCGTACTTTGCTTTCATCCGCCGCAAATAAACAGACACTGCAACAAATACGTCAGTACTTCTCGGTAGGTTCAAGATCCCGCCCTGTTTTAGGGCACACAGGGGCGACGAAGACTATTTGAGAGCACATACACCTTTCCCGAACTGCCCCAGTCCCCCAACTTATCCGACATGTACACACCATCGCCGAGTTGGTTCTTGCCAGGCTGTGAGTTCCCTAGAAACAACATGGTATCGGCGGCTTTCATCTCGTCAATCTTCTCCTGTAACACAAGATACCTGTCAGCGTCATAGGCACGTCTCTAGCATCGTTCGTTCATCGTCATCGAGTTTCTTCTATACCTTTGTCGACGCATGCCACCCGAGGTAGAACGGAGCGCGCTGGGTCAGCGGGATAACACTTGGCTGAACACTTCCGGCGAGGGCCAGAACGACGGCCAGCGTCTTTGCGGTGGTAAAATACATTGCAAGTGTGGAAAGAGAGAACGGGTTTTTTTTGGTTTTTTTTTTTCAAAAACAAAAATGAGAGTAGAACAGGCTTATGAAGTGAGCGGATGTAGATGGTAAGTCTGTTGAAGTCCAGCTTCTTAGTTGGTTTGTTGGAATAGTCTAATGATCATGTCTTGAGATAATCAAAAGAGCTGGAAGGCAGAAGCTATATATACTTCCCAGCTCGGGTTGACATTAGCAAGTCTAGTCATCAGGATCCACACTATTTCGAAGTAATCACGCAGCTTCGCATCAATAGCTTCGACACGAAGCTATCTCATTGGAATAGGAACAACGTCTTCCAAAACAACTGTCCCGCCTGTAGCCAGGTCTACCATACCAGCGACCGGTCCATCTGAGTGAGCAAAGCGCAATGGAAAGGGCCGAGGACCAATCCTTCCAAAGATGACTGGAGTCGCCTAGTATCGTACCAGGCTTGAAGCTCTGCCAGCGAATTACCGTGCTCACGTAGGTAAGTCATAAATGTGAAGGATGAAACATGGCCAACATGGCCCCCATGGGAGACCGGTATGTGCACGCGGCCCGGTAGCCAAGGCTGACTTGCTCCAGCATAGCATCCTGTCTGTGGAAACGGACTGACGGCCTAATAGGCCAACGACCTGACAACCCAAAAGTCAGCCCATACAACCGGTCACCAAAGGCTCCCTGTGAGGGTTTACACCCCGCCGGATGACGGGAGAGATCCGCCATTGGTTGATCTTTGGCCCCCAAGGCCTGCGCTTAGTCAGAACGGGCTAATGGGCCCATCCATCTGGCCCTCCCTCGCCATAAGGATTCACTCAGAGCTCAGTGCAGCCCAGCCTTCCTCGTTAAGCCTCGACGAGTATCTATATAAGGCACTACATCGCTCCACTCTTTCTCACTGTTGTCTTGATTGAAAATAAGATCTGAAAGACCTGAATACGGCACTCAAGTGATTCGACAAACATGGCGACGGCACTGAGCCCGGAGCGTGATGAAGCCCGCGAGACCCTGCTCTCAGTCTTATGCACCAAGGACAACTGGACACCACAAGAGACCGCCCTGTACACATCTATTGCTTTCCGCGAGGATGGCGTGGGATTTGTAAGCTTGCCAGGCCAATAGCTTCCATTACTATCACATTGTGGCATCTGCTGACAATTACCTCATTGCATTTAGCTGAAGTTTTCAAACGATCAACCCGGTGCTCTCCTGGCGTGCGAGTTTTCCTGGGAATTTGGGGAACCGACGACATCACAGATGCTCGTAGATACCCGACAAAAGGATCTCGAGGACAGCTTGCGCACACGCCAGCTCGGCAGATTCCGAATAGATGTCACGTTGCGCGATTGCCAACCGAGAGAAGAATTCGGCTGCAGCAAGGAGATGGACATCAAGGAAGCTATCTCGCGTCGTCTGAAGGAGACGGCCTTTGAGGAGGAAAGCTTTTTCGTCCGTCTTGAGGTCGGCAACTTTTCACCAGACAGTGACACTAGCCTGCCGGGCAGCGAACAATACGGCAGGACAAGATGGGCTCTTCGACTTGCCTTTGATAGGTCCCCCGCTCCGTCACGGGAGAAATGGCATGACGGCTTTCAAGGCATGCTGGAAGCTATGAATCTTGAGAGCGAGACGAACTGGTTTAGCCGGAAGCTGGACGGGAGTTGGACGGGTATGTGAGGTAGTGAAGTTGGTAAAGTTCATATGTGCCGGGAGTACACGTTTCAAGAGATCCAAGTGGGGATGAAGACACAATGCAATGGGCACACATCCCTTCTGTCAACCTCTTCTAATTTGAAATTAAAATTTTCTTTATATAGTTTTGCTTCTATTCTATATATATCTAAGGATATATATAGTACCTTTATATAATAGTAAGTATTTAAAATTTAATATTTAAAAAGAATATAATATTAATAATAATAATTATAATATAATAAATACTTATAACTTTAACTTTATAATATATAAATAAAGTTAAAAAGTATTATTTTAATAATAATATTAATTAAAATACTATAAAAGAGTTATATAATAAATTTAAGTTTAAATATAGTTATAATATAAATAAATTATATTAAAAGTTTAATTAAAGCTTTTCTTTATATATATATATATATATATATATATATATATATATTAATAAAACTTTTATTAAATAAAGTTTTAAAGTTTAATATTATAATCTTCATTTAAATATATAGTTATTAATTTTAAAAGAATTTAAAATAAAGAAATAATTTATAATATAATATTTTTAAAACTTTTATAATAAAGTATTAAAACTTTTAAAAAAATTTAAAAGTAATTTATAAAAGATAAAAGATATATAATAAACTTATCCTTTTAAGTTTATATTTTTATTATTAATAATTATTAACTTTTAATAATATAAAAAGTATAATAAAAATAAAGGAAAAAAGAATTTAAAGTTTCTTTATAAAAGAATTATAAGAATATATATAAAGTTATTAAAAATTTTATATATAAACTTTAAATTATTTTATTAAAAGAAATAAATAATTATATAATATAAAAGAAAAATATAATATAATTAAAACTAAAATTTTCTTTATATATACTTCTTTAACTATTAAATTTTAATTACTTAAAACTTTAATAATAATAATATTTAAATTATAACTCTAACTTTAAAAGTAAGAAGATAGTTTTTATTTATATACTTTATAATATACTTATTATAATAAAAATAAAGTTTAAAAGTTAGTTTAAATTTAAATATTAATATAACTTATTTATATATTTTATTATAAATACTTAACCTTTATTTTACTTTATTATTACTTTTAACATATAATTTATTTTTAAAAGTTAAAAGAATTATTAATTTTTAATTATATTTATAAACATAAATATATTATTATTTAAATTAAAGTAAAATAATCTTTATAACTTATAGTAAAAAAGTTTAAATTATTTATAAAGAATTATTAATTTAAAATTAAAGTTATTTAAAGAATAATATAAAGAAAGTAATAAAGTTATAATTTTATATTATAAGAAATATAAAGGTTACTTAAGTTAATAAAATAAATAAAGTATATAAATCTATTAATTAATCTTATAAATATTTAACTTATAACTTTAATATAAAGTAATATTAATAATAATTTTTAAATTTAATTATATTAAATAATATTAAATAAATATAAAAGTTAATTATACTTAACTTTTATAATATAATATATAATAATTATGTATATAATATTTTAAGAAAACTATTTAAAACTATAAAATAATATTATAAGGAAACTAAATATATATTTTAATTATATCTTATTACATTTCATATAATTCTATTAATCTTAGTGGCTGCACTATGTTTATAAACAGTTCCGATATATTGTGGGGCTTAGAATCTGGGGCCTGACTGGGTAGGAAGCTCGTATTTATGCCGCCGCCCCCCCTACGGGGTTGGCACACAGGAATCCAATCCCGGTCACGGTGTGGGCCCCGGGTCCGTATCGAGCCATCCACGGAGGGCAGCAATGAAGCATCGCTTGCGCTTCTGTCCTCCTGTCTGGCGGCATCACAGGGGCTCAGAACAGGCTTGGAGGGAGGTAAGCAAGTGGGAACCAAAAATGCGTACGCGACACATGCTAGCTAAATGAGTGAGGATGGTCGATGTTAGCAGTTACTGAAAAACATATGGCTAAAGACTGATTTAGCTGGTTTCGCTCCTATTTCCTAAACGTCTGAAGACACCTGGGCATACATGACGCCTTAATGCAGTATTAGAAGACCAACTTAGTGTAGAAGATACCAAGTGGTTTCGTTTCTAATCCTCATACATATAAAACGTATGTGTCACCTTCATACAGTGGTAAACGCTGAAGACCTGCTAGTAGCGTTTTAAAAGAGTACAGTGGAACATACCAACGAATAATTTTACAGCCTTTCTTTGAGCGTGAGATGAGATTCTACGGATGGTGACACAAAAACCTCGACATATAATGAATCCATCAACGGAACCAGAATCTGTGCTAAATCCTGACTAGACGAGGTTGAAGTACCGAATATTCAGGCCGGCGGATCGCAGGTCTTCAATCTCCACATTCAAGGGCTGTGTCTCCCCTTTTTGCCATACCCACGATTGATCAGGGTCAGGGAATGCGTCCGAACGAGGGTCCCTCAGGGAACTCTCTCCCGATATCGTATCGAAAAACTTGAAATAACCTTTTCTAGATCCATCGTCTTCCGAATGATGGACCGGCCGCATCCCTTCCGGAAGGGAGCCCAAAAAGGCTTCACCATACATGAAGCCTTGCAGATAGCACGGTCCGATCACCTCATAATGATCAGTCCCCTGCGATGACACAGACCTGAGGACCGTCGGGGTTTCGCTTCCAAGCATGATCACAATACGATCACCCTGCCTCGCCCATTTCGGTGCCCACCCCATAAGCCCGGTCTCAGTGATGAAGTATTGATGAGTAGTCCGGCACGCACGCACCCCTGAGATGAACCTGTATTCAGGGCTGTCATTTGGCCATATAAGTGCCGGCCATTCACCGTGTATGATAGCCTCCAAAGCGGCATGGCTATCTTCCTCGCTCAAAAAGAAAGGGGTTGGTACTGGGACTGCCCGATCCTTGAAACAATCACCATTCAGACCAATACGATAAGCATCCCAAAGGGTCCCACCTCCGGGATATTGGGTGTGAGCAGCGTTGTGTGGCACAATATTGCGGAGGGACGCCACGCAACCCAGGTGCGTTGTCGTGTCCAGCTCGATGAAATCCTGAATGACCCCTTTTGTCAATCCTGCCGCACGAAGGGCGCCATTTCCAACGAATTCCGCCCGGGGTGCAATACGAATGAACCGGCGGTAAATAATCAAGAAAAAGGGCATCGCAGTTCCAGAAGTCCAGTCAGGGACCCAGCTCGGGAGCTTGGTGTTTTCGGCCGATGAAGATTGATGATCCACAGGGTCTTTGCCGCACGACTGTAGAATCTCCAGGCTCTTGCTGATTTCGATATATCTCAATACAAGGTCTTGAAAGATCTCTGCCAAAGACTTTGAATAGTCTGGTCTGATGGCCAGACGTTTGCCCCCATAAAGTAATCCGAGTGTGCCGTAGACATAATCTTTTGGGTCGGTACATTTAGCCCCATTAACGATGAATCTTAGTCGGTCAAGTCTGACGAAATTTCTGGGGCGCAAGGCTATGGTCGCGACCATGGTCTCGATTGTTCTTTTCCAAATAAAAACACGGTATAGAGCCCGACGGAACAGTTCGAGAGAGATGCATGAACTACCACAGTAGACCGTAGCTTCATCTTCGGCCCACACGATCTCTTGACGGATCCAAATACGCTCGAACCATGAGCGTTTCACGAGCGACTCAATAGCCGCCCAATCTCTTTCGTCAAGCGGTAGGTATCTCGGACGGCGCATTACACCCCAGGTATCCTCGTCTGCCCTGGCAAAACAACGGATTTCTTGTGTAGCCCAGTCAACCCAAATCTTTGTCCCAATAAATACTAATAGATCCATCGCATGATCGCTGTCTTCAGTTTTCGGACCGAGCCACACTACAACGCGAGGCGTCGACCAATATATGAGGCGCATGTACCCAACCTGGCGATTCTTATCGGTAGTACTTTTCTGGTCTATGCAGAGAGCGTCGATCCAGATGATTCTCGGACGGTCTGCATACCGAAGGTGGCGAATGGCAACGTCCAGGTTCCGGGTGATGGGGAGGCTCCGCCCCTCCTCGCCAACGATAACACGACTGGGGTTTTCCGGGCTACCCCAAACATATGACAGCGCTTCGTAATGTTCCAAGCACGACACGGCTGCCACACGGTACTCTGGGTCGTATACGTCCTTGTCACGAAGCTGGCTTTCAGCCGTCTCCTCTAAAGCGACGTTGGTAAGGTCGACCACGATGTCATCGTCGTACTCTCCTGGGTGGATGGTTGTCAACCGCGTCCAGAGCGTCTTCGGCTCCCAGAAGGGATCTTGTCCAGGCTCGGTGGGCTCGGGCTCGGGCAGAGGCGTGTACTTGTACGGCTCGCCAACCTCTCTATCGCTTTCGTGGCCGTACCCCTTGCCGTCCGGCTGCTGTGGTTTTGAGGCTTCGCTTTCGTCCATGATACAAGTTTTCTCCGCACGATGTTGCATGTGGGTTGGAATAAGGCTGGATGGAAGTTGTGGGCGGGGAAGTCAGCTGGTAGATACCCTGTAGTAATGTTACACAATAGCCTGCATGTCAGCAACGCAGACATGATTACGTGGGTCGGTCCTGTGTAACCCATATTCAAGATTAGAAAGCCAAGAGTTGTCACTGGGCCTTTTGACGCCTCGTATTTATATGTGCGCGCGAGTTATCTCCGATATGAAAATATACTTGGAGGTATTTTGCCCGGAAGGTTGATGGTTGATGTCTGCCGGTTCGGAAAGCATTATGATGACCTCAGAAAGGAGGAATTTGACACCGGAATGGTGCAGGGTGATCATACGGGAGGTCTGTTATAGCGCACCACCAAGTCCATACCTACGCTTCCTTCGGGCCCATGATGCGGTCCATCCCGCCGCAGTGGAGTATCGCGATGGCTGACCCTAACATGAAGGTGTTCTTTCGCTTCATGGTAGTAAGCAGCATCTTGATCACTAGAACACACAATAACTCTTTCTAAGCCAGTACTAGTAGCTAACGCAGATTTTATCCGATGTCCATGAAGGATACCAGGGCTTTCACGAAGGCGACATAGTCCTAAGACGACAACGGTCCACGCACACTGGTCCATGAAATAATGTAATCCAGCCTTCCACCTGAAGAGAAGACGTTCGAGCGCGTCTTTAAAGAAGTCTCCACCACGACCGGCGCCGGGCTCGAGACCACGGGCACCGTCATCCGCAACGCAGTCTTCCACATCTACACCAGACCCAAGATCCTCCATAAGCTGCGCGACGAGCTCTCCGGCGCTCCCGACCGGCGGCTAGAGACCGTCTGGCGGCTCCCGAACCTGACCGCCGCCATCGTGGAGGCCACGCGCCTGGCCCCGGCCCCAGCCACCCGCAGCGCCCGCTTCTCCTAAGACAGAGATGTCGACTACCTAGGTACGCAATCTGGAAGATACCAGCCGGCATGAGTGCGTTTCTGCTCCACCAGAACGAGGAGGAATACCCCGGGCCCATGCGCTTCGACCCGGGTCTCTGGATGGATCACGGCCCTTGGCGGCTGCTGCCCAGGTGGGCACATGTGCAACAAGACGTTTGTGTCTTTGCCGGAAGGAAGATGCAGTTACCCTGGAATTCAGTGAGACTTTTCAAGACCCAACGCAAAATCCGTCATTGGGCTACTTACTCACTTGCTGCCTCAGTCTCGCTTGGGCTCAGATGTACTTACTTCTGGGAAACATGGTGCAGCGCTTCGAGTTCCAGTTTCCAACAAGTAAAGAGGAGGAATTCCATATGACAAGCGACAGCTTCGTTTCCGGATCTCCCGCTGTGGGAATTCTTCCTGCTGTCGTTACAGAGGTCACATCCTGAATAACACGTGGAAAAGGGGTGTCAGACGCGTCAGGCTCAGCTAGAAAAAGTCAATGGAGGGAAACATGCCTTACTTAGATAATTTGGGCTCGTTCCTGAACACCTGGACCTGAATTCATCCTCCGTGTTCAGAACCCAGCATGAGGCTGGCCGATCAAAATGCGATATGAATACCGCTCTGGAGGTTACCAAGCAGCCGTCACAGCTGAGTACATGTATAAATATCCCGATATCTGAAGGAACCCGGTTGGATGTAATCATGAAAAAAAAAACCGAAACCTTCCATTGGCATATCAGAGACGTAAGAACACGTCCGATTCAGCCAATGTAGAAAACATTCTCGTGTCGGTTTTCCCACTGGGTATCAAACACACTCACACTCGTATCAGCTCCCTACTTCAGGTACCCACTTTGGTACTCTCCATGAAACGCCATGCTGTCTGTCTTGCACAGAGATATCTGATCCACCACATCAAGTAATCACAGTCCTCCCTCCTCCTCGTCTTTTATTTTTTTATACCAGACGTCTTCGCTTGGATCGCACAAATACTTCCTCGTGCTTTGTTTGTGTAGTTAGGTAGTCTGACAGTCTTCGTACTAATAGCACAAGCCGGACTGGCTGGCACCACCACATTTACCAGCCTCCTTCCCAGCCAACCAAATACCAACCAATCAATTAATTAATTACCCCCGCCCCCCATCCTCCTCAAAGAAGTCCGCCGCCTCACACTCCCACCACCATGGCCATCCCTCTCGCTAAAGCTAGTCCCGATCCCCGAGTCCCGCGCGCGCAGGTCCTCCTCCTCCTCGGGGTACCGGTAGTCCTCCTCGTCGTACTCCTCCTCGACGTCCGCCTCCCCGCCGGCGTCGCCCTGCGCCTGGGGTGCCCCGCCGCCGCCCCCACCTCTCTCGTCCACCCCGCTGTGCTCGGGGTCGTAGCGCAGCGGCGGCTGCTGCGACGAGGTGGGGAACGTCATGGGGACGTCGTCCTCGATCGACTTGCCGGGCCCGGATCCGCCTCCCTCCTGCTTGATGCGCGGCACCCTTCCTCCCTCCTCCAGCTTTATCCGGCCGCCGCCGCCGCCCTTGCCACCACCACCACCGCCGCCAACCAAAACACCATACAGAATCTTAACCACCACAGCCCCAAAAACAAGCGAGACCACCTCCGCAGCCCAGAACATCCCCACAAACAGCACGAAACTGCTGACCCACCACGTGTGCATGAACCACCGCAGCCCGCCCAGCCGCGCCGTCAGCGTCACGGAGACATCGTAGACCTGCAGGCCCTGGCCGGCCTGGACGTCCAGGACCAGCGCCCCCGGCATCATGTCCCCCGGGGTTGTGAAGAGGAGGCCCTCGGCCATGGGCACGGCGAGCCGCGTCGTCTCGGAGCAGGGGACGAAGACGTGGTAGCCCAGGAGCAGCAGGCGCTTGGCGAGGGAGACGAGCGGGTCGGTGTAGGGCATGATGGCGGGGCGGGCCGAGGCGAAGAGGATCGTCTTGTCGTGGAGGATGCTGTGCGGGGCGGGCGTGGGCGTGGGGCTGTTGGCTGCTGCCCACGCTGCTCCCGGTGTGGCTGTGGTTCTTGAGGATGGGGCGGATGGCGGGCTGTCGACGAGGTACAGCGCCAGCATGAAGTTGCCCCGAGCGAGGTTGGCGGGCGAGTTGGGCAGGTTGAGCGTCACGGTGATGTCGTAGTCCTGGTAGTCCTTGAGGTTCGCGCGCGCGAGGGAGGCGACGCCGTAGGGGTTGGGCTCGTATCTGCCGGTATTTTCATCAGTCAGCGATGGGTGCTCCTCGCTCCTCCTCCGCATAAGGGGGGGGGGGGGGGTGAAGTAGAGAACAGGATAAGCATCACGCCACCACACCACTCACCCATACTGCAGGTGCACGGGCACCGTCGTGACCTGGTCGGGCAGGTACTCGTGGTAAAAGGCCAGGTAGCCCACGCACGCGAGCACGAACAGCACGCCCGACAGGAGGGTGAAGAGCAGCGTCGTCAGCAGCGTGCGCGCCGCCGTCTTGCTGAAGAGGGGGCTGACGAAGTCGACGGCTGGCTGGAGGGCCGTCTTGAGCGCGGCCCCGACTTGTCTGGCGGGGGCCTTGATGTATTCCATTATCGGTGGTCCTTTGCCTGCGCCGGCTGCTGGTGACGGGGGAGGGAGGGCGATTGCCTGCCTGCGACGCGCTGCGGTTCGCGATCGCGAAGGGAGGACTAAAATGGACCGCGGCCGAGGCTTGGGGAATCTGGGCTCGACGTCATTGGGGTGGTCCCAACAGCTCAGGCAGGGGTCGGCTTCTGCCGTAGCGCCGCAACGTGGGGTTCAAGGGGTGCTGCGGCCAGCTCAGAACAGGGTAGGGGGCGTCTCTGCTGGCCATGCAAGATTGAACAAGCACTTTGCCATCATTTACAACAACTGAGGCAGTTAAAAGCCAGGTACGAACAATTATAGTCATCAATTTGGAAAAAGACCAAACACATCATCCTCATGAAAAAGAGTTCAACATCTCATTTGAAACCCCCACACCGTCCGTCTCCCCCCCCCCCCATTCATCATTCCTCATACATACATCCAGCCATCCATGCATAGTCCAGGCCGCCTATAGACATTGAAAAGAGGCATCAAAAAACCCCGTCAAAAGCATCCCTTTTCGTCCTCATGAAGCGTACAGTAACAATGGGCCAGATTCAGGCCCAACAACTGAACCAACCAACCAACCAATCAATCAATCAATCAATCCAAACCATCGCAATCCATCCAGTCAAACAAACAAACAAACAAACAAGCCCAGGCCAAGAAGCAGAGCCGGGAGACCTCCCCCTTCCCATCCCCACTGCTCATCTCCAGGCTGGGGTGATGCCGTTGCGCCGCCTGCAGAAAAAGACCGCATCAAGGAGAAAGAAAGAGATAAACACGAGGCAGAATTATGGTTCGTCAACTTGGAAAAAAAAAAAAAAGGTCATCCAACTCCGATCCTGATGCCGGCGTTTTCGCACTGGTTGGTGTGTGTGTGAGTGTGTGAGGGCAATCGCGTAGCATGGTCAGTCCTCGATGCTGGTATCCGTCCGTTCGTTGGTTCGTTCGCCCCCCTCCTAAATCATCTGCAGGTAGTTGCTCGGGACCAGCCCGCTCTGGCCGCCGCCCCCGTGCACCTCGGCCTCCCACCACCCGTCGTCCTGGTGGCGCAGCACCGCGAGGATGTCGCCCTTGTTGAACCCGAGCTCCTCGGGGATGGCCGCCTGGTACACGTACATGGCGCGTGCTGCAGGAAACAAAGGGTGGTTAGCTAGCTATGCAGAGCCGGGGAGGGTGAGGATTATACTGTGCTTACCAAAGTGCAGGATCAGCCTCCCGTCCTGGGTGTACTGCCTCCCCCCATCAGCAACGCTCTTGCTCCGCGGCCTCGACGCGGGCGCCACGGCCCCGGGGGGCTCGTAGAGGCCCATGGCCCCCCTGTTGCTGCCCTGGCTCGTCCCGGGCCGCCCGCCCCGCCCCCTCGTAGACCCGCCGTACGAGTCCTCCGTCGGCGCGGGCGACATGCCCCTGGACATGTCACCGCCGGGGTACGCCCCGAAGCTGCTGCCAGCCCTGCTGGCCGGCCGGCCGTAGTCGCGCGGCGGCAGCGGCGAGGCCGACCGCGGCACGTCGTTGGGCGTGCTGCGGCCGTAGTAGCCCTGCGCCGAGTGCCGGGCGTCCATCTGCGCCGACCCGTGGCGCGAGTCCATGCTGCCGCGCTGGCTTGCCGCGTAAGGGTTTGGCGATGCCGTCCTGTTGTTCATGCTGCCTGGTAGTGGGGAGGCGCTCCGGGGCGGGGCGGGGGAGGCGGCCCGTGGCATGTCGCTGCCTCGCGTCGGCGGCCGGGAGGGTGACCTGGCGTAGCCGCCTGAGCCGGGCCTGTCCCCGGAGAACAGGCTCCGCGTCTGCTGCGTGTACTTCTGCGTCGCCTGCTTCATCGCCTTGGAGGTGACCGCCGGCGATGGGACACCCAGCCTGCTGTGCACGGGCTGGTCGTAGGATGGGGGCGGCGTCCCTCTCATCCCGGCTGCGGCGGCATTGTTACCGCTCAGCGGGGGCACTGATCGAGAGAAGGGTTGTGAGCCTGGGGCTGGGGTGGCGATGCCGTGGTAGTGGTCTGCAGACATGCGGACCGAGGACTGCTTGCCCAGCGTCACCCCCTTGAGCTCCGCCAGGGCTTGTGCGATCGGGTCGTCCTCCTGCGGCTCGGGCTCGGCTGCTGCTGCCTTTTGTCTGCCGGGAAGCTTCACGGGCAGCACATTCTCTCCAATGTTGATGGCGACGTCGGCATTGGGGTCTATGGGATCAGGGCTGGCCACTGATCTGTCCGGCAACAGGTTCTGGGGCATGTCGCGATCAGAGTTCGTCCGGCTGTTCCCAGGGTGCCAAGTGTTCCTGCTGTTCGATGGGACCTCCCGCTCCCTGGTGCTCTTACGCCTGCTGAATGGGCTGTGGTTCTGGAAGAAGCCGCTTCTCCTATTCTTCAGCTTCCTGTCCCCGCCCGTGGCTGGCGATCCGGGCGGCGCGTCCTGCTTGACCGGGGACGACTTGCCGCTCATTGGGTCTCGGCTCGAATACGACGTCGGGGCCGAGTAGTCACTATGCTCATCTCTGCTCGTCGGCCGGTCAGATGAGCCCGATGTTGCACTACTCACTTGCGAGCCCAGGTCTGAGCCGGTAGGGTTTGCAGGGTTCCCCGTGCGGCAGAGCATGGTCATGCCGTCCATTGGATAGGGATCGTGAGGCACGGGTGCAAACTCGTTTGGGTCAAACTGTGTTTCGTTAGCTTTCTGTGCTCCACGGCTATCACGAGACGTGCTTTGCGATCCCGCCCGAGTTGGCACTGACCTCTGGGGGCTGGGGCCTTTGAAGATCGCGAGGCAGGTCCCTGCTGCTCCGAGGCTCGCTAGCCTGCTGTGCAAGCCTCTGTGGTGTTATTGTTCGCTCCCTGCCGCCGGGTGCCGCGAAGTCGTGGCCCAGTTCTTTGGCCAGAGGATTGGCCGGGTCGTGGTGGGACTCGTAGGTGGATGGCTGTGGCGACGAGGAACGGAAGGCCGGGTTGATACTCCGAGGGAACTGGGCTACTGAGTATGCTTCGTCGTCCTCCTCCTCGACGGGTGTTTCGACATCCCCACGGCAGAAGTTGATGTACTTTGGTGGGTCTGGGATCTCCTGACCGGTCCCCTTTTCTCGGATGAAGGTGATGATGTCCTTCTCGACCTCCATCTTCTCCAGGGACAGCCGTACCTTCTCGCAAGACGCGTCGTCACTAACGCAGACGGTCGATGCGATGTTAGCAAAGGTCCAGAGGCTGCTCTTGGTGAAGTCAAGGCGTTCCTCCTCCAGGTCCTGGAACTTGTCGGCTGCGGCCTTCCACTCCCGGTTCCACCGAGCAGTGGTCTCCTCCAAGGCCTTGACGGCGGCCTCGTACTCGGAATTAGATGTTGCCAGGCTGATCTGTGTCTTCTCAAGCTTGGCCTTGTTCTTGCGCTCCTCCTGTCCCATGACCATGTGCCCCTGGGCCAGGTAGCCCTTGATCTTGAGACATTCTTGCTCGTACCGGTCTCTTGTCTGCGGGGTGTCAGTGTCAGCCATCATTGATCTGGCGGCGGGCTGGGCTGGTAGGCATCGCGACGAACCTTGTTGACCAGTGCGGTCTGTTGCTGCTTGGTCTTGAGCAGCTTCTCTATTGTATTCTGGACGATCTTGCGCCGCTCCTTCATGCCGCCTGCAAAGGCAGCCAGTGGCTCCTCGAGCTCCGACCTCATCTGTGCTGCATTGTTCTGGTGTTGCTTGGCCATGCACTCGACCTCGCCGCGGACGGTATCGAGGGAGGTCTTGAGGCTGCCCATCTCCTGGGAGCCGAGGGACTTGCGGCAGAGGGACAGCAGCTTGCGGGCGTACTCGTCCTCGATGGAGGCGCGTGTGGCATAGAAGGATCGCAACTCATCGCAGGTCTGCTTGGCGGCATGCATGCGCTCGAGCATGGGTGGGACTCCGGCATCGTCCTTGCCCCAGAAGTTGTTGGCAACTGTTAATGCACGCGACCAACGTTAGCCTCAATGATCAATGGTCAATGGGTCGAGTTGAAAGTGGACATGGTAGGTAGGTAGGGGAGGGGTCTCCATACAGGAGAGGGTGACCGTGGGTCCCTCAGAGGTAGGTGACGGCATCTTGCCTATGTGCTACCCGTCGGCCTTTCACGATCGTCCTGCCGCCGCTCTGGTACTGGTGATTTGGTCCGTCTCTCTGTCGTGTCGGGGTTTGGCGACGAGGTGTAGTTATATGGGGTGGTGTGTCTGCCCTCGGCTAGTTATGCTGGATGGTGATGCAATTTCGATTATGAGTCCACACAACAGGCCCAGTCTCGTCAATTACAGGCAGAGAAAAAGAAAACTGCGTGCCTTGGTCGGAAGTTGGACAGCAACGGCTCCAAGGTTAGGGAGCAAGATTGCCAGGTAGCAGCGGGCGGAGTGACAGGCACAGGCACAGGAACCACCACGTCGGGCGCCAAGCCTGGAAGGAAGTATTGGGAGGCTGGGAAGGCTCCTCCACTTGTTTACTGAGACCCAATTCTGTCGGGGCAACCACCCCTCCCGCCCGCCATCCATTGGACGGCGAGCCTCTGCGGTTCGTCCCGTGGGATGTCTAGCGCCGTTCAGCCGCGCTAAAAACGACGTGCAGGATCCAGCCACCTGAAATCGCGATGGTGCCAAAACCGGATCTGGCCCAGCCGGCGCAGGCTCATCGTCATTCACAGTATCGAGTACTGCACTCGAGTCACTACCCCGTACTCCGTACTGTAGGCAAGGCAAACACGTGGAAGTCAGTAAACTAGGTTTGATTCCACTCACGATGTTATACTTCCATAAGGCTGACTTCCTCAATCGTACCTACATTGGCGAGGATCACGGATGCAGGGTCTGTGCCTTTGCTGGATCCACCTGTGGTGTCGATTGCAAGCGCCAACGACCGCCTGCAATTCTATTTTTGCACGCGCCGGTGGGTTGTTCCGACTTCAATCCTCTCTGCCTGCTAGAGCAGTCCGTTTGCGCCGAACACATGGCGGGAGGCATTCCACACACCATGAAGTGGCTAATCACACAGGGGGGCCAACTGACCGCATGTCTCACCCGTGGCATTGTTCAAATACAAGCTCTTATTCAGTATGTGGAACAAGCGGTTATTGTCCTGTCATTCCCCACAGGATTGCTTGAACGGCATGCTCCCGGCGTACAGATTAATCTCGTCTGACGTCCCCCCCCTTCCTCCGAATCTGTCTCTTCTGCCCTGGAACAGCAGACCATCTGTCACCGGGTCGGGATTCACTTCAACAAACTGCGTTGAGCGGGCTATGAAGGAGTATGAAAGGCAACTGAACAGAGACAGAAGTAACTTCGTGATTGCAGAAACGGTTGCGTCATTCGTTTTCCTGCTACAAAATGTTCGTTATGAAGATGTTGCTTCATCCCATGTTCCACGGCTCTTCTCATATGCCATGGAATATCCTCGAACTGTTTCGAAGTCTCGATTCGCAACGTCGATCGTAGGTTCGCCGCGACGCAGGTGCTTCATCCTCTGCAAGTGCGGTACGAGCACGTGCCCAGGCAGAGTCGCCTTACACTGTTGTTGGCATTGTACTCTTTTTTTTTCTTCAAAATACAACAAAATGAAGTGTTCTTTCCAAGCGCTGGGTCTTGAGTGCTTACCACCGTATGAAGGCGCCATGTATCTCCCCGGACGTATACGGAATAGGAGCAAAACCACACAACAAAACGATGGGTCATTTGAGGTTTGCCACTGTGTGAAGGGATCGTACGCCCTCGGGACGTATACGGATCAAGAACGAAACCAAGTAAGAGTGGCGAAGAGTCTCAAGCTGTCGAGAACCACGGGGCTTTGCATACTTTTCCCAGGACCCGCGGAAAGATGAGTATTGCTTTGAATGCGTTATGAGCCATCATTGATTCTAGACAGCGGCCAGCCCCGGGCCTTGTTGGCTAGGCCCTATGATATGTCTTCAAAACATTTCATTCAAATGTTACCGCGCAGACCACAAGCCCAAGAGATTCAGTTTTAGACCATCCCTCGCACCTTCTTGTAGATTCCAAACACGGCTCATCCACTCAAATGCCAATGTTCGACTACCCATAATCGCCGCAAACTCGTCAGGGTTCGCCTGGAGGAGCAAGTATTCCAGGACGAGAACAATGCGGGATCACTTGAGCATCCGTAAACTTCCGAAATAGAGTCGACGGCCTGTCTTTTCGAGTCCTTGTTTTTGTCGTCACCTTGCAGATCTCAGGGGGTATCGAGCTCAAAGTTACATTTCTTAGAGGAGGTTGAAATTCCGGGTCCCAGCACAAAGCCACCCCTGAAGCAAAGGCTCCAGCCCAGGACTGAGCTGGTTTAGCACAGCTTCATCCTTATTTAGGTAATCAACTGGTACTTAGGGTAAGCACCTATCTGCCCAGGTACCTAAATCGCTGAGGCTATTTCTGAGCTGCACAGCGGTGCTCGGGGTTCGTGTAGCAGTGTAAGAAAGCACGACTTTACCACATTTGACACTCGCCCGTAGAGTGTAGGTACATTGCATTATCACCTCAGCCACCCTAACAAGCTGACAGTCCTTGGCTGGTTTCTATTATCCTTCTACGATCTACTATGAATTGCTCGTTGGCTGGTTCCCTCTCAAAACCGTGAGTAAGACGTAAGACAGGCGGTGGTCAGCTGGAACATTGTGCTCCTTGCCTACGTACTCAGCCGCGGACGACAGATAATGAGGTACTGACGATCCACATCGTTTTCTTGCCTGCCGAACCTGTAATTGGACTTTCAAAATCTTTCACAGACACAATCCACTTTTTCCCAGCAACTCAGTCCTTAAACATTCTCGGTGTCGGCGAGGCTCTGTAGATATAGCAAGCAGCAGCAGCGGCGCTGACGGCAGGTCTGACGTCAATCTCCAACACAACGCCTCGCAAAATGGTCTCGCAGCCCACAGTAATCAACATTGCAATGTGCCCAAATGCAACAACCCAGACAACCACCTGGTCACCCACAACCTCAACGCCGTCGTCCACATCTTCCGCCGGGCCTACTACCGCACCAAAGGCGGATGCGAGGGCTGGACACCAGGTCGAGCTGGCCCCGTGGCTGGAGGGCCGCCCCGGCACGGCCTCGGACCTCCGGGACTAGGCAGGCACGCCTACGAGGACAGCGCCGACGCCGTGGACATGCTTGCTGGCCCCCACGGGGGACGGCACCCACAACATCATCGAGCTCAAGTACGAGAGCGTCAGCCAGGACTGCGTGCTGGAAGGATGGCCAGGGCGCCCAGCGGTCCCGGGAGAGGGACGGCTTGCCCGTGCCCAAAGACCACACGCCGTTGTCTCCGAGCCCCCGGGCGGGCCGATGATCCCGCCCAATCGCCAAGCGGCTCGAGGTCGGACCGGGAGAAGCGCAGGGGCGTACCGCCACGCCGGTACACAGAGCTGGGAATCAGCATGACCGAGGGGGCGCGTGCGGTTCTGGGTGTTGGGAGCACTTGAGAGAAGGCGCGGGATGACAGGCATTTCATGTATCTCACGGCCCAGCGGGTTTATGGTCAGGCTGCGGAGCCGGATGATTACTTTGTGTTGTGGTTCAGGTCGGAGATCTTGTGGCGATGGGACTTTGGGGAGAAGAGACACAAGGACGGCAAGGAATCGGTTGTCCTTGAAGATCTGACTCGTCGTGCTGCTGGCAGCAAGATGCCTACGATATCTTCGCAGCCTACACAAATCAAGAGACGTGGTTTCTATCTTCATAGAGTGCCTTTCCGCATTATGAGAAGAATTCATTTTACATGTCATTAGTTTTATTAGGGAATCTGTTACAGCTGCATCAAAAACTGGGATAATAAACCCCAAGTCAAGTCTTCTTAAATCACTTAGATAAGGCTAGTTTCCCGGAATTCTTCTTTAAGTAGCAGGGACTAGACTACATACCAAGGCATACAGTGTTGATTCAATCCAAGATCACGAGAATGACCCCGTCCTCATGCATCCGATCGAATCAGAAGGAAAATGTCGAGTTTCTGGACTTATGTCGGATGAAGGTGGCTCTCACATGCTCGGGCCTTGGATATCAGAAGTTATCGACAAAGGCAACAATCTAGGAACGGTATGTCCTGGTGCAAGGACAAGGACCGTACCCATGGGTTGAGCTGTTAATAAGAGGTTTTACTTTGCCTATCACTGTATGAAGGCGCCATGTATGTCCTCGGACGTATACGGAATAGAAGCGAAACCACACATATGTACTTAGTAAATAGTTGGGGTGGTGAATTGTAGCTCCCAAATGATTAGTACTTTACATCTGGAAAGTGAGGAAACCAATGGTGGTAAACAATTGTCTCTTTATTGTACCTGTACCGTTAAGGGCTTTAGAGCTTATCCCTGGAACAAGGACATTACTGCCCTCTTGAAACAATGCCTGCTGTCTGTCCGTTGCACGGTTGTTGATTTTCTAGGGTGGGAAAGGACAGGTGGGGCACGGTTTGGGCTAGCTTGCCATTGCCGAGGAGTACTCCGTACATGGGTACATGACCTTAGGCAGTGGTGTGGTGTCCTACTCCGTACTGTTTAGCCGGCCGGCAAACTGACAAAGCCCCACTCTGGCCCATCCTGGCAGCCTGAGTGGTTGCAGGCAATGGCTGACCACTGAGCTGGAGTACGGAGTACCAGGGAAGTTTATGAGCAGTGTGCCTACAGGCGGCCTGGCCTCTGCATGGGCAAGCAAACTCGAGAATAGCTGTCACGCCCCGAATGCCCAAGGTCGAAGCTCACAGACGGAAGGACAAGACAACAAACAACATTGGCGTCGCCCTGCCTCCTCCTGCCTCCTGAGCCTCTTTCCTGAGCCTGCATCCAATTTGTCTGTAACGGGAAAGCACATGACCCCCTCAACCCGGCTGCTTGTCCCCCCTGGTCCAGTGCGACAGGTCCAAGTTCAACCTCTCCAGACAGAGCTCCACGGCCCGCCTCCGACCCGCCTTCTACCACCACCCACCACCACAGCCGCCCAGACCACACGGAGCCTAAGCTCAACTCAACCTTGACATTCTCCTGCCGAGCATCAACCACGACCACCTCAACCGCAGCCAACCCAAGCCTGACCACGACGACCACCACCGCCCCCAACGTGTGTGAAGTCAACAGCCAGCAGCTGCAAGCCACCTCCAGCACAGCCACCGTATTGTTCAAGCTCTGTTGCGACACGTTAATGCTGGGCCTTTTGACAGCCTTGTGGTGACGGCCGTCTTGTCTCGACTTCGAAATCGATTCCGATCTGCCAACTCGCATCTGCATCTGCGTCTCCCATCTCTCCTGCCGCCCACCCCAATCCCAGCATTGCCGAGGATACATCGACGAAGCCAACCCATCCCCCCTTCAACCCTCCTCCACCGGTGCAGCGGCGCGGCTCTGTCCTTTTGGGTAGCAGAACCGACTTCGCCCCGCCTCCCCTCCATCCAACACCCATGCTCCCACGATCGTCGGGAACATTTTCTCCCACTCCCCCCCAAGGTCTACAGACAGGAATCTCCTCCCACTCTCCACATCCATCGCAGGCAGGTGTGCTGAGTGCGGGTGCCAGCCCGAGTACCAGCAGCCCAACTGGCAACTACGCCTTGTCCAAGATCACCGTCGCCCAGGTCTATGTGCTCTTGAGCTCCCTCAAGGCGAAGAAGGACGACCCGGCCGAGTACGACAACAAGGTCAACCGCCTCAACAAGGTACGCACTACCATCCGCCGTCCTCTTCACTACTGCCTCCGCGCCCCCCTAACGCCAGCAACGGTGGCTAGCTCTCTTTTCTCCACCTCGCTGCCATTTCCATATAGCCAGCCACTTCTCCTCAGCTCCGCGTGACCCTACTGCCCTCCAGCACACCTCAGTCTTATCTCCTTACTTGCTCTTGATCCTGAAGGCACCGCCTTCTGGTAGCTATTGCGCGCGTGCTAACAGCAACGGTCTCGGCCATCGCAGCTCATCGATGAAAACGGTATGGAGGTCTTTGCGAAATACTTCACCAAGCTGGTGCATACCAGCGCGTCCCAGATCTTCCCGGGCACGAGTAGACCCATAGGCAGTGCGACAAATACGGGAAGTCACTCGCTGCTCCTGGAGGAGATGCGCAAGATATCTCACGATGAGCATCAAGCGACCAAAATCTCCGAGTCTATCGAGACCGGCACCGAGGACATTTTCCGCGACTTCGATCTGTCCACTTTTATGGAGCACTTCAGACTCGACGCTTTGGACAAGACAATATTAGCTCTGGCGTTCAAGTTGGGCAGCCGGCCTGACTTGAAAGCGAAAGGTGTGTGAAGATCCCCTCCTACCGGAGTTGGCGCACAGCAGCAGCAGCGGGTGGCAAGTGTTGACACAAGAATCCCTAGCCGATGCGATCCTCTCCACCAACTATCCTTCCTTCATCGCCATCCTCTCGCAACCGGACGGAGATCATTCCGACTTGAGCCCCCACTTCCTCTCCATCATCATCGACCGACTGATCCAATACCATCCCCCCAACTTCAACTCCTCCGCACACCGGGAGCTATTATCAAAGGTCGAGGCCAGATACGCGCAGCTCGACATGCCCACTCCTTCCGAGGTCCTTGCCGCTCTGGACCTCAACAGGGTCCTCGTCGACAAGCCGCCGAATGCCTTGGCGTTGTATATTCAAAAAGTCGGCCCTGACTTCACGCGAGACGAGGAGTCCTGCGCCAGGTTCCTCCAAGACAGGCCGCAATCTGTACAGCTTAGCGCAGAACAGGTGTCCAACGCGCTCTGGTACACTGCCATTAGCCAGACCCCGGAGCACAGCCCGACTGTCCTTGTTGCTGGTCTGCGACGGGCCCTGCCTGCGGCCTTCAGGTGGCAAGACGTGCTGTCATACTTTGACCAGCCCAGCGCGCGCATCTCACCACCCGAGTTCCTGCGGCTCTACAGGGCGCTACACATGGTTGCGCTGGAGGACGACGGGTCTGGCTTTGACATCCAGAACCTCTGGGGCGGAGACTGGGCGAATGCGGATGCACATCTGTCTTTCGTCTGTGCCTTTGGCAGCCTCACCCCAGAAGAGCTGGATGCGACCACGATACCGGGCCTCCGACCAACCTTCACCCTGGCCGAGTATGCACAGTCCCCGGTACCTGTGCGCGAGCGGGCCGCGTATGCAGTCAGGCATCCACTCGTCTCGGTTGACGCCCTCACGGCAGTCTTTGGTGTAGCACTGAGTTCGCAGCACGCTTCGCAGACCATCGAGGCTAAGCGCTTGTTTAACGAAGTCGTCGTGCCAAATCTCGATATATTCGTTGTCTCCGCCTTCGGTGTACCGAAGCCGTGGCCTGAGATGGCGAAGGACACGCTGACTACCCTGTTTGAGACGTTCCTGTTCAAACAGCAGGAAGGCTACCAATTCGCCCTCGACAGCCTGTGGCGCAAAGACAAGGACTTCGTCAAGCTGAAGATCAGCGAAGCTCATGCACGACGGCCCATGGACTTGCCCATTTACCTCGAGCACGCCGAATATCACGGCTGGTTGGACGAGTTTGTGTACGAGTTCAGCGGGTTTGGTCTGGACCTCGCGGCCTTTGCGCACGGGCAAGGCCGGCTCGACATCGAGCAGTTGACCAGGACTAACGCCACGCGGGGCCCCGAAGTCGTCCATGCTCTCCTCCAATTTCTCAACATCAAGGCCGACAACGAGACGAGATATCAGCGACAGGGAGGTCAGCATCTACTCAGAACAACGCCGCTCCAGCTGAAGACGGTGTACCACTTCTTGGGCTTCTTGAGTGAATTCTGCGCCCCGCAGCTCAAGGAATGGAGGGAGTGCCAGCGAAATTGCACAATTGCCTACCCACGTCTTATCAACTACGGTGGGCAGTACGACGCGATTATCGATCTGAACGGCGCAGATGGCAACAACCTCCCGATGGCTGCCATCAGCAGGATGGAAGACCATTACAAGAGCATGTACAGTGGCGAGACTCAAGTCAGAGACATAGTAGGAGCTCTTGAGCGCTACAAGCATTCTCGTGACCCCCTGGAACAGGACATTTTCGCCTGTATGATTCATGGGTTGTTCGACGAGTTCGTCCATTATCCCAGTTATCCGATCGACGCGCTTGCTCGGACTGCGGTTTTGTTCGGTGGTTGCATTTCCAGGAAACTGGTCGATGGCATACCTCAGCACGCTGGCCTCGAAATGATTTTGGAAGCGATCAGGGACTACCCAATCGAACATAACATGCATAAATTCGGTCTGCAGGCCTTGATGCAGCTTTATAATCGTTTCCCGGAATGGCCGGGATTCTGTCGGCAGCTTCTTCAGATCAGCAGCCTTCAGGGCACCGAGGCCTGGAGCAGAGCCGAGAAGGCGGTCAGGGAACAGGAAGAGGACCCAACATACCAGCACAACGGCGGGGACGCTCCTCTCAACCACGACCCTCTCACCAATGGCAACGTGGCCGAGTCCGGCGAGCAGCAGTTCACTCCTTTTGCCTCAATCAATGTTGACCCAACGCCTCCTAGCGCTGGATTTGAGGACCCAACAGATGACACGCAGGACAAGATCCAGTTTGCACTCAACAACATGGATCAGGCTTCGCTGAAATCTCGGTTTGACACAATCCGCGAATCCCTCGAGCAGAAACATCAGCAGTGGTTCGCCAGCCACCTGGTCAGAGATCGAGCAAAGGTGCAGCCAAATCTCCATCAGATGTACCTGGATGTGGTAAAGCTCTTCGAGGACAACATGCTGTGGGCCGAAGTCCAGAGGGCGACCCTGAGCTGCGTCGCTCAGATGCTAAATTCAGAGTCAACCATGCACAGCTCCACAGAGCGAACCCAGCTGAAGAACCTAGGTGGCTGGCTGGGCATGCTGACCCTGGCACGGGACAAGCCCATCCGGTACCGCAACATTGCCTTCAAACAGCTACTCATGGAGGCCCTTGACACGAAGAGGTTGATTGTCGTGATACCCTTCGTGTGCAAAGTGCTCGGCCAAGGCGCATCGTCAATGGTCTTCCGGCCGCCCAATCCATGGCTGATGGACATCATCCACCTGCTGATCGAACTCTACCACAACGCGGAGCTCAAACTGAATCTCAAGTTCGAGATCGAGGTGCTCTGTAAGACCCTGAATCTGGACCACAAGAGCATCGAGCCGTCCGGCGAGATCCAGAATCGGGTGGTTGCGGAAGAGGCTACCCAGGTCGCTGTAACCGCCGATGGGATGGATGCTTTTGACAACCTTTCCCTCAATGGCATCGGGCAAGGGGTCGTCAGCAGCCTGCTGCCACATGCTGTGGCGCCAACTATCCCCGACTTGCATGCGCGGCTGAACATCCCGCCCGCGAACGAGATGGTCGTCACTAATGCCCGTCTCCGCGATATTGTCCACACCGCGTTCAACAAAGCCTTGCAAGATATAATCCAGCCTGTCGTTGATAGATCCGTTACCATTGCTGCCATTAGCACTCACCAAATGATACGCAAGGATTTCGCAACGGAACCTGACGAGAATCGTCTCAGGAACTCGGCAATCAGCATGGTCAAGGCAACCGCAGGCAGCCTAGCTCTTGTTACTTCCAAAGAGCCTCTGCGCGCAAACTTCACCAACTACATGCGCCAGCTCTCCACTGACCTCCAGGGTGGCCTGCCCGAGGGCACAATCATCATGTGTGTCAACTCGAACCTCGAGCTTGCTTCAAGTGTGATCGAAGATGCCGCCGAGAGGCGTGCCATCCCTGAGATCGAGGATTTGATTGAGCCTGAGCTTGAAGCGCGCCGACGTCACCGGATGCAAAGGCCGAACCAGCCATATGTCGACGCTTCCCTAAACCGATGGGCCATGACCATGCCTGACCCTTACAAGATGGCACCTAGCCTCAACGGACTGAGCGCAGAGCAGATGGCAATTTATGAGGAGTTCCAAAGGCAGCCGCGACCAGCCACGACAACCACAACTCCTTCACACATCCCCTCGGGCTCTGATGCAACCAGATCAATGGCGAACGACATCCTTCAGGATCAATATAATTCTGTGCCGTCTGCCCCCACGCCTGCCGAAACACCCGCTATGCCTCCCCTAGCCGCACACACCCAGAACTACCCTCATGCGCATGCGGGCGTGACGAATGGACGGCAGCCCGCTCTCAGCCAGGTTGACGCCAGAGTCCTCGTCGAGCGGGTTACCAAGCTTCTCTTCGAGCTTCAGCGCGCCGCAACGGAGGCGCCGGAAGAGCATTACGAGGATCTGCCACGGGGTCACTCGGTCCTGGAAACAATGGATGTTCTCATCACTAATGTGATCAAAGCCCGGACCTCAACAACCGACGATCCCACGCCCCATGTCGTTGAGCAGATTTGCAATGTCCTCCTTAGCCCGCTAGAGGACAGCCTTGCAGTCGAGACATTTGCTCACGCCCTCAACGCGATACGCAGGATGGGGGGCCCTATTCTGAGCGACTTTGCGGTACAACTCTTCCGGCGCCAGGACGGGTCCATTTTCCTGCGCCTCCCAATGATCAAGGCTTTTATTGGAACGGATCTTCTTGACTGGCGCACCCTGGACGAGGCCCTCTCCGCATCAATCAGGGCACAGGAGGAGGGAAGCCTGCAGATGCTCGATCAAATCATCAAGGCGACAATTCTGAGCGAGACGCCAATGGCGTTGTTTGCCAACTTGGTCTCCAGCCTGGAACTTGCCTACGCTTGGATCGTTGCAGACCCTGAAGTTCCAGGAGGCGAGGATCTCAAAGCCACCTTGGATGCTGCCCAGGAGCGAAGCAGTCAGATCCAGGGCCGTGAGCAATTGGAGTATGTTTTTGAAGAGTGGGTCTGCCACTACCGTAACAAGCCGGTTACGGACAAGCTTGCGCGTAACTTTGTGAAGCAGCTTCACGACCATGCCGTGGTCAGGTCGAAGGACGATCTGTTGGTGCTGATCCGCGTCGCTCTGGACGGCTCGGTGTTGCAGTTCGAGGCTGCGCTCAGCCAGGGAAACAGCATCGACGACGGGTACCTGTGGGTAAACGCCCTTGTATCGCTCATCATGGCTTTTGTCAAATCTACCGGGTTCGACGAAAGTGACCCAAAGTCAAGCCCTGCATCCCTTCTCGCCTCCGTCTGGGCTCTTGCCACCATGATTCTCAATGACCACACCAGGAAGCGCAACGAACGCTATTGCCAACGTGTCTTCTTCCGCTTCTTCTCGTCACTGCTCCACGAGTCTGGAGCGTTCTTTGACCAGCTGGGTGAATCGCACAGGGATGAGATGCTTTTGAAGATTGCGCCACGGCTCTCGGCCCTTGGGCCTGCGATGTTCCCTGGCTTCTTCTACGCCTGGCTGGGCCTGATTCACCATGCGGCTTTCCTGCCGGCTCTCATGGATATGGAAGGCGAGGCTGGATGGGCGCCTTACACCAAGCTTATTCAGCAGCTGTTGGAGTTTGTGGGCGAGCAGTTGAACACGGTTCAATTGCCTGACGTGATTCATAAGCCTTACGAGGCGGCCGTCAAGTTGCTGATAGCGCTGCAGCACGACTACCCACAATACGTCGCGGCTAACTCGTCCGCACTCCTAGCAAGCATCCCACCACACTGCACTCAGATGATCAACACCATTTTGTTTGCATCCGTCACCAAGATGCCGGATCCGATGACGGCGGGGCTGGATGCTGCTGGCTCCCAGACGGGGCCTTCCAACGAGGGCGACAATCCTGCTGGATTCCTTCAGAGCATTGGTCTCCTAGACATCCTCAACTCTGCCCTGGAGAAAGGGCCCTCTGAGGATGCGGTGGCCCACATGACTCATGCGATCAGCCGAGGCGATGGAAGGACAGGCTTTGGGCCCACGTCCATTAACGCAAACCTGCGTGTGATCGAGGCGATCACCGCGCACATCGGCAGGCATGCGGTGCAGCGGGCAGCGGCAGGGCAGCCGGCGTTCGAGCCCGGTTCGTCAGGCCTCGTGACGCTCTCGATGCTGGTGCACGAGCTGGCGGCGGAGACGCGCCACTACCTCCTGCTGAGCATCGTCAACCACCTGAAGGATCCCAACGCGGACATGGAGTTCTTCAGCAAGGCGCTGCTGGAGATCTTCTCGCACGACCTGTCGGACCCCGAGGAGACGGAGATCCGCGAGCAGATCACGCGGGTGCTCCTGGAGCGGCTGATCGGGTACTGGCCGCAGCCGTGGGGCCTGCTGATCACGGTGGTGGAGCTGGTCAAGAACGACAAGTACATGTTCTTTGAGCTCCCGTTCATCAAGCAGACTCCCGAGGTAAGCGGTTTCCTCCCCCCTGGATGTGATATTCATCTGTGTGGCTGACCTGATCTTTCTTCCTTCTTAGGTCGCCCAGCGCTTTGTGGACATAATTAATGCGCACAGCTAGAGGGTGGCGAATGGCGAGGGGGCGAGGGCTACACGAGACCGGCGCCGCGATCATTCGGACGCCCCTTTATTTTTGGATTTTCAGGATTTTCTTTTCACCTTGGACGGCGCAGGAGGCACAGCGGGGGTTGATACAAAAAGCACTTGATGACCTTCTGTTTCTTTCTGCATTGAATGGGGTTCTCGTTCACGCCACGGAGAAAGGGATTCACACGCCATAGCAACAACAACAACTACAACAACAACCACGAAAAGGGGGCCCACGCAAGACGTTCAGGAGGGGGGAGTTGGGTGTCGGACCAAGGGCAAGGCCCGGCCGGGCTGGATGGACTTGTATTTTTTTTCTCTCTCTTTCTTTGGCATTCCATTCATATATTGATCCCGTTCATGAATCGATACGGAATGTGGTCGTGAGTCACCACGGGGCTAAGTACACATCTTCCACTGCCGGGATGGAGGGGGAGGGGTAATTGAGCCTAGCCAGGCCAGGCAGGGTGAGGGAAGGACGGCGGTGTGTTTGTGTGTCTGTCCCGTTGGGTGTGTGTATAGGAATGGATGGGAGTGAGTGAGTGAGTGAGCATTGGGTTGGTTGGTTGATTGGTTGTAGCAAATCACGTATAATGTATGAGTATTCGGACCTGTAACGAATGACAAGGCATAATCAGGCAGACGGAGACGGACGCATAGACGGACCGCATTAGCCTGGCCTGGGTTGCTGGATGGCCTGGGTGGGTGGCTTGTGTCTTTATAGAATTGAGTCTCGTGGTTCTGTTTTTGATTCCCTCCTCGATCTGGATGCATGTGGTCAGCTCCCGACTCCTGTGGTCTGTTCTCGGGCTGCGTGCTGTGTCGGGCGGCGATCATGTCACTGATCCTATTGCTGGCATGCTCTCTGCTTGATTGCCCAGGTACTTTCTCAGCCTATCTATCTCTTCTCGTGCCCGTGCTAGTTGGCAGTCAGCAAGTAGTCTTGGCTATTCTTCATCTCCCACTTCCCGATCTACCTCCTCAGTGTAGGCTGAATGAGACGGCACCGCAGCCCGCCTGATCGGCACGGACCCGGGTTCACAAAAGTGGCAGGAAAACCCTGCCGGGGTCGTGCTCTCACCGGATGATTGGGACAAGTTCCGATATCTAGTCTGCTTGGCTATTCTGCGATCCGGCCTGCAAGGGGTCCCCCCTCGGCTCGGCTGGTACTCCAAGCCCCGGCCGCCGCTGCGGCCGGCCAGCCCTGTGTTTGGCTTGACAGGCTTGACAGCTGCATCCCATCGTCTATCTGTCCGTCATATGGCATGTGCAGCGGAGGGAATGCCGCTGCAGGCAGGCGAGCAGGCAGGCCCACCTCGCTGCCCCGTTGCGCACCCACGCGGTGGTTCTTTGTCTTGGGACGAGAGTGACAACTCTGTTTCTTGTATCCTGCTCTCCTCCTCGCCCGAGGATCATGAACCCAGAGTGGCAAATTCCAATTCATATGTGTCCCTCCTTGGCACGTGATATCTAGAGACGGGCGGCAGTACGACCGAACGGCCCACGCCTGACTCTGTCTCGGATGTGCTGTGGCGCCACGCCCAACGACCATCTCGGCCGAGAACCAACAGCGCTGGGAAAGAGGAAGAATACCCGCGCGTTGTAGGGGCCATAACCAGCAGGCAGCACGCACGGAGGCCTCCGTGGTCTGGGGAACCCCCTACCCCTCTCTTTCGATGCGGGACATCTCGATCTGGGATTGTGGACTGGGATCCCACGGATCTTGCATGCTATCAGGGAGTGCCGGCCACAAATGTCCTGTTAACGATTAGGAATGCTGGCAGAGCAGTTGGGTCGAAAAAGCAAGGAGAGGAGACAGGCGAGACGAGGAGGGCAGATTTGGGAGCCAATAAACACCGGGGGGCTTGTCAAGTGCGGAAGAGACGACCGCGGTGTGGCAGTTGTGGTAGGGCTTAGCACGGGGTGGTTCTCGTCCGCTCGTATTCCTTCTTTGCTGTGTTTTCTGCGCGATGCCGGTCAGTCAGACTCTGTCACTCTGGGTCATGCTGAGAGGATGTGACTTGACCTCGATGGGCCTGATCCGATGGGCTGGGCTGGGAAAATGCGATTTCATTTTGTCCATGTGGGGAAAGATGGCAATTGGAATTGCGATCGTGTCTTTGCTCTTGTTCTGGCCGGCGGGCGAATCAGGAAAGCTAGGCCGGGGTGGGGGTGGCGATAACACGTTGCATGTGAGGATGTGAGTATGCGACGTGAGAGGAGGCCGTCATTGAGCGTCAGCCCAGGGAACCAAAGTACCTGGGTACCAGGCGGTCAGTTGTACGGAGTAATGTGCATGCCCCGGTGCTGGCTGCAAGGCACGGTCTTAGGCACCCAAGGAACCACCCAGCCCAACCAAGCAACTGGGCCCATGCCTTCGCTGCAGCTCGTGCCGCGCGGTCACGTGTGCACGAGCTGCCTGGGCTCGGCTCCGAGTCTGCTGCAACCGCATCTGAACCGCATCTGCATCTGCATTTGCACCTGCTCCTGCAACTCGTCAGCAGATCCGTGTCACTCGAAACTGCAGACATCGTCGCTCCTTTCCAACATCCCTGGACTGCTCATCTCACCTGGGACCTCAATTCTGGACACGGCTGGATTAGTAGACCTCGATTCCAAACTGCACAGCCTGCTCGACGAGGTCGCCGAGATCGACCCAATCCTGCCTCCAAATCGCCTCAGTCGCCTTGCACTTCCCCGGCGAGACTCACCATCTCGTTCCCAAGCTGACCGCATCTTCCTGCAACACCCTAATCAGACACGCCTGAGCCAATCCGTGGGCAACTCGAGTGAGTTGGGCCGGACTGCATTGGCCTGGATCGGGCTTGGCTGGGCTCGGCTTGGCTGGGCTTCAGGCCTCACTGGACTGCGACTGAGACTGTCTGTCGACCGCCTTTTGATATGCAGCTGTGACGCCGTCGAGAAGCAGTCTGCCTCCTCGAAATGGCCGTATCACAGCATCTGACGCGAGGCATCCACGCCGCCCTGCCCAGGCCGCAAGCACGGAACCGAGTGCCGTTACGGTCAGCGTCATGGATCCTGCAGCATGGCACGGCCGTGTCGTCAGGAATAGCACGGTCCGCGGGGCCTTGTCTGTCAATATGCGCCCCGTCTAAGACACGTACGATCCACTCGTCAACGACCAGGTCTGGCGCCAAGCCAAGGGCAAATGGAGAAGCAAGACCCCTCTCCGAGCTTGCCGAGACGTACAAGAAACAGCTCGTCGTTTTCGGCCTTGGGGTGGCGGTCATGGGCGCATACATCGCAATGCTCGTCCGCAGCATGACCAAGGACCCCTGCTCCGACCACGCCCCGCACGACCAGCATGGCCAGCACGGTGACATCCCTTCAGGCCGCCCGAGGGACCTTCGATCCGGGAAGATCACCGCCACCGCTTTTGACCGGGAACAGGACTGGAACGAGTGGATCATGGGCATCGCGGGCCTGCGCAAGCTCATGGGTGGGCTCGCAAGGGGCCATGTCCTCGAGGTCGCCGTGGGCACCGGCCGGAACATCGAGTACATGGACTGGGATGAGATCAAGAACACCGCCCCGCGCCCGGCCGAGGATGGTGTCGGCTTCGTGCCCAACCCCAGGTCGCCAGAAGACCTGCATAAGGACCGTGTGAAGAGGAGGCTGGACAAGGGAAAGAAGAGCTTGGTGCTGCCAGGGGACGACGCCCCGGAGGTGCTGAGTTTCACCGGCGTCGATGTGTCTGCCGACGTGCTCGAGGTCACATGGACGAAACTGAAAAAGACAGTGCCGGAGCTGATCCCCAGGCGCAAAAGGAAAGTAAATGAAGGGCACCAGACACGACAGGAACAACAGGAGCAGGAGCAACCGCAGCCGCAGCAGAAGTCTGTTGAAGAAAAAAAGGCTGTCACGTTCAGGAATCCATTGAAGGCCCTGTCAGAATCCAAGGTGCTGGCTCCTGCACGACATCCTGCACCGGCTGCTGCGAGCCCATCCGACGAGCAGGCCCTGGCAGCCAATATTGGCAGTGGCCGCATTCGCTTGTTCAAGTCGGATGCGCAATCCCACCTTCCCTCGCCACCGTCCATCCTGGCCCCGGATGCTGCAACAACCTTACCGGCCCCGCCCTACTTCGATACCATCCTTCAGAACTTTGCCATATGCTCCGTCGCGGACCCGCATCAGCTGTTGGCCAACATGGCCCGCGTGCTGCGGCCCGGTTCCGGCCGTATCTATCTGCTAGAGCACGGGCGCGGCCGTTATGATTGGATCAACCGGCTGCTTGACAAATTCGCCCTCTCGCATTTTGAAAGGTACGGCTGCTGGTGGAACAGAGACATCGAGGAGGCTGTCCGCAGGGCCGAGAGGGAGGTGCCAGGGCTCGAGGTTGTCAGGATCGAGAGGCCCCTCCGGACACAGGGTGGCACCATGTACTGGGTCGAGCTCAGGGTTAACCCACAGAAGGAACACGGGAGCGGAACCGGCAGCGGAACCGGCAGCGACAGCGGCATCCGCATGCCAGCAGACAATCCTGGGCGGCCCACATCCCGGCACGCCGCGTGAGATCGTGGCACTGCGGCTCTGAAAGCCACCGGGAAACCGAACAACTCAACGCTGCGGGAGAAAAGGCATTGATCTGGGTCGCTAAGTCTAAGCGACCAACGGGCCGTGCCTAGATTCGCCGGTGAGATCTGCAGCACTCCTTCAGATCAGATCGATAGGGTGCAGCCTCACGACGCGGTCTAACGGCTGCAACGTCCATTCGGCCAACGGACAGCCCATGCATGTGCCTTGTGCAATGGCCAAATCTCTTCTGCAGCCAAATTAACAGTGTAACCGGACGGAAGCATGTTCGAAGGAAGCCAGAGCCGATTACCGGAACCATGTCCCCATTTTTATTTTGTTGCTGTTGCTTTTGCTTCGTGTGGCCCAACAGGGTCACGGAAAATCAGCCCCGTAATAGAAAATGCAACCTGACAGCTAGCTGCCTGGCACCTCCGGCATGCTTCTTCCAGATCCCAATGCCTGCCACACAAGCTGTCGACCCGACTCACCGACCAGAGGCAATCAACCTGTAACGTTAAAAAATCAAAACCGACAACAAGCGGAGTGAGAAAAAAGTCGAAAAGAGGAAAAACCCTCGCTCCAGAAGGAAGGCTCTTTTCAATAGACTCACACATCGGCTTCAGTGTTGGACAAGCGTGGATCTCCATGTGACACACCGTTGGGTCGTCGTGTACCGAGGACCTCGATGGGCCGTCATGGATTCCTACCAGCCACCCGTGTGTGTGAGACAATCGTGGCATAGTCACTCCCAACCAAAGGCCAAATGAGCCGTGGGACGTCGCAGGGTGCACATCCACAACGACCCATCCATCCTGTCGTTTCCTGAAACCTTGGATCGGATGCCCGTCACCGCTTCCCCCGGAGGGCGCCAAACCTCCTAGGCCCGCCAATGCCGGCGGCTCTGCACTCGCAGAAGAGGCTATCATGGTCAAGACAGCGTGAACAAAGAAGCATCAAGCAACACCCAGTAAGATCAGGTGAAAAGTAACAGGAGATGACGTTCCCGTGATGGGCCGCGCCGGCTGCTCGCGTACTGACCGCACCTCGCTGGCAAATGAGAGGGTCGCTGATGGATCTCTTGTTGCTGGTGGACCTTGTCTCACGAGATCAAAACGAAGTCGTATCCTCACCTGCAATCCCAAACCACAAGGGCCATCCGCAGTACGCACGCCAGTAGGCAGGCAGGCACAGACAGACGGTGAGCGCGGTTGACCGGGAACGAGACGCGAGCGCCTCAAGCTCTTCCACCTCGACCGAAGGCGGAGACGAGCACCTTGCTCGAACCTCCAGAAACATATATAGAGGTAGGTCGGTGCGTATGTATGTACACAGACTCGCGATGATTTCATGAGATCTACGTTCACACGGCAAGTGCGTTGCGAGGTGACCTTGCTCATTTCCCTGACTGCCTTCCCTTTTCCCGTTCACGATGCCAGAGCATGACATCGAGCCTTCCTTATCTCTCCTTCAGACCTTCCAATGCCCCGTAGTGGCCGATCCTCCTTCCCTGACGGCGTCGAACTGCATCACATCAACGACCAACAACACATCAACACGGCCTCAGCCCAACAACAACAACCACAGACCTGAGCCGAACCAGATACCCTCCAGGCCATCGCAACAGAACCTAGCTCACATATCTCGTTCCTCTTGCGCACGCATCTATTTTCCCAAGTATTGTTCGCGTGTGAGACATCACACGTCAAGACAGCATCGTAATCGCAACCCTCGCAATAACTGCAGCAGAACGCAAACACCAGCACAGCAAGCGGCGTCGCCCAGTCAGCCAACCCGTGCGCGCCGGCACCTCGTCGATCATGCGCTTCTCTGTGCACAAGTCCACTGCCCGCATCGGGCAAGTCGAGATCCGAGGCGTGCAGAACGTCGTCGAGTTCGAAGCCAGAGAACCCCAGGCTAGCGGCAGAAGACGGCATCATGGACAGCAGCCAACTGAGGCAGTCTCGCCTGAGGCCATCGATGCCATCCAGTCCAGGACAGCCATCGTTGTCCCCTGCAAGGACGAGCCTGTCAGTCGCATCATCAGCGTCTGGGCTGGAATCCCGGCAGGCAGCCTCATAGTCTTGGTCTCGGCATCTGCACAGCACATGTACGCCCGTGAGAGGGACGCGCTGGCCAGGTTCTGTCGTGACACGGGGCGGGACGGCATCAGCGTCCACCAGCGAGACCGCCAGCTCGCCAAGGCGCTGAGAGAGGTCGGGATGACGGGGCTGCTGGGTGACGACGGCCTCGTCCACGAGGGCAAGGGCGAGGCACTGGTCATTGGAATCGCCCTCGCTGCCGCTGCCCAAGGCCCGGGGGCTGCCGACGGGGCAGACCCTTCTGCCCGCACCCGTACTCATCAACAGTGCCACGGCCACAACAGGAACGGAGAGAGAAATGGAAGGATCAACAGCCAGGAGACAGAGGTGCGGTGTAGCCACGGCTGCCCGCGTGGCACCACGAGCGGGAACGGGCAGCAATTCCGCGGCACCTGCGCGGCCAGAGACAGCGGCACTTGCCGCAACAAGCAATCTCGTGGCTGTGCGGCCGGGGACGGCGGCGATACCAGCTACTACAAGTACGTCGGCTTCATAGACGCGGACAACTTTGTCACGGGAAGTGTCTCGGAGTACTGCAAGGCCTTTAGCGCCGGGTTCCACCTTGCCTCAGCGCCAGATGCCATGGTGCGCATCAACTGGGGCAGCAAGCCCAAGGTGCACGACGGCGAGATCGTCTTCAAGACCTCAGGCCGGAGCAGCGAGGTCGTGAACCGGCACTTCAACCAGTTCCTCGGCCAGCTCGAGAAGAGAGGGGGCTGCACCTTCAGCGGCGAGGCCTCCGAGCGCGTCGAAAACGATCAAGGCGACATGGAGCTGCACCACATTTGCACGGGCAACGCGGGCGAGCACGCAATGACCATGTCGCTGGCGCTGAAGCTCAGGCTGGCCGGCGGCTACGCCATTGAGCCATTCCACTTTCTCGACCTCTTTGACCGGTTCTCCGGCGACCACATGGTCAGGTCAGCTCCTGCCTCCCTCATGTTGGAGCCGCACTCGACCATCTCCACAGTTTCCTCGTCGCCTGTACCAACCCCAGTCGGCACTTCACCCTACTCATCCCCAATCTCGGAGCCAACCGCAGCTAATTCTCCGTCCCCTGTCCCATCCGAGCCAGCCCCGTCAGCTGTGGACCAGAAGCTGTTTGCCTACAGCTCGGGGACGCGTGTTACCACGCCCAAGGTACAGATTCTTCAGATCCGCACAATGAACCCGCACTTCCATGACACCAACAAGGGTGAAGCCCACATAATCCGCATGTGGACGCAGGGTCTCTCAGCCATGTACCACAGTCCATTGACAGCGGACTTTGCCGACTTCAGACACGGCCTGTGGGAGACTATCCTGGCAGGCGGCCTCAAGATCAATGGCAGCGCAAGCGCAAAGCCAAACATCTCCTTTCCACCTACACCACCACTGACCCAGTACGACCGGGGCTCGGTGACCCCTCCCTCCTTCCAAGGCATAGAGAGTTCCAGCAGAACAGGCCTCGAGCCCGCAAAGTGCAGGATATATCAGCCCGCGGGAGATTTTGACCTCATCAAGCTCAGACAGATCCTCCTGTACGACAGCGAGCTTTTCTGGTGTTCAAGTTCCGCAGACCCTGAGGAGGAAGCTCTGGAAGACGATATCCAGGTCGTGTGCCGCACAGAGGACGCCGCCAGTTCTAGCGGCGTCGACGTTGATGAATTCGCCCAAGAAATGCCACCGCAAAGCGTAGGTAGGAGAGACTCGGGCGTGGACTTCGACATGGGCGGCACCGACCACACCGAACTCAATGAGCAGGCTGTTCCTGGCCTCGCCTTGCATGAAGCGCCCACTAAGGATCGTCAGCTGGACATGATGCATAACGGCATAGTCATCATGGACGGACTTCAATGACAGTCACATCTACGTCGCCGTCAAGGAGGCCCGCCGCTTTTTCGACGCACAATTCCGTCCAGGCCTGCCATCAACATTGTCAAAGAGCACCCAGGCCCCCACCGCCAAGCTCACCGTACTCCCACCTTTGACGCCTCATCTCGAGACACGGCGTTCGGTGGCGTCCGGCCATGCAGCTGCCACGCCATTGGCGGGTGACAAGGCCGTTGTGGCTTCCCTTACCCAGCCCCTCTAGCGAATACCCGCCCCTCCTTCACTCAGCAGCCCCTACTAGCCACTGGATCAACCAGATGCATCGATTTCGCTTTCGCACTCGCTTTCGGAACCGTGTTTGCGCGTGTGTGCTTGCATACACACCCAGACACTGCAGCAGGTGTTCGCTTTTCCGCTGGGACGCAACCAGCTCACAACGATGCTAGCAAAAGAGAAAAGAAAAACAAGAGGAAAGGAAAGCAATATCCATCAGGTGTTGCATGCAAGCCACCAGGAGGTCAGACCGCCTCGGCCGAATTATGTTTCCCTTTTGGGGTGAACGGGCGTGGTTCGTCTTTTCTTTTTCCTTTTTTTGGGGGGGAGTGGGTGGATCTTGCCGGCGCCCCTGCTCCGCTCGTTGGTCCCTCCCTGTTTTTGCACGGCTGCAATGGACTGTAATATGCAATGCATGGGGGTTTTGGGGATCGACGATCGGGGGTTGTGATTGGAGGGGACCAGATGCTTCATACAACGTGGACCGCAGGAGCATCAGCCAACCAGCAAGCAACGTTGGCATTGGGCGTCATTGGATTGTTGTCATGATGGGCGTGCATTTTTGTTGTGTAGGAGGGATTGATGAGACGACTGTGGTGCGGTCGGCGTGGCGTACATGGAAGAGGGGGGAAACACCCTGGATAGATAGGGACTGGAGGTACAGGACTCGGAGTGTCTTTTAATGGCAATGGGGATATCGGGGACAATGAGGCGGGCCTTGGCGCCTCTGTACACAAGTGTGCTGCTTGCTTCTTGGGTTGAACTGCGGGCGACGGCCCAGGGAACTAACTGGTCGGGTCTTTTTGGGGGGTTTGGTGTTGAGTTGAATCTGCCTGGTGGTGGGCGTTCCTGGGGATGGGTGGATGACTGGGCTGGGACAGGAATCATAATGCTTTTCTTATGTGTGGGTTTTGTCCTGGAGAGGACGGACAGGGGCATGAGCCTGGGGAGCCTGGGGAGCCTGGGGAGCCTGGGGGTTTTGTTAGAGATAATACACTATGCAGGTACACGGTACTGGTGTGAGATGCAACTGGGGCCGGGCTGGCTTGGGCAGGACAGAATGAAACGGGATGGGATGGGGCTTGTCGGGGCAGAACAGGACAGGACGGGACGGAACGGAACAGGGATACAGGAGTATAGGGACACAGGAGACACTGGGGTGAATAGATTGATTGATTGTTCAGGCACGCTTGGAGCATACCTATGGGCACTGGCTGGCAGGCCATGGGGTTGACTGTGATGATGTCTTGCTGCTTTGCTGTGTTTGTTTCTTGAGTGCCGGTGGTGTTTGGTTTGGGGTTTTGTTAGGGGGGGGGGTGTTGTGGTTGTGGTTGTGGTTGACCTGTCTGTGGTTATGGATGTTTCCTTGGGGATGGACGGACGGTTGGTTGGTCCTCTGCTGATACAATATACTACAGATTGATATGTGGGAGGCTTGGGCTAGGTCGGATGACTTGATTACTTACCCGAATACCGTTTTTTCAGATTTAAAAAAAATGCTGGATCTTCAGAGAGCGTTTGCCACCGGATCAAGGCGCCTGATACGTTTATATGTATGTATGGAGATTAGAAACGAAACCACCCCTACTTGTCACGGGGAGTGACCGCTACACTATAGCCACCCACCCCTGTGTTCCTACTAAAAGGTATAGAATTACAGAACGTCCTGTAGTTCAGAGTGTAGTCTATATGGCCGTGCCGTCACACCTACCTGGGTACGTACTATTTTCTTGCTGCGTGCCTATGCCTGCCATCGTAAAATCGTGCAAGACTGACTAACCTACGGACTGCTTATTTTTCTACGTAATGGGTTTGTGTATGATGGCAAATGTGGTGGCCCCCCGTTTTTCTTACCGTTTACGTCTGCCACTGGCAGGTTAATACTTTACTCTATGGGGCACCCTAGGCGATGATATGGTTGATATGTATCAGCTACCTAGCTGGCTAGTAATGTATTAGATTAGTTGAGGAGGCTTGCCTACGTGCTGACTATCCTTGGGCTTAGTAGATAGCTGTAAATGGTTTTATTCTTAATCTATTTACATCCTAAAGACGGTAGGTCCCTTTACATAGGAGAACGGAAATTCGCGTACCTAGAATTAGAAAGCGCGCACCTAGATATAATTAAGCGGTCTTTCAATCAATTAGAGGGCTTTATTCCACCCTATTATACTATCTAAATAGTGTTTTTTTATATCCCCTTTATTACACTATATAATATATTTTCTTCTTATTTAACTATACTTATTAATTATTATTTAATTATAAGTTAAATTAACTATTTAAATATTAAAAGTTATTAATTAAAGATTATATTTTTATTATATTTATTTAAATATTATATTTTAAGTATTATAATTAATAATATAAGTATTAAACTACTTTAAATTTAAGTTATATTAATAGGTTAATTATTATAATTAGAATTATAATATTATTATTATTAACTATTACCTTTTAATATTTTTAATTTTTTATATTTTTAAAGTTTTTAATAATATATATAATATTTATAAGGAATTTAAGGTTAAATTAAATAAAATTATAAAGTTAATTAATTAATTAATAGTTTTTATAGTTTTAAGGTAAATTAAAGGATTTTAATTTATAGTTATAATATATAATAATTTTTAGTTTTAATTATTTATAATATTATTATAATTAAAATTAACTATCTTTAATAAGGAGTTATTTATATAATTAAGGTTATAATAAGTAAGTAAAAGCTTATAGTTTAAAAAGGAAGTATATTTATTATAAGTTTTAAATAGTAGTTAAAGTAAAGTAAGGTTAGATTAAATTAATTATAAATTAATATAAATTTTTTAAAATTATTTATAACCTTTTTATAATAAAATTAAAAAAACTTAAATTTATATTTTAATAAAAGTATTTTATAATTATATTAAAACTTAATATAATAAAGTTTTAATTAGTAAAATAAAGAAAAGAAAGGTAGAGTATTTATATATTAATATAAGTAATATTAAATTAATTTAAAAGTAAAATTATTAATATTATTATATTTAAAATATAAAAGGAAGTATTATTAATATCTTTTAGTATAAAAGGTAATAAATTATATAAATTTAAGAGTAATATTTTATTTAATATCTTTTTTAATTATATTTATATAATTAATAATAAAAGATATTATATTTTAAGTATAATTATAATATATATAAAAGAATTATTATTATTTTAAAGTATTATTAATAATAAAAGGAATTAAACTTTTAATAGTTTTTAAAGTAAATTAAATTATTATTAATAAAATATAAAGTTATAAATTTAAAGGTTATTATTATTAATTATAATATTACTTTAATTAATATTATTAAATATATATTTTTATATTTATTATTAACTTTATATTTTTATATTAATATAAATATTATCTTTAATATTAAAAGAAATAATAGAAAGTATTAAGTTTATAAAGTATAAAAGGAGGAAGTTAATAATAAGAAGGATTTAAGAGTTAAGAATTTAAATATAGCCTTATTTAATACTCTAATAAAAAGTAAAATAACTATTTTATTAAAAATTTTAAATAAAATCCTCTAAATTTATTAAACTTTATTTAATTTATTTAAGTTTATAAAGTATTTAATTAATTATTAAATTTTTAACTTAATTTAATATTATTTATAAAAGAGTTTTAAATTAATAAATAATAATTTAATATTTAAAAATTTATTATATAAATAGAAAAAGGAAATTATAATTAAATAAATAGTTTATAAAATTTATAAAGTCCTTAATTTTAATTTATATATAATATTCTTAATAAAAGTATATATTAAAAGTTTAAAGTCTATTTAAACTATAAAATAGGGAATACATTTTATTTTATTAAAATTATTTATAAGGTTTTAAAGGATATTATTTATAACTTTTAATTAAAAAAGTATATTAAAAATATTCTTTTTTAAAAGTTTAATAAATAAAAGTAATTAAAAGTTTTTTAGTATAAGTTTTATAAATAGTTTTAAATCTTTTTTAAATATTAAAAAAGGTTATATAAATACTTAAAAGTAAGATTATATAAAGTAATTACTTATAATTAATCTATATCTACTCTATATTTATATAATATAACTTAATTTATATTAATTAAATTATTAATAAAAGAAAGTTAAATAACTTTTAAAAGGTTAATATATATAAATTCTTTTAACTTAATTATAATTTATTAATTAATAACTTTTACTTATAATTTATTTATTAAAATAAATTAAATTAATTAAAAATACCTTTATAAAATAACTATATTTATAATTAATAAAGTAAGTATCCTTAAATAAAATATAAACTAAATAATAATTATAATAAATAAATAAATTAAATTAATAACTACTAATTTAAAAATAAAATAAAAATAAAATAAAAATAATAATAACCTTTTTTAATAAATAAATTTAACTTAAAAGTAGAATAATTTAACCTTATAGTTTTAAATAAAGAGAATATTTATAATAATAATATTTAATAAAAACTATTTAATAAGATTAATAGTTAATAATAAAGTTAATAAAGTAAGTAAATTACTAATTAAAATAATAATTTACTTCTTTAAATATATTCTTAAATATTTTACTAATAGTTAAAAATAATATATAGAAATATAAAGGATTATTAATTAATTATTATAAATAAATCTAATTATAAATAACTTTATTAATAATAATAAAATATATAACCTAAAATTTAAATATATATATAATTAAGTATAAATTATATTTAAAATACTACTTATTTAAACTTTAATATATATAATTTATATAATTTTTAACCTCTCTTTTATTAATTAATAAAGAAATAATATTAAGTATTAATTATATATAACAATCTTATTAATTATTATAGTAGGTTTTAATTAAAATAAATTTATATATATATATAGGTATCACTTAGTTATATTTAAGTGCGCACCTTTCGATTCTAAGTGCGCGAATTTCCGTTCTCTTGTATAGTGGTAAGCACCGCGCCTAAACTCTCGGTGTTTAAATATTATAATGCCGAAAGATGACTGTAGATATTAAGAAATTATAATTGTGTGTATTAGTTGAGATTTAGATTTAAAGTAATACTAGTAGTGGGTAAGCTGTGGGCTGAATAGATGGGCCTATAAGAGGGGGGGGGTGTTAAATGTAATTTACTGATATGCCTAGGTATGAATGAATTATGGACTATGTAGGTGAATTGGTATCTAGGAAGTGTAGGTCTAGCTCTTGCGTATTGATGGATGGGTGGGCGGGACTAAACAAAAGAAACGGTTGCTTCCGGCTCGGGGGCAGCATTAATTCACCTTCACCACCGCCCCCCCCCCCCCGCGCCAGCCTCTGCCACCGGCCAATGGCGCTTCCTCCTCTGTCCGTGCGGCTTATCAGGTGTGGGGTGGGACTGTTTCATTTGCTGAGCTTGACTTGTTGAGGCGGGCGGCTGTGAAGAGGAGGTGGAATGGGTGCAACATGGGATTTCGTGGATGGATGGATGGATGAAATCCAATCCATGTTGGGGCACGGACTATGTGCTGTGCTGTGCTGTGTTGTGTTGTGTTGTGACATGTCGTCTGCGCGCCCCCGCCTTCATCAGCAACAGCAGAGAACCCCCAGACACCCCTGTGTAAATCAATCTTGAGAGCAGCATCATGGGCAAATGAATATCTCTCTCCCGCCTGCCTGCCCCTCCCCACGAGGGCGGTGAAGCCACGGCAGGTTGTCTTGACGGTGGGGTTTCACTATCTTGCCCTCGGGGTAATAGTGTAGTTTATCTCACACGAAGGAGGAGGTGGGACCCCGATCTATCAATGCAGTTCGTTTGCGGTGCGGTGCGGTGCGTGCGTGTTGCTTGGCTTGGCTGGCTCGCTCCGAATCGGCGGGCAGGTGGGTGCCCAGGTGGGGTGGACTGTCGACGGTGGATACGGCACCAGAATATGGATGGATCCGGGACAGGACAAGACAATGCAACGGCGGCCGGCTGCCCGTCAGCCTGCTGTTTATCGATGGGTGGATGGATGTCCTGTGGGCCCTGGGGAGACAGACACTCGGGAAATCCATCTCTAAACATCGTTCACGCGTGTTGCATTGGAAGAGGGCCCCCTCCCCTTCTCCCTTTTTCTCAGTGGCTCTCCGTATGCTTGTTTTATTTCCCCCCTCCGCGACACGCTGTGGATAGGCGACACGCCTTGTTATTTTTTTTGTTTCTTATTTTGGTTTGCCGCGGGGCTGGCTTATGTCGTGTGTTGATGCATGCTTATTATACCGGCTCCAGGAATAGCAACGTGGGTTGCTTCAGCACGCGAAAGCTTACTACATGGCACTCGCGCGCGTATACATGTGCGGTGGTGCACATGTGACTTGCTGAAAGAAGACTTGAGTGGCCTGACAGTACATAAAGAAATCGTTTCGTTACTACATCAATGGCTGATGGAGGAGAGACTGGAAGAGGGGGAGATATGTGGACTCGGCGGGCGGGTGAGTTGTCCATGCGTGCGGCCGGCCGGCCTTTCCAAGGTTAGGTTGTTGCCTCGCGCCGCAAATCGACATGGCATGATCCCATCTCGAAACTTTTGCCGCCCCGGTCAGGTCAGAGCCGCTGGCTACGGTGGGGTTGGGTTGATGCATAAACTGTGGATTGTCTGCCCGTCTGTCTGTTTATGCCGAGGTCTCTCCTCTAGCCTGTTACCTAGGTATTATCCTGCCGTTATTTTAGTCCTCGCTACTACTTAAAACCTTTTTTCTTCTCTGCTGCCCTGCAGAACATCACAGGCAGGCAGGCGGGTGGAGAAAAGCAGCCCGGATGGACCCTTATTTCTAAACTAGCTGCATGTACTGCACTGTTGTCAATGCGTCTGCATAGCGATCTTGTCGTGCGTGGCTGATGAGGGGCAACTTGAACTTTGAAGGCACAGACGGCTCCACGACTTGTTGTGTGTGTGATAAGTGCGACAACAGTAACAACAAACAAACAAAAAAAACATGAACTATCTACACTATCATCCGTACCCCTCCGCGTAGACACGCGACCAGAATCGCGCCCCGCCCCGCCCCCACCTCCCAGACACCATCGTGGCGTGGTGACGACGTTGGCTTGCTTGCTTGACTTCAGCCGTCGGTCGTGGGGATTCATTCAACGTGCCTGTGCCTGTGCCTGCCTGCCTGCCAACGCACGAGTCAGCGGGCGGCGTGGCGATCGCCCTCGGAAACAAGCCATGCCGCCTTGTCTTACTCGGGTAGTTTTTCCTGGGCTGGGCTGTGGGTGGTCTCATGAAATCCCATTGTGTTTCTACGTACGCCCAGGACAACAATAACAAGATTGCCCCTCCCGTCTGGCCGGGGTAGTCTGTACCTATCGAGGAGCGGGCGTAACCTCGATACTCTGACACGCGTGCATATCATTACCGGTCCTCCGGGCGGGAAGGATATTGCGTGTACGTACTGTATACCGCATTCATAATTAGCATTTATTAGCAAGCAAATAAACAGCAAGAGACGCCGGGCGGGCATGACTCTCCCTTTACTGTACACGTGTAGAAAGGCGTCCGTCCGCCTGTCTGTTCATCAGCCCAAACCTGCCCTACCCGCCTGCAAACCGACCGAGTAAACTTTTCCGTGCAGTCAGGATGACATGATATGATAGGCCAATGGCTCTCCCTCCCGTCTAGTCTGGCCTGGTCGGGCTGGGCTAGGGCTGGGGCTGTTCCCCGACCCGGGGCGGAAAAGGCGCAAAAGCAAACCAACCTACCTACCTACTTATCTACCTTGACACGGTTCTGGTCCAGGTCTCGGACCCGGGGGTCTAGGCCGAGCGGACGGACCAGACCAGACCAGACCAGACCAGACGGCAAGCAAGCAGTAGCAGCAGATAATACATACCTGGTGATAACAAACAGACAAAAGACGACCAACACCCCTCCTCCCCTCCCACGCAAGCGCCAGGCCGAACCAGGCGACCCAGCCCAGCCGGTCCTAGATACCACGTCGCCTCGATCGTATACATACATGTAGACCCAACCCAGCCGCCCGTCAGAGAAGCGACCAGAAAAAAAAAAAAAAGGCGAGAGGAATAAAGGACAAAAGGAGACGGCGCATGCCCGTCAGTCAGTCCAGTAACTTGCCCCTCCCCCCTCCCCCATCCCATCACCACCAGCCGAAAGACCCGCCCCCCAAGGTATCTATCTATCTATCAACCTACCTACCCAAACAAACCAGCATCCAAGAAGGAAAAGAAAAGCCCCTAAACCTTCAGCCCGCAGACGGTACCCCCCCCCCCCCCAGCAGCAAAAAAGCTCAAGCCTCCTCCCCCCTCCCCCCTCCATCCACCCAGGCCCAGGTCCAGGTCCAGGTCCAGGCTAGCCGCCAGACGAACCTTACCACGTCTGACTCGAACACCACCACTATCACCACCACCCCTCCCCAAAAAGAGGACTGATCAAAAAAAAGGGCCGGGGTTTGGTTGAAACCCACACCACAGCCGAGCCGAGTCGAGTCGAGTCGAGTCGAGTCGGCGGAAACCAAACCTTGAGCTTACTTACTAGTTCATGATGATCATGGAAAAGTCTACGGTATGTATGTATGGTACGTATATGCTTCTTTACTCATTCCGTAAGTACACTACATAGTAGTGCAATACATAGATTCAACCCCGATGGATATCGACGTGCATGCTAATAAGCCTGCTGCTATGTCATGGTGCATTGGCCCGGCCCACCTCCAAATTCATTCACTCGCGTTGCCTTCCCTTGCCCTGCCTTGCCCTGACGTACGTTTTTTACTGTTCCTGTTCTGGAACCAACCGGATCTATCTGACTTGCTGATCTAGCCTGCCCGTCTGCTTGCCTGCCAATGCACGGCATCATCTGATTCCCGCAGTAGCATTCGCAGCGAGCTTGTACTGTACTGTGGTATCCGTACATGCAAGCTGATTCAAGCACATACACAACAAGGCGACACCAAAAAGTGTGAAGGGAGAATTGGATCCTTTGCATTGTTTTGTTGCGCCGTTTTTTCCTTCCTCAGAAGTGATAGAGAGCCCCAAAATGCACTTTTGAAGCTTTTTTGTCTTGAGCCTGCCCGCCATGGCCCCCGTGCATGCCCTTTTTCGTTTGACCCAAGTGTGGGAGGGGGGGGAGCCCCGTTCCCTTTCCCCCCTCCCTTCCAATCGCTTCCCACTCCCAAAGCATCTACACCTCTAAAGGGTAATCTAGAGTGCCCAAAAATAAAATATGAGTCTGTTTCCCGTCCCAAATCTCGCTCAAATAAAAAGTCGTAATGTACATATACAGTAGCTTCCAGCACAGTGTGGAGAGGACATTTTCCCGGGATTATAATCGTTACATCGTTCGTAGGGTAGATGGGCAGGTATATGGCACATGTGACCAAGATGGTGCTCAGCTGCTGCCTCAGTAGTCGTCCAGGAGGCAGTCGAGCTCGTCCAGCTCGATCGTCTCGGGGCTCCGGTCCCACTCCAGGAGGCTGTCGAGTTTGGCCCAGCTGTCCATGTCGCCCTCCTTCTTGGCGCTGACCGAGAAGGCAGGCCGCATCGCCGGGCTGGCCATGAAGGCCATCGGGGGTGGTTGGTTGCCGGCGGCGCTGGCCTTGGGCTCGCCAAACAGGCTGTCGTCCTTGGCGTGCTCGTCCAGCTCCGTGCTCTGGACGACAACCTCGGGCTTGACCGGCAGCAGCCCACCGCTGAGCTTCCGCTTCTGGAGGCCGTCGGCCGTCTGGGTGAACTCCTTCTCGTCCTTCTCGAGCGGCGGCGACGCCCCTCGATGCGACTGCACAGGCAGTGCCAGGGTCGGGATGGGGCGCCCGGAGAAGGAGCCGACGGGGGTGGCGGGCATGGGCATGTCGTCGTCCATGTCGTCGAACTCGGGCGACGACAGGTCCACCTCGGGGGAGGGGCTGAGCTCTCTCCTGCGGTCGTCCTCGGCATCTTCCGAGGCCGATGTCGCGCTGGGTGTGACGAGGGCACGCGCCTGTGCCGCGGCGAGGGCTGCCATGGTTGGCTCGGGTAGGGGCCCGTGGGGGCATGTTGTGAGGTAGAAGTAGGTCCTGCGCGGGTGGACCGTCTCGAGCTCCTTAGCCATGGGGCAGGGGTTGTTGGCGTTCCAGCACGAGCGCTTGAGGTAGGTCGACAGTCTCGAGGAGATGATGGCGGAGGGATTTGCGGATCTATAAAAGGTCAGCGTCAGTATAAACCAGCGACGAATGCGCATTGTGAGGCACGCGGTACGGTGCGGTGCGGTGCGGTGCGGCGCGACACGGCACGGCACAAGGTGATGCGGGACAGAAAAAGCATGTAGAGGATGAAGAAGGGCGACAACATACTGTTGGACGATCTTGAGCTGCTGCATCAGGACGGGGACGAGCTCCTTGACGATGTGGGGGCGGTTGCCGGCATTCTGGAGCTGGACGATGACGGCCTCGACGATCTCGTCGTTGACGGTGCTGAGGTCGACCTTTGGGGCGGCGGCGGCGTTGTCGGCGGCGGCGTCCTTCATCTCTACCGAAGAGGCCCTCGACCTTGGCGGGGAGGGGGGCAGCTTATTCGAGGCAGAGTGATGGCGCTTGGCGGCGGGAGTGTCGTCGCCAGCGTGGGAGCGTTTTATCTTCTTGGAGAGATGGGTCTGAGCGTCCATGTCGGCGGGGCTGGAGGGGCTCCGTGGGCGTGGGGAGTGGGAGGAGGGCGAGTTCGTCATGGACGACGGTGATGATGTCGACGACGACGAGGAGTGTGCTGCGCTATGGCTTTGGCTTTGGCTCTGAGGGTGGCTAGGCGAGAGTCGACTTGCGGCGGCGGCAGCTCTGGCGGCGTCGCGTTCGGCCAGGGTGACTGGGACGTGGATGCCCAGGGAAGGGAGGGAGAGCGACTTGCGACGGGTATTGTAGGGCATTTTGAGAAATAAGTAATGGGTGGCTGCGAGTCGGGTTTATTTCTAAAACTGTCGAGGGTACGGAGTACTGTGTGTTATGTCCTTCTTTTTTTGTTCCCTGGTTCAAACGCACGAGGAACCCCGGGTGTCTAGGCGTCCGTTTGTCTTGTTTTGGAGATGGAGTATGCGGTATGGATGTAGTATGGATGGGCACGGCAGTGTATTGCTGCAGCACCACACGGCAAGAGTTGGGACCAGGCGGGGGACAATACAGTACAGTACTGTACAGGATGTAATGGTACAGAGAAGCAAGAAGGGGGATGGATGGAAGAAGGATGGACAGGTGGGTGGATGGTTCAGAGTTGGGTTGTGCAGCGCATGTGAAGGGAAAGTGAGTGTGTGAGTGTGAGAGCGTGCAGCAACGGTGAAGGAGGACGAAGGGATACAATAGTAGGATGGATGGGATGGAACGGGTTGGGCTGGGTTGGGATGGTACGGCAGGGCAGGGCAGGCAGGGGCGGGCGACAGTGGTACGGCAGGTACGGTGCTGCGCTGGGCTGGGGCTGCGGATAACGGTAAGGCAAGGCAGGGAAGGTCTGTCTGTTTGGTGGTCTGGGCTGAGTTTGAGTTGGCGCTGGTGCTGGTCAGAAAGAGGTAGGCGGGCAGAGGTGGGCAGGAGCTTGGGGTGGGAGGAGGAGGGGAGCTCTGGGGGGAGGGGGGGAGGGGGGGCAAGCGAGACCAGAGCCAGCCCAGTCCAGAGCAGGGGGTGTGCACACGCCACAGCTAAGAGAGAGAGAGAGCACTTGAGCGACAAACTTTTTGGTCGGCCGCTCATTCGCTCGTCCCTGGTCAGGGTTGCCACGGCACTACGAGGGGCACTACGAGCCGGTACCTGGCAGGAACGGCTGATTCAGGTGGGAGCATCAAGTACCTGCCCTAGCAACCATGGTAGCCAAGGCAGCGAGCAACACACAACATACGGGGGTAGGGGGTTGACGAGGGGGGTGGGTGTGAGACAGACGACCGGAGAGACACGGGCGGAAATGGGCGAGAGAAAGAAAAACTCGCGGGGGGAGGAAGAAAAAAAAAAAAAAAGAAAAAGAGTGGGAAGAGGGTTGCACGGTGCAAGAGCTGTGGGCCCGCTTGGACAGGGGGGCCCTTCACAATCCATGACACTTGCATTAGCGCGTGTGCTGCTTCCATGCCAACCCCAGCCAGAGCCCCGTCACCACGCTCGATCTGACCCACCCCCTGCCAAAAGAGGTTTGACGCCGAACACGAAGGGGGAAGCAAAGACAAGAAAAGAGAGAGAGAGGAAGAAAAACTCGACATCATGGTCGAACAATGCCATGCCTTCTCCGAAACCCCCCGGCTGCTTGTTTCTGTGACGATGCCTCGTCGTCTCGGTCGAAAAAGGCGGTAAGCCGATTCCGCCGGCATTATTCTTGATTGTCATCCCATTCACATCTCGGACTGCTAGTTATCTGGGATGGCCTCGACTGGCATCTCAGGCATGTCATATGGACTTGTTCGCCCCGACGACAGGGCATGAGCCAACCGATGAATCAACCAAATCCGGCCCGTCGAATCAAACACGCGGGTGAAGTTGAGGGTGGGCAGCAAAACTGCTGACTGCTGACGACGAGACTGCATGCCTGATAGAGTACTACTCCGTACATAGTAGCGCCAGAGTGGGAAGCGCAGCCAACTGCCGTCCAAGCTGCGTTGTCTGGGCTGCTGGCTAGGCTAGGCTGCGTTGGCTGGGGATCGGTTCGTGCTAGTCTCTCCTCTCCCGTTTGCTGTCTTGCTGTCATACTGTCTGTCTCCTCTCGGGAGGCTGGCGCCAAATCTCACCTGCCTGCTGCGAGGTACGTACCTTGCAGCAGTAATAAGCGACACAACGCACGCACCACCACACCACCACCACATCGGATCGCACGCACATCGCACGCATCACTGTGAGCAATGGGCCCAGGTGACAGCAACCGGTCTGCACCCTGCCCAAAGAGGTCTCGTTTCAGCCTTTTCTCCTCTGCTAGCCGGCTGACTGTGCATGTAATTGACGCCGTGCAATCTCGAGAGAGGCTTCATCTCACCCGCATGCTCGCATGTTCGCATGTTCGCATCATGTCTGTCTCACCCGCAGCACCGCCAGAGGAGAAAAACCTCGGTACAGTACCCCGTCGGCGTCGGGGGGCTCGGGGTCGGAAGGGTATGTATGTACATAATGAGAATGAATGTGTGAGATCACACAGCACAAGCGCACAAGCGCACACAGTGATAGATTGCAATGCACAGATCCAGTAACTCGGCTGTGCCACCCAGAGTCTTGTCTCTGCCAATCTCCCCGACCACCCGCCGGGCCAATTGCGAGGCCTGAAAATCCAATGATCATTACACGGGATGGGGGGGGGGGAGGAAATAAGACGAGCAGATGAGAGAAAGAGTGAGGGAAAAATCTGAGCACCTTTGACATGGATCCCGTCTCCGACTAGTGGGCTGGCAGGCTAGTGGCCATCAAAATCGGCTCCAAAGTCCCAGTCGAGAGCCCCAGTCTCGTGTGTGGGTGGAAGGAAGGCTCGGCTTTCTCTGCCACTTCTCGCCAGTTCCAGCTCTCTGCCCACTGCCCACTGCCCACTGCCCACTGCCCAGTTCTGCCAGCCAGGTCAGTGCCCACTGAGATAAAAATGGGCAGGCAGGCAGGCAGGAGAAAGACACACAGACAGAAAGACAGACAGACAGACAGACAGACGAGCGCAGTGACATCTGCAGTGACATCAAGATTTGTGGGGCCCATCGCTGCCCCTTGCTCCTACAGTATTGCTCGCACCTTCCCTCTCACAACGCCCGCCCAATAGGAGACCAGGCTGGACCGGGGGACGGACCACCTTCGAGAAGAATTCCATGGCCCCAAACAGCCGGTGCCCATACCCTTGCCTGCCTTGGACCTGGGATCAGGTTCAGGTTTGGCTTTTCCGGCTGATGAGCCTGCCAACCTGGGAGGCAAGAGGGCAACACAGTCCATCCTGCCAGCCTGCCAGTCCCTGCCAGTCCCTGCCAGGTCAACAAGAGACCGACCCGACGGACGATCACTGACGAAAAGAACTGGGCCGCCGCCCCGTTTTGCTCGTCAGGTTTCCTCCTCAACCCGCACTGCGCAGCCATTTCTGTGGGGCCTCCAGACTCCTCACCTCGTCACCTCGTCGGCCGATTGGGTCACAGGCATCGTGAGTATCCTCTCTCGGCTACGCAGTACTGTGTGTGTCCAGCGCCGGTGCCCCAGTGCCTGCCCTCAGGTCTGCCAGCAGGAACAAGTCAGCCAGTCAATTCGGTAAAGCCGCGCAAAGGGCCCTTGGGTCTCCTTGGTTGGTCCCTTCCCACTCCCCTCCTGCTTCTTCCCTCCTCTTCTGCCCCAGGTTTGACCAGTTTTTAGGGGTCCTGCTCGTGCATGTCCCGAGGCTCCTCGCCAGCCAGCCCGGGCCCCTCGACGCAAGAAAGCACATGCAGGACATGGGGCCCTCCCTGCCAGTGGACGGGGCAACAGGTGGCCACCCCTGGCCGCAGCACCACTCGGCTATCTCCATCAGCTTCCGGCTAGACCAAAACCTCATCCTACACAGTACCAGCCTGCTGCCCTGCTGCCCTGCCACGCCTCACAGCAGCCCTGCCCTGCCAGCTGCCAGCCCAGCCAGCCAGCCAGCTAGCCAGCCTGCATGTGCTGAACGCAGTAATAAGGGGGGCATCGCGCTAACAGCAACAAGATCTCCAGCCATGACTTCATGATACGCCCACGTCGCCAGCGCCCACGGCGGAATAGCCGCGATTGACTTGGGCAGACAGCACAGAGCGACCAGTGCAGGCCAGTTCCCCGGTCGCTGGGCGTCGCTCAGACTCGCTCTACAGTACTACTACTACTGCAACGACGAGTTGCCAACACGGGCAGACTGGCAAATGGGCCAGCACTCGCGCTGAACTGACAGACTGACAACTGACTTATCCGTCTCAAGTGCTCCCGTCCAGCCATCCCGCCTCTACATCCCCTCGGCAGTGCAGCAGGCGAACCACGCGCAGCCGCACACTACGCATGCACACTACACACCACCCATCCAGCCATCTATAACACAATGCGACACAAGATGCGAACCCGTCTCCCCGTTTGGGACGCGGGCAGCGGCAGCTCCCAGCCGAAGGCGGTGACAGACCGTCATTTTCGGATGCGATGGCTTGCTTCAACACCCTTGCTCACATTGAATCCTGCCAGCCTGCCCGGGCCTTTTCCCAACGGCGCACCTCACACTAGAGCCCGCGAGACCGCGAGACCCTTGGCGTGCACGACGTCGCTTCTGTCCTGAGACGACGCAATCTACCTATAACGCCTCTCCCAGTATAGGCCCCCATCCCGCATCGGCGTCTCTCTCCTCCGTGCCTCTGGTCCATCACCCGGCCGAAACTGAGCCCCAAAAAAGTTGTCCGTAGGAGGGGTCTCGCTGGGCACCACCAATCCCCGTCCCTACCCAATGTCCATACCGCCATTCATGCATGCATTCAGGCATTGTGATCCCCCAGGCTACGGAGTAGATCATCAAAGGGTCCTCCTACCCGGCCGGGCACTATTCCTGCCAGCAGCATCCATCCGGGACCTGATTGATTGACCGATCGTGCCTTGACGCAGCGAGTTCCTCGAGTCAGTCGGTCGTTTCCTGACGCCTCCCCAAAGCCCGGGCATCAGGTCAGGGCAAAGAGGGATCAAAGTGTAACCCCGCACCCCCAGACCCAAGAGGAGAGAGGATTCTCGAGACGAGACAGACCACAGGCGCACGTACGACATAACGGCCCATTCCAACCGCCCGGATGGCCCAGGTGGGTGGCGAAACAGCATGGGGCCCTGTCTGGCATCCCGGCCGTTGATCATCGCCATTGATTCCTCCGCCCAGTCCTGGCTGTCTGGGTGTCCTGGCAGCCCTGGGTGTCTGAGAAGTAGGGGACCGGAGTTGTTTCATCGAAACAACCACCACCACCACCACCACCACTACCACCACCACCGGCGGCCGGCGGCCGGAGCGTGCGCGGGTTCCCACGCACAGGCAGAGTGTGATCGCTTGATGGGGATGGTTCATGAAGGATCATGATCTGCCATCACGTCCTCCGGTTCCATCTTCCTTCGCACATATGTCTGCGATTGACCCTTTTACCGGCGAGGAGGTCCGGCGAGCAGCCAGCAGCCACCACGCGCAGGGCCAAGGATAGGTAGGTAGGTACAGTACGTCCTCATTGAGCTGGAGGTCGGCCGATCCCCGTCTACGTCAGTGCTGCCGCCATCCGGCTGGTGACCCGACATTGTTGTTATAGGTAGGCTGTTTTTCCTGTGGCTGGGACCTTTTCCAGGCGCTTATATGTACTGTATTTTTACCGGTGTGTGACGTGCGGCGCGCAATTGGCTGTCGTGGTTGGTGGGTTGACCATGTGCCCATTTGACGCCGTTGAACGAACTGTGCCCCCCCCTCCATCACCCACAGTGTGTCCGTTCCCCCCTAACCCTGGTGACGTCCTGCCGCTGTGAGTGAGCCAGACCTACAGACCTGCATTGATGTGGCTCTCCTCTGCACGCTGCTACTACACGCATGGAAAATAGTGTCTCGTTATATGATGGACTAAATGGTATACAGTTGAATCAATCGATGTTTCCGGAACGGGGGGAATACTATATAT